CGCGGCGCCTCCCGGCGCCTCCTTCACGGTGAAGCCCTCGTTCTGCACCGAGGTCCAGCGCTCCGCCGACAACGGGCAGTCCAGCTTCAAAACTGAAGTTTCCACCAGAACTCTCAGCTACGGGACTGTGGGCGAGCCTGTCACCTTGCACATCAGCACAGAAGACCTCTCCCAGAGCTGAGAGGATGCCAGTGTGGTTTTTAACACCAAAAAGAGCAGCTTTATGTAAAAAATATAAATATCAGCATTGTTGTAGGCGAGGGGAATTGGTGACGAAGATTACAAGGGAATGCCTTAGAGGGAAATGTATTTAAATATGATGTGTCAAGCTTTTCCAGTCTTAAAGGGAACAGTCTGTCAGAACAGTTTGTAACTTTAAAAGCTTTGATCTAGGTGAACATGTATCATTCCATAGTGGAGCAGTGAGGGGAGGTTTAGGAAAAGCCTGATTCTTCTACCTATGACAGAAATCTAGATGAAGAAGTGTAGCTTTTTTTGTCCATAAACTTAATTATTTTTTTCATGTGCCGGTTTTTGGTGTGGCAAGGAGGTGAAAGTATCTCAGCTTTTCAGCATCCTTCAGTAGCCCAGGACAGGGGGTGTCTCCTGTCACCGTGTGGGCCCAAAGGTCATGAAGCTTCACTGTGCTTTGACTCTGCTCTACACTTGTGACACCAATTAGCTCTACCAAAATTTCTTCATAAACCTTTCAAGATGCGCAGTCTGGTTGCATTTTTTTAACCTTCTGCCAAATAATGAGATATATAGTAGATATTACATATACCAGGGATTCAAAGGGCCGCTCAGGCATTTTTTTAGTTGAAATCCCAGTTTGACTCTAGTCAGTGGAGAGTCCCACTGTCGTGAGGAAGCAAGAGTTTTGTTGTTCTCTTCTGCTTTAAGTGAAAAAGACTGTCTTTTCTAAATGACTGATATTTTCAAATCCACTTCCTAGTTGTCTGATAATGTAGGTTTCATTATCCTGAATTCTAGTGTGGTGGATTTATAAACCATATCTTTTGAAATATAATTCAGTTAACATGCACTGAAAGATTAATGTGCTGCACAAAATAATTTCTGCATCTGCAATCAAACATTAACAAGGACAAAGAACCACAAAGATGTCTTCAAAGGACACCACAAATGTAGTCTTTGCCAATAAATATGACTGGATGAGGATTTGTTCTCCTGAATGTGCCAGTGGTGAAACATATTCCTGCTAACAGATTGATCCATGATGTCCCCTATATGTGATAAGAGGAATTTACCACTGAGCTCTGGCAAAGTAGCAGGAGCACAAAGACAGATTAAAAAAAAAATAAGAGAGAAAAAAGAGCTTTACCATAAATATTCAGTTGAAACATAGATCTGTTCCAAATGTATTGGGCTGCCAGTTGCAATTGCATCATTTTACTGTAACCAGGAAGGTTGAGATGCCTTGGAGAGGGACTGACTGTGGGGTTCCTCTGGAGCTTTCCAGCAGGAATGCTGCACGAGGGGGAGGCTGAGGTGCACTGAGCACAGCCCATCCCTGTTGGCTTCCCCAAAAATGGATGTAGCCCAGGCCTCCAACAAGCTGCTCTGAAAAGAGATGAGCTCCCAGGCCCAAATATCGGTGCCAGCTGGAGTCAGGTGGAGCTCACTGATCTCAGCAGGACCCTCCACTGGCCCTCTCTGGTGACAGAGATGTGGGGTGGAAGGTCCCCACACCCTGTCCCAGCTGAGCTCTGTAGAAGTGTTCATTTGTGGTTTCATTTGTGGTTTAGGGAACCCAGAAATGCTCAGGCCCAGCTGAGTTTCTAAGCAGCATGAGGAGAGAGGGTGGAGTGAGTTTCTGCCTTGGGAAGGAATGGATGGTGTTGGCTCAGTGTTTCCCAGCCAGGTGATATTGAGGAGCTTGTTTTGGAGGCAATATTCCTGCCAACAGGGAATGAATTCACAAAAGGTGCTTGTAGAAAAGTTATTTTTTTTCCTTCTGCAGCTGCACCTTGTGCTGACTAAAATGAACATATTGATTTCACAGCCTTTCACTTTCAACATCCACTCTGGATGTTGTGTGCACTACCTTCATGATTTAGGATGCTTTTCCAGTGGTGAAGGAAATCAAGCTTCCTTTATGGTACTATCCCATTTTTTATAACATCTCCTTGGTTTATACTGTTTGTTTTGTAATGAAGCAATAAGATGGATATATATATTAGTGCTTTTTTCATATATTGCACTGTACATTGGAAAGCAACAGGCACACAACAGGGAAATGCTTTCAAAGCTAAAAATATTTCTTTTATTTTGAGCCTGATTCTGATCACAGTTATTCCAGTATCAATCTTGAATAATTCCACAGAAGGAAGTGGATTTTATTCAGATTTATGAAGATACTGCTGAGAAAAGAATTTGCCCTGTGATTGTCTTCAAAAAATGTAATATTCAAACTAAAGATAATGAGGATGTATAAAGGAACATGGAGGTTTCCTCCTGTTGTGGTTGACACTCAGGTTTTTCTAAAGAATCTCTAAGGCTGCACTTCAAATGGTCATACAACATATAATTATACTTTGATTCATTAGCTCAAAGCAATTAACATCTGTTTACATTTTCTTTTGATATTTAAGCAAAAGAGAATCAATTGAAAGGAATTTTTAAAATCCTATGCAGGGCTCTGTTCACAAAGTGAAAGGTTTATGAGACGTTCATTACATATATTTTCAAAATATTTTCCTAGAGGTTAAAAATTCTGCTTGTAAGTGATTAAACTGTGTAGATAACTAATGAGATGTGTGGGGATTTATTTCCTGTAGATGAAAAGATACAGCTGTATGAAAGATTTTAATACAGTGAATGTTTTACTGAAATTCCTGGAGGTAAATGGGTATTAATAAAGTGGAAACTTCAGTTTGCTTGGGATACAAAAAAAGAAAAAAAAACCACACACACAAAAAAGTTAAGTGGAAGATATGCTGTTAGATGCTGGGTTTAAATTAATAAATGTCTTGCATCAGCTGTCACTGGACTTGTTGGGTTTCTGTGTTCTTTGTTACATCACTTGATATTCCATCAGCTCATCCTCTTCTCCCGCTGACTTCAGCAGGAACTGGGTTGCAGTCCAAGAATATTAATGCAGTTGGGCTCTGGCTCCTTTTCATGGACAGTTTCAGGAATGTTGAAGTGAAAAAATCTAGTTTTAGGGATATTTCCAACTCAAGAATCTTGAATGGTTCACATCCTCTTGGGTCCTTCTCTGAGACCAAACTGGAGCTCCAAAATTTGTGTCAGTCTTGAGTTCCTGGGGATGGGCTGAAGTTGTGGGGTGGAAAGGCTCAAGGCTGAGATTTTAGAGATGGAAAAGAGGTTGTCCATCTCAGGGTGTCATCACTGTGGTGTTTGTTAGGTCTGTGTATCCTGGGGGATATTAAAGTTCCTCAGCCTGAATCAGTGTCCAAAAGAAGGAATTGGTGTAATGTCCTTTGGGCAGGGAGGGAAATGATGGTGGTAGAACATGGGAGAGACCAGTGATTATATATAACCTCTAGACCTATATCCATACACCTGTGGATATATTTCCTAATTGAGTGTTTCATGCCTTTCCAATCATTTCACTCATTGGCAGCTGCCCAGTTCACAGGACAGCACCAGTTGGCAGAAATTACAGCAGGAACACCAGAGAATCCAGGTGTTTCTCTAGGAAAATATTTATTGTCTTCCAGCCAGCCCAGTGCTGATGAGCACTCATGGGCAGTCTGGGACATCATGTGAGCAAATCTTGCTTTTTTCCATCAACAGATTCAGGAAAGAAATATTTTGTCACCATCTTGATCATTGAAAACAGAAATCAAGTGAGATGTCTTCATCCACACATTGCCTTTAACTTTATTTTCTCATGTCTGTAATGGGAATTGACTTTCTTGATGTCAGGAAAGGAGTAGAATCAAAACTCCTATGGAGCATGCTCATTAATGTCAATGACATTAAACAAGTCAGAGCTGTTTATTCCAAATGTTCTTATATTTTTTTTCTCAAACCATGTGTTGATTTGAGTTTTCTCTCTTGATTGTTGAGCATCTGCATCATGAATGTGATCATTGTCTTAACCTGACCTGCATTTTCTCTGTCTTCATGATTACATGGGGGCTTCCCTAGGTACATCCATCCCTTTGTTGTGCCTTTTCAGGATTTCTGGAAGGTCTATCAGGGAGGAGATTGAGTGAGATGAGCTCCTGCACTCTGTGATCCCATCCCAGCCTTCTACATCCCAACCCATGAGAAATATTCAGATATTGTGAAGCAGGACAAACACATCACCCTAGAGCAAGGAGTGGCTTTTCTGCCAGACTTTGATGAAAAAGAGCAGCCCTCCCTTCATCTCCCTGCCCTTCTCCAGAGTCACTGATGAGGCTGATTCCTGTTCACTCCTTTTCCTTCCCTGTGAGATAACATCTTCCTTCATGTAGGGTCTCTATCAGTGCAATGGGTTCATTTCATTGGTCTTATCCAATTTTTGGGTTGATTTTTCCCCCACAGGGTGGTTGAGCACTGCCCAGGCTCCCCAGGGAATGGGCACAGCCCCAAAGCTGCCAGGAGTATTTGGATAACACTCCCAGAAACAGGGTGGGATTGTTGGGGTGACTGTGCAGGGCCGGGAGCTGGACTGGATGATCTTTGTGGATCCCTTCCCATTGAGGATACTCTGTGATTCTATGATTAATAAAAGTATTTTTGACATACCAGGCAACATCAGGTTGAGCTGGGAGATGGACCCTTTGTTCCACTGTCTGGGAACAGGCCAGGTGTTCACATAGGTACAACTTTCCAAAGTATTTTCTGCCAGCCTTCTTATTTTAACCCTCACCTACGCTCCCTCTTGCTGGAATAAGGATTTCTCCATCAACTCCCTTCTCTAGGAGGGGAAAATGCCACGATAGCAGATATTTCCACGGGTTGGATGCTGCTGCTGTTTTCCTTTTTTGTCCTGAAGGGAGAAAAGTTGTTATTCTTGTCTATAGGAATGACTTCCCCCCCATCAGAGACGGACACTTCTGTGCAGGCCTCACTGCAGCGCGCCGACAAGGAGATCAAGACAGCCCTGAAAAAGCTGCTGGACTCGGCGTCCTTGCTGGTGACTCTTCCCCCTGGCATGAGGGCCGATGGTGGCCTTGGCCTTGTCCCTGCTGGCTCTGCTCCCTCAGAGCCCTCAGGGGCAGCAGCCGGGCCCTCTGTGGTGGTTCATGAAGCCAGCACCCAAACCCAGACTGCTGGAGGCCATGGTAGGTTTGGTGTGAAGCTGGGAGATGTTCCCTGGGAGTTGAGAAACAGAAAAATATTGAGCATGCCAGTAATGATGTTTTTAAGTTCAGTTTTCTGTGTTTTGGGGAGATGAAGATTAAGAGAGAGGGCATTCAGACCATGGAGGGTGAGTTGGGGTTAGGTTGGATGTAAGTTTGGGGTGGATCTTTCTGGAAGCAGGAGGTGTTTGAAAACCATGGCTGAAATAGAGTTTGGTTCATCAGCTTCCCAAAATTAAGGAACAGGGGATCTTTTCCACCTTTGGGTTTTTCCCCTGGTCTTACTTTAAGTACTTTTGGGGAGAAGGTGGGATGAGATCCCTTCTTTACATAATGCCTTGACCTTGGCCTTGTCCCTGCTGGCTCTGCTCCCTCAGAGCCCTCAGGGGCAGCAGCCGGGCCCTCTGTGGTGGTTCATGAAGCCAGCACCCAAACCCAGACTGCTGGAGGCCATGGTAGGTTTGGTGTGAAGCTGGAAGATGTTCCCTGGGAGTTGAGAAACAGAAAAATATTGAGCATGCCAGTAATGATGTTTTTAGGTTCAGTTTTCTGTGTTTTGGGGAGATGAAGATTAAGAGAGAGGGCATTCAGACCAGGGAGGGTGGGTTGGGGTTAGGTTGGATGTAAGTTTGGGGCAGATTCTTTCTGGAAGCAGGAGGTGTTTGAAAACTAATGGCTGAATTAGAGTTTGGTTCATCATCTGCCCAATCATCTGCCCTCTGTGGTGGTTCATGAAGCCAGCACCCAAACCCAGACTGCTGGAGGCCGTGGTAGGTTTGGTGTGAAGGTGGGAGATGTCACCTGGGAGCGGAGAGACAGAAAAATATTTAGCATGCCAGTAATGATGTTTTTAAGCTCATTTTTCTGTGCTGTTGTGTTTTGAGGAGATGAAGACTAAGAGAGAGAGCATTCAGGCCATGGAGGGTGTGTTGGGGTTAGGTTGGATGTAAGTTTGGGGCGGATCTTTCTGGAAGCAGGAGGTGTTTGAAAACCATGGCTGAAATAGAGTTTGGTTCATCATCTGCCCAAAATTCAGGAATAGCGGATCTTTTCCACCTTTGGACTTTTCCCCTGGTCTTACTTCAAGTACTTCTGGGGAAAAGGTGGGGTGAGATCCCTCCTTTACATTCAGAGAATCATCTGGGTTTTGATTTGGTGGGGTGGGTAAGGGAGGTTTCTTTATTTTATTGTTTGCTGTAAACAAGCTGGAAATGTCTTTAATATCCCAAACGAACTGTCAGAGACTTCCAGAGGGTTGTGTGCCTCAAGTTCACCTGCATTTCACTGACCCTGAAGCCTGGACAGACTCCTTGCAGCTTCTGTGTGACTAAAATCAACTCTGTATGTGGCTGTGTCTTGCCAGGAGAACAATTCCTTTGTCTTTCTGTTGTTTTTAAAAAAATCATGGATGAACGACAACCCTTCCACTCTTCCTCTGCTTCTGCCATAACAACTTGTCTAAGCTGTCTCTGTGTCAAGTCAGAATAACTGTTCTCCACCACTGTTAGCTCAAAGGACAATGCCAAGTAACCTTCAGCCCTCAAACTCCAGATAATTCCTTAAAAAAATAAATATTCTTACTCAAAACTTAGCAAGAATAAAAGCTGTTCATGGAATCAGACCCAAAATAACAGCATAAAAAAAAGTGTCAGGGCATTAAAACCTTTTTTGCTTTCTAGTCACAAATCATCTTTGGAAATAATCCTCTGGTGGAGTGGGATGACTCAAAAATCCTAAGTAAAATGTCACCCAGCAGATTATTTCCACAGTCACAGCTAAAGAGAAAATACAATAGTGAATGAGATGGTTTGGCAGGTCTTTCATCTTGTTATGGGAATTATTTTAATCAGATAGAGACTTGACACCTCTCTCTATGATCACTTGCCTTAAATAAAAAGGAGGTAAATATTTCAATAATGCTGGTGATAGGAAAGCACAATCCCACAACCTGGGATCTCTGATCCAGTACTTCCTTGAATAACCATGTTTTCCACCCCAATGGAGCTGTTTTATGTGATTTCTAGAAACAGCTGTTCTTTTCCAAAACCAGCCAGCACCAAAGATCTCTAGAGTGCTCCCTAAAATATTTCTAGCTGCTGGGTAGAAGACTCCTCTGGATTTAACCTTTTCTCCTTAAATGAAAAAGGAGATGATGCACTTTATCCTATGGTGTAATTCCAATGGTCAATACCAAAAGACAATCAGTTACTTCTGGAATGTGAGATCAAACCGGGTTTTGAATCTATATCTGATTAAAATAAGAAAAATAACTGGAAAAGCCATCAAGCTGCACCATTTTTTGGTTTCATCAAGCCCCACATGCCAGAGCTTGTTCTGGTGTAACTCAGAGCTGTGCAAGGACATTTTACAGTGGAGGTGCAGTAATGCTGATGCTAAAACACCACCAGGTCCTCTGTAAGAGTCCATATTACCTCCATATCAATCATATTGATATTGGGCTCTTTCTCCAGGCAGCACTGACAGAACCAGAGCACACAGCCTCAAGCTGCACCAAGGGAAATACAGATTGGATATTAGGAAAAAGTTTTTCACAGAAAGAGTGATAAAGTTCTGGAATGGCTGCCCGGGGAAGTGGTGCAGTCCCCATCCCTGGGTGTGTTTAACAAAGCCTGGATGTGGCACTGGGTGCCAGGGTTGAGTTGAGGTGCTGGGGCTGGGTTGGACTCGATGATCTTGAAGGTCTCTTCCAACCTGGTCATTCTGGGAATGCTGTGAATGTCCTCAGCCAGGACCTGCTCTGACCACCAACTCACGTGGATGTGAGCTCACTCCTGTCCCTGGTGCTGTCTGTGATCACAGCAGGGAGTCAGGAACTGTTCTAACTCAAAGCTGAATGGAAGAATTCATGTGGACACTGCTAACGCTGGGTTATTCCCTGGAATGCATTTCAGGGGTGGACTTGGCAGTGCTGTTGATGGCTGGACTTTGTTTCTAAAGGTCTTTTTCAACCTGGATGCTTCTGTGATTCCATGACTTCCTCCCAGCCATGAGCCACAACCCAGACATGGTTAAATTATCTCCCACAAAGGCTGTGTGAACCCACACTATCCTTCCAGCTCACCTCTATTTCCCTGTCCCTACCAGCTGCCTTTCCACCTTTGTCTGTGTGTATTTCCTTACAGAACAGTCAGTTTAGCCCAGTCAGCCAAGTGCCACCACTCTGGTGCTGCCCAATCCCTTTGCTTCGTGTGCTTTTTGCTAAAATGCCAAATTCTCCTCTAACTTTCAGTGTCTGCACCCAGCTGAGCTCAGGTGGGCTCAGTTCTGGCACGAGGCACACCAGGAATGGCTCCAGAGGTTGGCTCTGGGGTTTGGGTATGGTCTCATGAGTGTCATGTCTAACTTGCCCCATTTCTGCTGCCAGCCAAAGCTCAGAGGGAGGTTCCAGCTGAAGAACCAGGGGTGCCAAAGCCCAGCCCTGCTCCTTCCAGGGAAGAGGAGGCTGCTGGAGGGGGAAGCACTTGGGAACGCACTGTTCCCATCGACAGGTAAATAAATACCCACCTCCACATATCCAGGATATCCACGTGGATTTCTGACTTTGGTGCAAGAAAAGCAAGTCTCCTGTGGTGGATCCAAACAGTTTCTTGTAGTTTGTCAACATTTTCAGAATCCTGGTGACAATGCTTTGTCAAGGAAGGGCAAAAAAAAGTTGGAGAGAAATTAATCCCCCCCCCCCCCCCCCCAAACCAAAATTCTTCCTGCATTAATTTTAAGCAAATAACTCTTTGTCTGCTGGCTAAACAGATCAATGGCAGGGTGTAATCCTGCACCTCTTGTTGTGTGGCTATGCCATGATCTTTTCTCTTGGGTTTCTTGAAAGAACATCCCCAGATGCAGGGGCAGGAGGCTGGTACAGGAGAGAAGGAGATGTGGTCTGGGACGTGCACAGTGAAGTTTACATCGAGACCACAGAAAGAACTCGAGTGTATAAGACTGAGGAGAAGACTCCAACAAGTAAGACCAAACCCTGTTTCCCTTTCCCATGATTCTCACTGTCTCCTCTTTTGGTAACAACTCCTGACTGGTTTTTTAAAATTTATTTAATTTTTTAAAATTTTTTTTTAAATTTGATTTTTTTTAAATTTTTGAGGGATAACTGTTTATTAAACAAAAAAGTAATAGGTAAGTGTGAAGATAAGAAGCCTAAAAGCAATTGTCAGCAGGAAGAACCCCAAATAGATTGCTGTTGTACCTCTTCATTTGACTTTAAACTACTGTTACATCCTAAATGACCTGTCCTATAAATCCCATTGAGTAACTTCACTCTGTCAGCACGTTGGGAAAAAAGTTTCAGTTTCATTTGCATGCAGCAAATGCTCTTTTTTCACCAGGTCCTCCCTATATGCAAGTGACAATAGAGGATGTGCAGGTGAACGCTGGGGAACGTGCCAAATTCCAGGCAGTCATTGAAGGAACCCCTCAGCCCACAGTTTTGTGGTTCAAGGTGAGTGCAGACTCTTCTCTGGCTGAGAGTCAGGACTGCAGTGCACAATTCCACAGGGAATTCCATCTGCTCTTTCCTCCCACACCTCTCACACTGACTCTGGATTGTGTCTGTAGTTTATGGAACCAGCTGTTCCCACTGAACCTGTGCATTCCACCCTGTGTTGTCACCCTGCAGAGAGGGCAACTAAGATGGTTTTGGGGATCAAAAAGAGCACAAAGAGAAATTGTTTCTACCTGAGTGCCACTGACGTGTGCTGCACTTTGGGGGCAGGACTGGGATTGAGTAGTTTATCCCAGTTGTCAGGTTTATTGTGACTTCCAGGCTCTATCTTTCCTGTAACTACTTCGCAAAATCAACGTGACTAAGGACAATGAATATTCTATAGAAGGGAGAGAAATTATTTATTATCCCTTAGAATATTGCTGTCATATCTTGCTAGAGCCTCCCTTCCAGGCTGAAGAGCCCAAATCTGTTGATATCCTCATCCAGAGGCTTTTACAGAGGACACTGATGATGATGATGTACCAAATAGTGCCACACCATGGGCAAACCAAGCATTTATCAAATTATACTCTGTGTCTTATCCTTCATTTCTTTCCTAGTATCTGGTACCTTTTAGCTCCCACCAAGCACTGAGGTGGTGCTGCTGTGGAGTGATTTACTCCAACTTAAATTTTTGTTACAGTTTAATAAGGAAAAACTCAGAAACAGAGATTTTATGTGGGAAAACAGGATTGCATCACTTCATATTTCTGGTATTATATACATATATGTACATATTGTATTATATATTTTTATCTTGCATTTTACTGTCACAGTGACCTTTTGCAAATGGTCACAATTTGTTCTGTGTCACACATACTCCATCCTGCCCCTTTCTTCATAGCATTTATGAAAAAAAAACAGAATCACAGAGCCATTAAGGTTGGAAAGACTTCCAAGATCACTGAGTCCAACCTTTGACAGAACACCACCTTGCCAACCAGACCCACATCCAGTTGTTTCTTGAACACTTCCAGGGATGGTGGCTCCACCACTCCCCTGGGCATCATTTTCTCCATGAGGTTTCCTCACATAAATAGTCTGTGTTGTAGCTCTGCTCCCATATCTTGCTTTTGAAGTGATGCCTTGAGAAGGCTGGCCTGGAACAGAGACTGGACAGAGCTAAAGAATAAAGCAGGGATTTATTAAAAGGATCTCCTCCATGGATCCACCTGGGGCAGCACCAGAGCCCAGCCAGGGCTGCGCCCAAGATGAACCAAAATGGCCCCAAAATGCACGAGCGCTCCCGGGGTCTCTCCCTGGGATCAGTTCTGCTCCATTTGCACCTTGCAGTTCATTGTCCCATTCCAGCTTTAGCCCAGGCAGTCCCACCCTGCTTGTTTTTCTCTCTCCAGCCCACGGTGTTTGTGCTCCTGGGCTGAGATTTGGATCATTTGTCCTTGGTGCCCAGCTGGAGCAGGAATTGTTTTGTCTCCCTGCTCTGTGCACAGAGCTCACCATGCCCTGATATGAAGCTCAGAACTCCACACTAAAGCAGCACAGAATGTGAAAAATATAAAAGCTAAACCAGAGGCATCAGAAGAGCAGAAACATCTGTTTCCATCTTGTCTTTCCCAGTGCCAAATGTCATTTCCTTCCCTCAGGGCACTTCACTGCTGACAGACAGCGACAGGATCCATCAGGGGAGGAAAGGAACATCTTATTTCTTAGTCGTGGACAATGCTGCCCTGGAAGATGGTGATGTTTATACCTGTGTTGCCAAAAATGTAGGAGGGGAGGTTTTGTGCAAAGCAGAGCTCGTCGTACGTGAAGGTAATGTCCCCCTGTCACCTGTGAGGGCAATGCCACCCTCTCAGCTGTGAGGGCAATGCCACCCTGTCACCTGTGAGGGCAGTGCCACCCTCTCAGCTGTGAGGGCAATGTCACCCTCTCACCTGTGAGAAAAAAAATCCACCCTCTCACCTGTGATGGCAATGCCACCCTCTCAGCTGCAGGAGTTGCCTCCACTGCCATGGCAGTGTATCATTTGTTGCAGTCATTATTCTGGTACCTGTACGGAATCTTTTCTGGGTTCCTGTGTAGCATTTATATATGGCCAGTCTGGCAGGATCCAGGATAAAATCAAATCACAAAATCCCAAAATGGTTTGGGTTGGAAAGAACCTTAAAGATGCTCTAATTCCAAGCCCCTGCCATGGGCAGGGACACCTTCTGCTATCCCAGGTTCCTCCAAACCCCATTCAACCTGAACACTTCCAAGGATGGGGCAGCCACTTCTCTGGGTAACCCCAAAGTTCATTTTGACACTTTCTTCTTACCAAAGAACTCCACTTAATTCTCATTAGAAGTTTAGAAGACTCCTCTAATTTTTCCCGCCTTAAATTGTCCTGTAATAACTTTGCATACTATTTGCAAGGAATTGTTGTCTGAATATTTACCCTTTTGTTTTTCTTAATTTCCACAGCTAAGAAAGACCAAGAAGGAAAGAAAGTGGCCACCAGGAGAAAGCTCCACTCCCATTATGAGGTTAAGCAGGAGATTGGAAGGTAAATAAATTTTCCAACTCTACAGCCAGGGAATTCTCATTGCCCATCTGAGCTGCTGAGGCAGAGATGGGTCCTGAGAAGTTGGAAATACAGGCAGAAGTGAGATGTCACTCCAAGGTGTGCTGGGGCAGCTCCAACAAGAAAAACCATCCAAAGGCTCACAGATTAGTGCCTGGATGTGGCTTCTTGGCAACAGGAGCATCCCAAGCCTGTCACATCAGTCTGTCCAAGGGATGCAGGAGCACCAGCACGAGCCTGCATCAACTGCAGCAGTTTTTCCCTCAATGGGAACACCTTGCTTCCCTTTGGAGACAGCCAGGAGAGGGCAACAGCACCTCACACACAGCAAAACGAGCTTCTCCTGCTGGAGAATTGAAGCACGGAGCAGCAGGGAGCTGTCAAAGGCCAGGCTGGGGGAAAATCTCTGCCCAGGTCTGATCAGGGCTTGTCCTTTCACTCCTGCACAGGGGCTGCTTCAGCTTCGTGAAACGGGTGGTGCACAAAGGGAACAGGGTGTCCTGTGCTGCCAAATTCATCCCTCTGAGGAGCAAAACCAAGTCCAGAGCTCATCAGGAGAGGGATATTCTTGCCTCTCTGTCCCACGACAGAATTACCAGGCTCCTGGATGAGTTTGAAACACGAAAAACACTGATTTTGATTCTGGAGTTGTATCCTTTTCTGTACAGTTGTCTGTGGAAGAGCCTGGGTAGTACTGGGTAGAGCTCATTTATGAAGTAGCCAAGTAATTAATTTTTTGTTTGTTTGTTTGTTTTTTTCCGGAGTGAAAAGGGCACACACAATTCTTCTCTGCAATGCAGGATAGCACAGCTCTGTGAGAGCTCCACTGCAATCCTCAGCTTCTGCTGGGTGAGAAAATCAGACTTGTATGTACAAGTGTGAATGAGTCATTAAGCACCAAAATAATTTTGAAACATCTGGAAGTTATAAGCTCTGTTTCCATGAGATCTAGTCCAGGTGAGCATGAGGGAAATGCAGAACAGAAACCCCAAAAGCAACAGGGAGATTTTAGCAGAAGTGGCACCAGGTTTAGAGCAGCCCATGATGATCCCAAAGCCCATGATGATCCCATAGCCTGAGATCACCTCGTGAATTCTGCTGTTGGCTGGATGGAGGAGGCTCCAGAGTCAAAATAAGCTTTTCCACATAGTTCTGTTGTCCCTTAATGCCACTGTGAGATGCTCCAATGAGGAGCTCCTGGACCGTTTATTCAAGAAGAGCGTGGTCACTGAAGCTGAGGTAATTTCTCATTTGAAAGCACAGTCAGTTCTTCCTGCATTTTCCTTTTGGAATATGATAAATGTCTTTGAACCAGTGATAATCCATCAAAGCAGAATCAGCCTTTACAATGTGTTCCTGGCAACTTTCATTGCTAGTTGGGTTTTTTTGGGGAATAACTACAAACAGCCAGGGGGTTTGACTACCAGCATTGCATTCATCCTAAAAAAAAATATTGTATTTGCTCTCTTGTCATAATTTCCTTGCTGTCTGTCATCTGGAGCTCTTATCTCCCCTTATTTAGCACCAGTTTATCACTTTATCCCCCTGTAACTGTATTCTATCTACTCCCTTTCTGTCTTTAAAAGAAAAACTGAAGTTATGGTTTCCAAGGGATTTTTTTTACATCCTTGGTGCTAAAAGTTCAAAATGTTTCACATCTCCCATCTAGTAGCTAGGTGTCCAATATTTATTGGTAAAATAATTTTTTTTTTGGAGAAATTCTCAGAGAGCAACATCATGGAATGGTTTGGGCTGGGAGGGACCTTTAAAGATCAAATCTTGGTGAAATCAGGGACTCTCCCATTTACTCTCCCTGTTTAATAATTGTTCATTTATTAATTGTTCAATAATGGACTCAATTCTCAGGTCAAACTCTACATCAAGCAAATTTTGGAAGGAATCAAATATCTTCATGACAACAACATCCTTCATTTGGACATCAAGGTAATGAACGTGTTGGCGAGTGATTGGGTGTTCTTTGAATTATTCTTACAACTGAAAATACTTCCTAGTCACAATAAAAATTTCCCCATTTATTTATTTTTCACTCAACAGCCACTGAATATCCTCATGGTTTATCCTGAGAGGGAAGACCTGAAGATCTGTGACTTTGGGTTTGCCCAGAGGATCACGCCCGTGCAGCCCCAGTACAGCAAATACGGCTCTCCGGAGTTTGTTGCCCCAGAAATTGTTTCCCAGTCACCAGTGTCAAAAGCAACTGATATCTGGTAATCTCTCATTCTCCCAAAAAGCTTTTCCAGGCCCTCAATGGCCTGAATTTCCATTAGCTGTTAATTAGTAAATGGAGCAGTGAAACAGGAAACTGAAAGTGAACGCTGACAATACAAAAGCCATCAAGGATCTTTAAAGCTCCTTCTGTCTAATTTTTTTTAGCCATAATTGAACTCTGACTGCTAATTAATGCAAAGAAGCATCTTGGAGGAGATGATCTCTATTCCAGACAGCAACTAGAGGGAATAATCCTAAAGAGCTTTCTAGAAAAGGCAAAAAAGTTTTAAAAAAAAAGAATTATTTTGAGTCCTTTCCTCTATTTGTGATTTAAAAATGAAGGATTGCTTGAGAACAATTTAAGAAAATACTGAAGGAGAAAAATAAATAGAAATGGAAAAAATCAATAAATAGCTTTTAGGATTTATTATTCTTGAAAGGTGAGGAGAAGGTGATCTTGCTGTTTCAGTGGCAGGAAGAGGGGCTTGAGAAGGATGGAAAATTAGTGACAAAAATAACATTTGTGTTCCCTCTCTCCTCAGGGCTGTTGGAGTCATCACATATTTAAGGTAAATAAATCTTGGAAACACTCCCCCAATAACCCTTTGTCCATCAGAGCCCTCCAGCACTTTCAAATGAGGGACTTCAGTGGAGCATTCAGTCCTCCCATAATAAATACAATTTATTTTGTGGTTTCCTCATTTCCTGGTTGCTCCTCATGAACATTGCAAGTCCCAGGCATGGAGCCCCTCAAGTATTTAAAAGCCCCATGTAAGCATTTGTGCTTCTGTAATTTGACCAGAAAACAGAAACCTAAAACCTGTCTCCTTTCATTTTATGGTGTTCAATAAATAAGCCTCACGTGCAAGTCTCCATTTGCTGGGGAAAACGACAGGAAAACTCTCCTAAACATCCAGAACGGGGAAATTTCATGGACCATTCCTGATGTTGTGCACTTGAGTGAAGATGCAAAGGACTTCATGAAAGGGATCCTGCAGCAGCACCCCAAGTGAGTGCCCTCCTGTGCCTCCCTCTGTTGGTGTCTCAGCAGCCACAGCCCAGCTCATCGTTTGGTTTGAAAAGGAGAAAGCTGAGTGAGATGTGCTGCATTTTTCCCTAATTCTTCTTTATTATTCCCCATTACCCAACCCACCACTCGGATATTTGCCAAATTGGCCTCTCCGTGGTGTGGTGATGTCTTTGCTCCCTGCCTCCCCCAGGTGAGGAGTTTCTGGAATGACTCAGATGAGTGGGAAGAGCACAGACTGGTATGGAGGGAATTAAATAATATTGACCACATTCATTAAGCAATTTCAAGTACAAAAGTTGGCTTGAAGGCATATTTACAGGCATTTGGTTTTAATTTCATTCCTACTCTTTCTGCCTGCTGCCAAAGCTATTTTCACTCTGGCCACCTAAAGAGGCAAAGGCACTCAGAGCTGCTCTGCACACCTTTGGGTTCCTGCAAAGAGCCAGGAGCTCTTCCTGAGCATCTGTGGGGAGTGTCAGGCTGAAAAAGGAGGATGTTTTCCCCTCAGGGGAAGGAAACCTTGAGTTGGAAGCTTCTGTGTATCTTTTTTGTTCCTTTGCTCCAAATCAGCATCCCAAGGACACAGCCCTGAGTGTACATGGGTGTCTGCATGCAGCAGAACCTTCAGGAAGATCAGTGATTGGTGTTGGAGGGGATTTCCTACTAAAATATCAATCTGTTCTCTTACCAGATCCAGGCCAAGTGCTTTGGATTGTCTTTCCCACAAATGGTTCATGGTAAGTTTGTCCTGGTCCTCATTTAGTCAATTTTCCCTAAAATCCAATCTAAACCTCCCTGGTGCAACCTGAGGCCATTCCCTCTTGTTCTGTCACATCAGTACAGAAAGGAAACTGGCCTTGCAGACCAAAGTTTATATTCCAAAGCCTTAAATCACTAAGGAAAAGACTCAAAAATTGCTAACAGCAAAAATAATTTAATGACAGATATTGAACAGGTTCTGATTTAATCACTGAAAAGCTCATTTTGTCTGCAATTTAACTATGAAAGAACTGCAGCATTTGATCTACTGTAACTTTTCTAAATTAAACAATTGTGTAAAGAGAGAATTCTTTTAAAAACCCCACAAAGACACCTCAAGAAATGAAATCAGTATTTTTTAACCAGTGGTTTTCCTCTCATTCCACCTGGCAGCACAACGTCCCTCTTGAAGCAGCCCACTTCATTAACACCAAACAGCTCAAATTCATTGTGGCTCGGAGCAAGTGGCAGGTGAGTTGCCCCTAATCTGTGTTGATTCTGTTTAGTTATATCTATTTTTAATTGCAGAATAATTTAATATTATAACTGATAATTTAATATCTGAATCTTTGAAAATCTTTTAGGCTAGAGCAGCTAGCTCAGCAGAGATCTGAGCATGGCTGGGAGTTGGGAAAAAGCCCAGGAGAGATGGATGTGTCAGGAATTAATTATCTAGGTTTTTACTGCCTGGAATCCCATGCAGGTGCCTGTAAGACACAAGGTTGTGTCTAAGTGAGGTGCCCTCAGCTGCCTTTGCAATTGGAGCTGAATTACAGACAGGTGCCAAGAAAATGCCTCTTTTCCTGAAATTCTCTCAAATAATTGGATTGATTGCCTTCTGAACATGCCAGTTTCTCTCTGCTGGCTGGAAGGAGAGGCCGAGCTTCAATTGAGATGCCCTACATGACAGAATTTAGAGCAGAGGAATCCCATCTCCTACACTTGGTAAGTCTTCTGCTGGCCTAAGTCACTGTAGGGTGTATTGCAGTCAAAGGATTTAAAGCCATTTACACCAGCGAGTCTCTCATCTGATGTGTTCCATCTTTTGATCTGTTTTGAGTGGCCAGGTTGACTTAGGAAACCTCAAGCAGAGTCCTGTTTCCTCCCAGTCACCAAAGCAAGTGTGTTCCCTAAAATCAATTTAATTTCATGTCAGTGAAGAGGAAGATTTGGAGAGAAAATGAGGCCTGGATTGGTAACATGTGCAGGGGGTGGCAGTGTCTAGTTAGACTCATGGGTGCAGGAGTTCATTTTGCTGTGTTTGCTTTCCATACTCTGACCATGTTCCCATCTCCTTCTGCTGTGTGTTGTTTTCCTTCTCAGCGCTCCCTGATGTGCTACAAATCCATCCTGGTGATGAGGTCCATCCCAGAAATCCTGGAAAGGACCCACGACAACAGCTCCCTGGCCATCTCCCGACACCTCATTGAGGAGAGCACTTCATCCAGCACCAGTGGCTCCTCTTCAGACAATGAGAACTCAAATTTCCCCCAAAAGAAGCACTTTGGTTCCACCCCTGAACTGCACTTGCCCGTATTTGACGCCCCGAGCCATCCCGAGCCTCTGAAATGTGCGAGTGAACGGGAGCACTCCAAAAGCTCCATCCCTCCAGTAAAACCCATGAGGAGGAAATATGCTTCAATGAAGGCTGAGGTGGGGGATAAATCACCCACAGAAAGCAAAGAGTTCATGGCAGGTATCTTACAGGAGAAAGAGGAGAGGCTCCTTCCCAGCCTTCGGGAAGAGCCATCCCAAAAAAGTGGCGCTGCTGAGCCTTCATCCCCAAGGGCTTCCACAGAAAGCACATCACTTGTGCATCAGAAAGAAAAACCAGACACACCTTCATCTGAAAAGGACAGAGGTGAAGAGGCAGGGGATGGCGCAGAGAAGCCATCTGCCTTTGTTCCCAGGCAGAGTGTCATTAAAAGCACCTTCTACAGCCAAGCAACGGAGCTGCCTGCGAGGCCGCCTTCGTCACCAGGCCGGGAGTTCAGAAGGCACCTGGACAGAGCCAGGAGGACTTTCCGGAAGGCTGGCTATTCAAAGGTGCCCCTCAGTGGCCTCCGAGAACCCCTCCTTGAGCAGTTTGAACTGGAAGAAGAAGAAGGAGGAGATGATCACAGAGAAGCTCTGCTGGGATCTTTGACCAAATCCGCGTCGTTTGACACGGCCAGGAAGCCCCCACACCCTGCCATTGCTGGTGGCAGCCGCAGCCGCTCCCTGGATGACTACAGGCTGAGATCCTCCAGATCCCTGAGGGAACAAGAGATTTTGGAGGAGGACTGTGATGTGTTGTCCCAGGAAAGCTGCCCTGAAGGCAGTGATCACTGTGATGTTTCTGCAGGGGCTGGCAAGGGATGTTCTGCGGGCACGGCAGAGCAAGGGGACATCAGGAGAACCAGCAAGGATTGCTCAGGAGAGAAACCCTCTCCCTCCACACACTGTGAGGGGAATGGGTGCCCACCTGCTCTCATACAGCACGTAGAGGGACTTCCAGTGTCACCTCACAGGAGTGAGAATAAGAAGCGTTTATTGAAGAAGTCAAAAGCCACTGAGATTGAGGAGGACGTTGAATGTTTGGAAGAGAAAGGCCCCATTCCAGCTGCCCAGTGCTCAGATGTAACAGCACCATCAGCTCCAAAACACGGGAGCACAGAGGGTAAATCTGCTCCTAGCCATGCCTCAGACTCTGCTTTTCAGGAGGGCAAAGAGTCCATTTCAACCCTCACACATTCAGAAACCACCCCAAAGTCTTCTCCTCCGAGTGAGGGAGGTGTGTGTCTGCCTCAGGAATCTGCTCCCACTGACACCCACCCAGATCTAACAGGTGGAAGCTTGCTTGTCAAAAGGACAGCCCCAGCCCCACCTTGGAAAGACAAAAGGCAGAAACACTCAGATGAAAAGACTTCTGCTCATGGCACTGCTGAATCTGAACCCATGGAGCATGAAAGCTATGCTGCTCCAACAGAACAAACAGAAACTGAATCACTTCCAGTATGTAAAGACAAAAGTGAGGAAATTCCTGGGGAAAGTGTTCCAGCAGCTACCGTCACGCTGGGCAAACAGCCAGGTACCCTCACAGCTGGTGAAGGTGTTCCTCAGAAGCTGAAGAGCCATAAAGATGTGAGATCTGCTGTCCTGGACAATGCAGAAGCAGCTGTTACAGAAATCACTCCGCCATCAGCCCACGGTGGTGAAAGCCAAGCACACAAGAAGGCTCCTGTTCACTCAGACACAGCAGCAGCTGTCCTGAAGGGAGAGCAGCTCGCTGCTCCCAAAATCCCACCACCAGGATCAGTGCCAGCTCTGGTCTCTGATGGAGCACAGCAGGCTCTCAGCAAGGAGGAACTTGCTGCTCTGAGTAGTAAAAGCTCAGCTGTCCCAGGGGTTGTTTCCAGTTTGGCCCATGAAGGAGCTGAATCCCAGAAGGTTCCTGAAGGCCACAGCTCAGAGCCTGCTGCTCTGGAGAGCAGACACCCAGCCAGAGCTGCCTCCTCCCAAAGCACTGTGGTCCCTCAGGTCTGGGAGGGTGAAAATCAAGAACACCCAGAGGTGTCAGTTCACAGGGAGGTGAGATCTGTTGTGACAGCAAGGGGGAGCCAAGCAGCTGGACAATCTGTGGCTGCTCCTTTCCCCAAGGCTGGACATGGGGTGCTTGAGCAGCACAGGGCTGGGATTTCAGATGGTCTGGAGAGTGGCAGTTCAGGTGCATTAACTGCTTCACAACCAGAAATTGCTCCAGCTGCAGCCTATGAACTGGTATATGAGGAATATCCAGAGAGTTATGGTGAGGATGGAGGCATTGCCTTAGAAGGTGGAAGAAGTGATGCTGGAGAACCTGCCCCACCACTGCTCCGCAGGGATCATCATGGCCAGGAGCTGTCACACCACAGATCTTCTTTTTACAGTGATGAGGAGTCTGCTGTGCTGGAGGGCTTGGTGGATGAGATGGTTTCCCTCTCTGAGGAGATGGATGTTTGGGCAGAGTCAGTTTCTGGAGAGAAGGGAAGCAGAAGGCACATTTCTCCTCCCAGAGGGATGTCCTACAAAGGCAGCCAAGCACACATGGACACCTCCTTCCCTTCAGTCCAACAGGGTGGAAGAGGAGAGGTCGCTGAGCAGGATGACCTTGCAGAACCCTGCCTTGCTGTGAGTGAGGAGCCAGGAGTCCTGGAAGAGCAGGGAGCACAGACAGTTCCTCATGAATGTGAGCACCTGGAGGACTTGGCATTTGAGACCTCCCCTTCCAGCCCAGAGAGCCTTTCCTCCACAGAGAGCTTGGACACTGCAAGAAGACACATCCCAGTGATCAAGGACACTGGCAAACACCCAGAAGTCTCTTTGGTGAAAATCAAGGACCTGTCAGATGAAACACCCAGTGTTGGCAGCGGCCCCCAGAAATTTGACATCTCGGAAGTGGAGCCTGCCTATTTGAATTTCTCAGATTTGTATGACATTGTCTATTTCCCATTTGAGTTTCTGAGCTATAAGAAGCCTTCACCCAAACCAGTTCCTAGAAGGTTCATGTTCCTTGGTGAAAGGGCAAGGTCCCCTCCTGCAGGACATCTCCATAAGGATAAAAGACTGTGCATCAGGGAGCAGGAAGACAAGAACAGGAAGAACCGTTTGGAAATATCTGAGGATTCAAAGGCAGCTAACTTATTAGCCATGGGGAAGGGGGCAGAGAGCCATAAAGAAATGTATAGCTCCCAAAAGGACTCCAGTGGGAAGCAGAAAAGCTCCTTCCACAGCAAGCCTGGACTCTTTAAGCCTTATGCAAGGTCTCATTCGGTGGAGCAGTCAGTGGAGCAGAGTCTGAAGAAGAAAGTAAAAGCTTCTGTTGCCCACATTTCAAGAATCCTAAAAGGAAAGACATCTCCTGAGCCAGAGGAAGGTAATTATTTCCCTCTGTTCCTTTACAGATTTGCTGCCATAACTGTGCTCTGCTACAGCTGCTCTCTTCTTTTCCCCCAGCATGTTTGAAGCTGTGGTTAGACCAGAATTGTAAATCTGGCTGTGGCAGGTTCTGAATTCAGCAGTCTCCACCATCAGGTCTCTGTTACTGGCTGTCTTCAGTGCAGTCAACTGGGTTAATCCACTGATGGAAGGGGCTCAAATTCCCTGTTTGAGGTGGCACAGAAGCAGAGCAGGGCTGGGTGATGCTTTCCTTGCTGCACTTGTCATCTGACTGTGGCAAATGTCTCAGGTTAAAGTGACTGGGAGAAGCTGAAGTCACCCTGGTTACTTGACATGGGGATCTGTCCTTTCTTCTCTGCCATCCCTGGATAGTCCCTGTTCTTCCAGGACTGTGTTCTGTTTGCAGCAGCTGTCACAGGCTTCCCTGTTAATCAAACGCTGGTTAATAAGGGAACCTGTGACTGTTTATGTGTGAAGGCAGACCTGTCACTGCAAATAGATGCCATGGGGAGAAGGGTGGCCTTGAATGACTTCTCATCCTTTCTCACAGCAGAATTTGGTGAGCTGGGAAGTGAGGCAGCAGAAAAGGAGCTGTTAATAGGGGCTGAGGGATCTCTGAAGAGGAAATCAGCACTCCCTTCATTCAAGCTGCCAAGCCTCATCCCAAAGGAGAAAGGTATTGCTGTGGCAGGAGTCATTGGTTTGTTTTACCCTCAGAGGGTGATTCAGGAAATAATTGCTTAATCCCTGAAAAGTTTCCCCTTGGCTCCATCAGGAGCATTTTCTGAGGTCATGTTACTGTCCCAGCATTCAGCAGAGCCCAGACAAACACTGGGAAGGGCAGCTGTGGGAGGCTGGCAGCCCCTGGCCACTGTGGAGAAAGTGGCCACAAGAAAACCTCAGTTCCCCCTTTCCCATGGAGATAGGAGCAGATTTGATGCTCTACAGGGTTTTTTCTTCTTCAATATCCGTCTTTCCTATCAATCTTTCTTGTGTTGTCTGAATCATAGAATCATTTAATTGGCAAAGACCTCTAAGTTTACTGAGTCTAACCATTACTCCAGCACTGCCAAGGCCACCACTAAACCATGTCCCCAAGTGTCACACATCTGTTAAACCCCTCCAGGATGGTGACTACCTGATCATCCTCCTCCAGTCCTTGACAACACTTTCCATGAAGATATTTTCCCTAATATCCAAACTAAACCTCCCTTGGGGAAACTGGAGACCATTTCTTCTTGTCCTATTTGATCACCTCATTCTTGAAATTCCATAATTCAGTTTTGTACCCACATGTAGGTTTGACCACAGAAAACCCCTTGCTGTGACAGGGTCTCTCTCTGCTCTGAGCTGTTCTGCTGCTTTAGCTGTACCAGGGCTGGGCAATGCAGATATTCCCCATGGGTTTTCCAAGATCCATCTGGATCTGTCACACTACACCCTTGGGTGAACAGGGCTCCTTCCCCTGTCTGCTCTGTGCCTGGGGAATTCTCCAAATGGTGATGGTCAAAGGAATGGGACACCATGAACCAGAAAGGTTCTTGACCCCATTAAAAATGCTTTCTCATGTCCTGCAGGGATTTATTTTTGTAGCAGGGCTGGGCAATGCAGATATTCCCCATGGATTTTCCAAGATCCATCTGGCCTGTCACATTACACCCATGGGTGAACAGGGTTCCTTCACCTGTGTGCTCTGTGCTCAGGGCATTCTCCAAATGGTGGTCAAAGGAATGGGACACCATGAACCAGAAAGGCTCTTGAGCCCATTAAAAATGCTCTCTCACGTCCTGCAGGGATTTATTTTTGTACCAGGGCTGGGCAATGCAATGGATTTTCCAAGATCCATCTGGTCTGTCACACCCATGGGTGAACAGGGTTCCTTCACCTGTCTGCTCTGTGCCCGGGGGATTCTTCAAATGGTGGTCAAAGGAATGGGACACCATGAACCAGAAAGGCTCTTGACTCCATTAGAAACGCCTTCTGATGTCCTGCAGGGATTTGTTTTCCACCAAGCTCTCCAGGCCATCCTGAATCCCCCTCTCCCTCCTCTCTGCAGCCCCGTCATTCACTGAGGAGCTCACGGACCAGGCTGCGGCCGCCGGACAGTGCGTGACGCTCTCGTGCCGGACTGCACCTCACTCCTCCCTGCACATCAGCTGGTTCAGAGGTGACACTGCCATCCCTCCAGAGAGCCCCTGACCCTCAGGACAGGGCCTACAATTACCCCTGTATAATTTGCAGGGTACTTATGTCTCCCATCTCCTGCTTTCCAGATGGGAGACCTGTCCAGAGCAGCAGCCGGATCCTCATCTCATCCACACTCAAACACTTCCAGCTGTTAACAATTCTCTCTGTTAATGCTGAAGATTTTGGTATTTACACCTGTGTGGCCACAAACTCTCTGGGCTCAGCATCCACCTCTTGTGTCATAAGAAAAGCAGGTGAGAGAAGGAGTAGCTACAGAAATAGGCATTTAAGTAATTTTGTCCCCAAAAATGTAACCTATCAATACCTTGGAGATGATATTTCTTCACATGGGTGGAGAAAGAGAGAGAGAGAGGAAGATCTCTCCCTTGCTGTGGTCTACAGCCTGTGCAGGGTTCATTCCCTCTTCTTCACTCTTTATTTTCTCTCCGGGATTAAGAGCAACTCCAAGATAAAATCTTAATACTGAGTTTAAATCAGAGATGGCAAAATTGCTGTTCCACTAGCTGTGTGTATATATATGTATACATAAAAACATTTACATGTTTTATATATATATAAATAATATGTGCAGCTGAGACATGCTGGGTGTAGAGTTTTGTATCATAGAGCGCTGCTGTTAACACTCATGGGCTTTGTGCCTCCTCTCCACAGAGGTTCCCCCCAGCCCTCCACCCCCTGACATCGTGGAGGTCTACAAGGATGGAGTGCAGGTGGTTTGGAAACCTGTGGAAACCAACACCCCTGTCCACTACACTGTCCAGTGCAAGACTGAAGGTAAAGTGCTATCCTTATGCTTTGCAAGGGACATCTTGGTTTGCATGATCCCTTCACCTGAAAATTTTATTGTTATTCAGAAACAGTCTGATTTAACTCCCCAGTTTAGAGTTAGGAATGGGATTCATTTAACGATCTAAAAGTTAGGGGTTGTGCTGGTTAAATCAGCCTGGAATTTGCATATTCATACCTAGGCTTTGCTAAAGTATGAATCAAACAAGGCTGTGTGGAAGCTACAAGCAAAAACTGAGCAGCTACAGGAGAAAATGGCTGGTCTGATATAATCTGATATAAACTCTGAGTAATCTGACAAAATGAGACACTAATGAAACAACATCATCCCAGGCTCAGGTTTTCTGTACAGTCTTGGAGAAAGATGATTTATCAAACAGGCAATTTATCCTCTGCTAAACAGCTGTGCTTTCTTTTTCCATTGACTGTGGAGGAAGCTTAGGGCAAAGAGCCAGGACAAAATAACCAAAGTTTGGCAAAACTGCATCACCCCTTTGATATTCTCTTTTGAGGCTTGGTCCAGAGGCTGGTGAAAGTCAGTGGATCATTTAATCATGGAATGGTTTGGGTTGGAAGGCACCTTAAAAACCATCTAATGCCAGCCCTCCATCCATGGGCAGGGACACCTTCCACCATCCCAGGGTGATCCAAGCCCTGTCCAGCCTGGCCTTGGGCACTGCCAGGGATCCACGGGCAGCCACAGCTGCTCTGGGAACCTGTGCCAGGGCCTCAGCACCCTCAGAATAATAAATTCTTCCTGACATTTAATCTAAGTCTCTCACAATTTAAAGCCCTTCCCACTCATCCTGTCACTATCTGCCCTTGTCAAAAGGGGATGTTTTCCTGTTTAGTTACAAAAGCTTTGTATCAAATCCCCAAGGCTGTCCTGTCTCTCTTGGGGTGGATTTGCTGTTGTTATTATGAGTGTGATGTCTGATAGCAATTCCTGCTGCAGCCACACAAACACAGCCTGGATTCTGCTGCTCCATGTTCCTTCACTAATTCTCCAAACAAACAAACACACGAACCTTCCCTTCTGGATTAGCATGGGCAGCAGCTTTCTGCCCTTTCCCTCTGGAGCTGGTGTGAGTCACTTTCCCTCCAACACCACTTTCTTTAACATTATTCCTTTTGACACAACTGTAGGAGAGATTTTGGGAGGATACAAACACAAGTTCTTCCAATTAGAAAGCGAAATGTGGAACAGCATCTATATTTTCCACTGTGTTCTGTGTAGGAACTTGGCAGGAACTTGCAAAATCCTGCTCTCCTGAACACAGGAGAATTAAGATAATCAGGAATAAATTCCTTTTTTATCTATTATTTGAAAACAGGCTTTTCTATGCTGCTTCTGCACATATTTTTCTCAATTTCTAATCTCTATCTGCTCCTTCTTGCACAAAGAGCTCCCAGTTCAACCATTACCCTCTAAAATCATTGATACCTTGGGTTTGAGTGGGGAATTGCTGCTTATCCAATGGTTTGAGGCTCTTTGCCAGATTTTATTTGAATGGAAGGATGAGTTTAATCTCAGACAGTTGCAGGGAGTTGGGTTCAGCCTTGAGCACAGAGGGCACAGCATCATGTGGGAGGAATGCTGATAAAATGTTTGCTGGGAATTTTCTCCTTCCTAACTTAGTCCCACGAATAATGAGTCCAGAAAGCACTTAGAATTCCAGTTCCATGAGAAATCATCTGAGTTTCATAAAAACTGAGTAAAAACCCCCATGTTGCAAACACTGGGTTTGGTGGGATGGTGTTAGTGGATGGTTCTGTCCAGGAATCCTGCACCGCATGGTCTCAGCTAGATTTAAGACAGGGTGAACAGGAGGAAAAAAAATAGTGATTTATCTTTTGTTTGGAGTCCTTGATGTATATTTCCAGTAAAGTTTGGTGGCATAAATTAGATAAAGAGAAAAAATACAGGAAAATGTCACCTTTCCTCTGGAACAATATTGGCACAATTTGGAATTATCAGATATGAACCAACTAATTTTAGAAAAGGTAGAGCCCCAAAGTTGGCCAAATTGGTTTCTCCACATTCCCAGCCCATAAAGCTGGTGGGGAAAAAAAACTGGGGAAAAAAACCACAACAAAACCCCAAATATCTAAAAAACCTCCAAGCCATAGTGACCACCTTAAAATGAATCCTGATTTCTTTTCTCTCTGTTCTTGGTTCAGATGGGGAGTGGACAACTCTTGCTTCTGACATCACTGACTGCTGCTACTATGCCAGAAATCTCCCCCAGGGCTTTATCTACAGCTTCAGGACAGCCTGCAGCACCAAGGCAGGGATGGGCCCCTACAGTGACCCCTCTGCCAAAGTGGCAATCACTGCCAAGGATCAGATGGGTAAGACCAAACACCCAGAAAACTTTGGGATTTTCCTGCATCAGACCTGCTGCATCTTTTTAGTTGTTGACCCAGAAGCCAAGAGCAAGTGAATCAAGGCCAATTCCACTTGGCTCAGGGTTGTTCAGGGCTTTTGCATCTAAAATTAAATTATTTTCTAATTATTTTCTAGTTCTGGACACAGGGGAATAAGTATAAACATATTAAAAACCTCAAGATAACAACATCATGTAAATATAAACAATGTGTAACTATATAAAATTTAATATTAAAAATAAATATATATTATTTATTAAAATAATATATATTAAATTTAATACTAAAATAACAACCTGGGAGCTGTAGATTACCTGTTGAAGAGACAGTTTTGATTTGAGATTATGAGGAAATTGGTCTTGTACAAAAAATGTTTTACTGGAGGCATTTATCTACTGATACAGATCTTGCATTGGTGAAAACTCTGGACTTGCTTATATTACAGACTAAATCCTAAATTCAGTAGTTATTTTGTCTATTTTGGAGTCTTCCATTGGGAATTACTGTCCTGTGGTGAATTTTCCAGCTGTATTTTGTCTCTGAAGTATAGAAATCTTGATTTACTATTTTTGTCACCCGTTTGACTACTTTGTACTGCACACATGTTTTTAAAATTAAGAGGTCCATGCCCCACAGCAAACAGATCCTCATGGCAGAGGAAATGTCCCTTCTGTAAAGAGACAGAAGGATGCTCTAGCTGGAATTTCCTCCCAATGGAGAGGATTGCTCTGTAAGAATCAGTTCACAGAGATATTTTTAACTCACCCCAAGTCCTCTGCTTTCCTTTTTCTCAGGATTTCTTATAATATCTCAGCTTTTCCAACCAGATGCTTTAAAAGGATGTTTTAGTATTTCAGGGGGTGCTTGGACACAACCAAACACCAGAACCAGAGCAACAAGTTCCAGCTGCTGCTCTGAAATGTCCAACCACAATTTTTCTAATTGTTTCCAATTTCTTGACAGTTTTTACCATATCCTGAGAATTTGTTGTGTGAGAAAATAAGAAATAGTGGCTAAGAGGTTTGATACCATAGCACACAACAAAGAATCCATCTCATTCTGTCTGCAGTGGCCATATCAGGGAATTTTGGGGTGGACAGAGCAGAATCTGCTGCATTCCAGTAGCAGTGGGTGCTATATTCCAATATATATTCCAATAGCAGCTGGAACACAGAGTCCCCTGGAGAAAGTTCTGCTTGTTGTTGTTGTTCACAGATAACAGGGGAGACTCATAGAGGCTCCAGTTTCCACACAGAGCTGTTTTCCCATGTAAAGCTGTTTTCCCTTTCCCCCTGCAGAGCCTCGTGCTGCCCCACAGGAATCCCCATCAGCTGCCCCTGAGGAAGAGAGTGAAGTGATCTCACCTCCTGAGCCCTTCCCAACCTACCAGACCTACGCCTTCCACACTGAGATCAAAAGGTAGAGAACCCAGCTGAGTTCTTAATAATCCAGGGGGAAATCCCACATGTGATGGAGCAGCTCTCCTACAAAGAAAGGCTGAGAAAACTGGGGTTGCTCAGCCTGGAGAAGAGAAACTTCAGGGTGACCTAACTGCACCTTCAAGTACCTGAAGGGAGCCTACAAGAAAGGAGATTTCCACAAGGGGATTTAGGGACAGGACAAGGGGATGGCTTCAACTGAAAGAGAGTAGGGGATGGCTTCAACTGAGTTCTTAATGACCCAGAGGGAAATCCCACATGTGATGGAGCAGCTCTCCCACAAAGAAAGGCTGAGAAAATCGGGGTTGTTCATCCTGGAGAAGACAAACTTCAGGGTGACCTAACTGCACCTTCCAGTACCTGAAGGGAGCCTACAAGAAAGATGGAAAAGGACTTTCCATAAGGGAATTTAGGCACAGGACAAGGGGATGGCTTCAAAGTGAATGAGAGCTGGTTTAGATTATAGATATTAGGAAAAAAATTCTTGCCTGTGTGTGGCAGTGTTCGCAGGGGTCTTAGGATGAGGGAAGAGATGAGGATCTGACTCCATGTTTCAGAAGGCTTGATTTATTATTTTATTATATATATTATATTAAAACTATACTAAAAGAATAGAAGAAAGGATTTCATCAGAAGGCTGGCTAAGAATAGAAAAGGAATGATAACAAAGGCTTGTGACTGACTGAGACAGTCCAGACAGCTGGGCTGTGATTGGCCATTAATTAGAAACAATCACATGAGCCCAATCACAGATGCACCTGTTGTATTCCACAGCAGCAGATAATCAATGTTTACATTTTGTTCCTGAGGCCTCTCAGCTTCTCAGGAGAAAAAATCCTGAGGAAAGGATTTTTCATAAAACATGTGACACCTGTGAGGGTGGGGAGGCCCTGGCACAGGCTGCCCAGAGAAGCTGTGGCTGCCTCACCTCTGGAAGTGCTCAAGGCCAGGTTGTTTTACCCCCCTTACTGTAAAAAATAACTTCTTCCTCATATCTGGTCTAAATCAACCCTCTTTTAGTTCAATACCATCCCCCCTTGTCCTGTCACAACAGATGTGCTGGGCAGGGGGCAGCCAATTGATTTATTATTAAATGAGCCCTGGGCTAATAACGTTTCTTGTCCTTGCTGCACCAGTCTTTGCAGACACAGAAAGACACTGATTTCTGCTGGCAACAGGCATAGTTCTCTTGCTCTCTCCTCTCTCTCCAGGGAAGTTAAGCTCTCACTCCTGTAATTTAAAGTGACTGTACAGAAGAAAGACACAGGAGGATGTGCAAACTGTGACAGTAGATGCAGTAACTCCCCACCAGGCACAGATGAAAAGCACAGCACGGGATCCTGGTGGTTTTAAAGAACAGGAGAGAAGCTAAACGTGCCTTTGTGTTCTTTGCACCAGGGGCCGGTTCAGCATCGTCCGGCAGTGCCGGGAGAAGGTGAGCGGCAAGACTCTGGCTGCTAAAATCATCCCTTACTGGCAAGAGGACAAGCAGGCTGTGCTGCTGGAGTACCAGGTGCTCAGGAAGCTCCACCACACCAACATAGCCCAGCTGAAGGGTGCCTATGTCAGCCCCAGGCACCTGGTGCTGATCCAGGAGATGTGTGTGGGGCCAGAGCTGCTCCACTCCTTGGCCTTACGGTAAGAACATGAGGGAAGAGTTTTCCAGTCAAGGCTGCTGTTGGGATGAAGATACCTGTTGGTTTCTCCTGACAAACTGGATCATCCCTCTCCATCTCCTCCACTGTGCTGTCATTGAACACAGGATTTCTAAAGTGTTTGTTTTGCATCTTCTTGCAAGATTAAAAAATTACTTGAGTTTTCTACAGCAGGACAACTCAGGGCCACCCAGCTGAGATGCTGAAAGCAGTTTACAGTGGTTGATATGAAACTATTGATGCCTTGTGCAGGCTGACCTAGAGCAGAGGCTGGACAGAGCTAAAGAATAAAGCAGGGATTTATTAAAAGGATCTCCTCCATGGATGCACCTTGGGCAGCACCAGAGCCCAGCCAGGGCTGCACCCAAGATGAACCAAAATGGCCCCAAAATGCACGAGCGCTCCCGGGGTCTCTCCCTGGGATCAGTTCTGCTCCATTTGCACCTTGCAGTTCATTGTCCCATTCCAGCTTTAGCCCAGGCAGTCCCACCCTGCTTGTTTTTCTCTCTCCAGCCCACGGTGTTTGTGCTCCTGGGCTGAGATTTGGATCATTTGTCCTTGGTGCCCAGCTGGAGCAGGAATTGTTTTGTCTCCCTGCTCTGTGCACAGAGCTCACCATGCCCTGATATAAAGCTCAGAACTCCACACTAAAGCAGCACAGAATCTGAAAATATAAAAGGTAAAACCTGAGGCATCACCATGTTCCATAATGTGATACATGAAGGGTTTCCTTACACCAACACTTGTTAACCCCAAAACCATGACATGGAGGTTACTGAGGGTCAGGAAGATTCATTGTTTCTCACAGTGGCACAAAATGGATCTATTAAATCCTGTGATAAAAAAAGAGGGAATTGTGGGCATCAAATCTGCTTTCTCTCTTGCAGCTCTACAACATCCTGTTGTTGCATCTGTAAACCCAACTCACAGGATGGACCAGCCTCTCCACACAGAGCTGATTTGCTAAACTGGAGTTGTTTCTTCTTGACTCTCAAGAGTCTGATGGGATCAGACACCCAGGGGAGGGTGACAGTGGGTGTAGAAAGGCATTTCTGGGCATGCAGACAGGACACATGTGTTTTCTATCCCCTTTCTCTCACCAGGACATCATACTCAGAGGTGGAGGTCCGAGACTACCTGTGGCAGATCCTCAGTGCCACTGAGTACCTCCATGCACACAACATCCTGCACCTGGACCTCAGGTCTGAGAACATGATCATCACTGAGCCCAACCTGCTGAAGCTCCTGGATTTTGGCAATGCACAGTTCTACACACCAGACAAATTTATTACCATGGATAAATGCTCAGACTATGTGGAGACCATGGGTGAGTAGAGCTCAGTCACAGCGACCTGGGGCTTATCTGCAATGTGTGATAAACAGAAAGACACAAACGTTGCTCAAGGCAGCAGGTGGACCCAGCAAGAAAAGCCTTCTAGGAGCTGCTCTCCAGTGACAGTGTGAGTTTGTGGGAGCACTGAGGGGTGACAGCTGTCCACTGCAGAGCACAGGGGACACAGCTCACAGCAATGCCACTCTGTCTGGCATCTATGTGTCCATTGCTGCCATCTGCCCAGAGGTTCTCATGGTTTCACTCCAATCAGCATCCATGTGGAAGCTCCTCATCCAGCTCCCTGTCTCAGAAATGCCTCTTCTTCCCTCTTGGGAAGGCAGCAAAGCACAAAAGTATCCCCTGCCTTTGTGCTGCTCTCAGTGTGTTGGAGAGGAGCTTGCCTCACACAAGTTTTCTTTTCCAGCTCCAGAACTGCTGACAGAGCAAGGAGCCCTTCCCCAGACTGATATTTGGTCCATTGGAATTACAGCCTTCATCATGTGAGTCCATTGGTTGCTCCCTGTGCTGTTATTGGCTTTAAAATCACAGTTTTAGATTTTCAATCACAGTCTTCATCATGTGAGTCAGTTGATTTTTCCCTACCCTGTGAGTGGCTTTAAAATCACAGTTACAGAGAGTTAATCTCAGCTGTGCCTCTCCTTTGGCAATGCCATGGAAAGCTGGAGGATGGAGGGGATAGATGGACAACCTGTGCCAGGGCCTCAATGCCCTCATAGGGAAGAATTTCTTCCCAATATCTAACCTAATGTTCCTTTCTTTTAATTTAAAACGGTTCATCTTTGTCCTGCCACTACAAGCCCTTATCCAAGGTCCATCTTGGAGGCTCTCTTGGAGCCCCTTTAGGCACTGGAATGGGCTCTAAGGTCTCCCTGAAGCCTTCTCCAGGATGAACAATCCCAATTCTCTCAGTTTTTTTCCAAAGGAGAGGTGCCCCATCTCTCTGCTAACCTCAGTGGCTTCCTCTGGACTCGCTCCAACAGCTCCACATCCTCCTCATGCGGCCACCCTAGAAAATAAACTACTCAAACTCTAACTCTAATAGCTTATAAAAACATTGGTCTTGTAAGCCAAAGATTGAAGACTAAACCCCTTCCTAGAGTTACCCCACCACCCTATCTCAGGAAGAAAGGATTCAAACCTTCATCTCCAACTCCCAAAGCTGGCATTTTTAACTAAACTACTTCCTGACCCTTCCATCAAAGAGCCTGAATCGCCCCCCGAGACAGCCCCCACACAAGGTCCAACACCACGAATAAAGTCAACAACAATCCTCAATTTTGTCAGCTGCTGGGAGATGGACGCAGCTTCATGTTTTCAATTCCCTCCTCCTGGGGCAGGTTGAGTGCCAACTACCCCATCAGCACGGATGTACCCTGTGAGTTCCTGAGAACAGCCAGGAAGGGGAAGCTGAAGCTGGCGCGGTGCTACGCGGGTCTGTCCGGGGGAGCAGTGTCCTTCCTGCAGAGCACTCTGTGTGCAAACCCTTGGTAAGAGGCTGCCTCTGCTCCCAGCACATCCTGGGTGTTGCCCCTTCTCTCCATTTGCAAGGAGCCTCCTGTCATGGATATATTTTCTGAAAAATCCTTTGCTAGGATTTGTTTCTCCAGAGAGTCTGAGACAGCTGACTGTGATTGGCCATTAATTAAAAACAACCACATGAGACCAATCAAAGATGCACCTGTTGCATTCCACAGCAGCAGATAATTATTGTTCACATTTAGTTTCTGAGGCCTCTCAACTTCTTAGGAGAAAAATCCTCTCAAAATGATTTTTCATGAAATATATCCGTGACAGCCTCCTCAGGCAGCACAGACCCCCCATGACTGACCCCTCACCTCTGTCTGTCCTAGGGGAAGGCCCTCAGCCTCCGAGTGCCTCCAGAGCCCCTGGCTGCAGGAGACAGGTCTGGACAACAGGCAGCAGGCACTGGTCACCTTCCCCACCACCAAACTGAGGAACTTCCTCATGGAACGGGAAAAGAAGAGAGGCCTGCTGTGCTCCAAGTATGGCCTCATGATTGCACAGTGACGTGGATGTGGTGACAGATGGGAATCACCTCCCTGTGCCCTCCTGCACCGGGTGTTTGGTACCAAACTCTCCTACCAACCCCACTGTGTTCTGTCCGTGTGTCCTTCCTGCCACAAGCTGTTTCTGTCTACGTGTGACTCGTGGGGGGAAATGGGACACTGGACAGTGAAGGCAGCAAACCCAACAGTGACCTTGCAACATGCAGATTTTGTACCACTGAGAGACTTTGCCACTTTGAAGCTGAGCTGCTCTTCCCTGGGTAGCAGGGACACATCCACTGGGAGATGTGGCAGCAGTGTCCCTGGCAAAGGCTGAGTGTTTTAATTCTTTTTAAAAACCCTGAAATGTCACGTTCCTCTTTGACCTTCACACCCTGCTTTCCTCTGCAAAGGATGGTGTTGGCTGTGTCATTGCTTTGTACTCATAACTTCAGTGTTCCTTTGAGTTCTCTGCAGTGATTGATGTATCCCTCAATTTCCCACATGAGCAGCAGTAAGAGGCTTTCTCAGAGCTGTGTCTGGCTGTGTTTAGAGGAAGGAAAACAGGAAAACAGTTCCTAATGCCCTAAAGTTCAATACTAAAAGTGAGGCTGTTTATCCAGGGATGCTCTTTCCCAACAAGTTTAACCCATATTGTTCCAAACCTGAAAGATGGAGCACCATGACTCCTTCCCTTGCTGAGCATGCAAAGCAGGAATTGTGATTGAGAGCAGAGGAGCTTTCCCTGTGCTGTGGAGAGCAGGCACCAACTCAATAGATTGTAAAACTTGGAATGCTGAAGTGTGCTAGAGGAGAGAAACCCAAGGGCTTAGGGCCAGACTCCGTGCTCAGTTCTCTGGGAGGAGAGCAGAGTTAGACAAGACAGGCACTGCAATGAGGGCCGCCCCCCCAAAAAACCTTTCAGGACTCTGGATCCTGTCCAATTTAACTTCTGTCACAAATCCAGTCAGGTTTTTGTTGGCACAGGCTGGTTCTTTGCTCTTGCTGGTGCACTTTGGGATGGAAAGGTCAGTGCCAAGGAAAAGCCTATCTAAACATAAAAAACATAATTATAGATTAACTCATTTGGAACTTTCATGCTTTTCCATATATGAATTATTTTCTCTTTTGCTTCTCACAATTGCATGCATTTGATCATGTCTGAGCTCTTTCATAGACTCAACACTGTTTGGTTAAATAAACCATTCTGACAAGCAAATAAAGCCACATTTTTCTGCTGAACCATTGTTATTACTTTTACATTCCTTCCCCAATCCCAATCCACATTTGTGCAGCACACATCCCTCACCCCTCAACTCTGACCTGGGCTCTTTGTGATAACTAGTACACACTGTATTATCTAGGAACCACTTCCATGCAGGACATCCACATGAAAAATCCTTTTCCTAGAGCTTTGGAAGGAGGACATCACCTGGGCAGGATGTGATGATGGCTCTGAGCTGCCAAGCTACCCCAAGGCATTCCTGGGCATGGTTTGTAGCTGGCATTGACCAGAATGTGAGAAGGGCTTCAGAGGAGTGAACCCATGGATGACAAAAAAATAGGTGAGAGCTGCAGCTGGAGCATGGAAGGAGTGAAAAGGTGCTGGAATTGCTAATGGAGATATCAGCAGTTGCAATCAAGCCTTACAGGTAGTTCTTTTTTTTTTTCCTTGGTCCTGCCACAACTGCTTGATAGTTTCTGCCTGAATTTCCACCACATCCATGAGGTCAGGGCTACTGACCAGTCTGGCAGGCTGGGACAGTTTGCCCTTAACATGCAGTTACAACATCATGTAACATCATGACCTTTGCAGGACAAAGCAGAATCTGGATCTGATGTTTGGACACATGTGAAAATGTTTGAGTTTCATTCCTCGACCACAAATAATCTCCACATCTCAAGGTTAGTGTCAGCATTAAAATCAATCCACTGTTCTCCATGCAGGAGAGACTTGGATTTAACTTCTGTAAGGAAGTGGTAAGAGTCCTAGTTGTTGAAGGGTAATAAAGCAAAGCAGAGCTTGTAGAGCAAAGTTTTATCCTGCACTGATTCAGCAGATAAAAAATATGTTTGAGGGCTGTAAGATCACAGTGGCTGTAGCCCATAAGGGATTGAGGTTGCTCTCTTTGGAGGCCTCATCAGATACAAGAAGGGAACCATAAACAAGACAAAATTTCCCCAGGGAAATGCATACGTCTCTGGAGAGGATATCTGCTGCTCTCTGACCTTTCAGGGGTTCACCACAAGCTGATGCCATCCTGCCAATGATACTTAATGAGGAAAATAAATTATCAGGTGCAGGATGTGACCAGACAAGTCTAGGGACCAATCAGTCACCTATTTGCACCCAACCAGCCCTTTTCATCCCCTTACATCTCAATTTTCCTCCCTAAATCACCCAAATTCCTCTTTTACCCCTCTTTGGTTCCTCCCCCAAACACTCTATTATGTAAATGCTCTTTTCCTACACTGCATAGACACCTCCCCTGCCTTGACACAATGCCCCTTATCCCAGGTGGTGATCCAGAGAGCTGCTTCTGATGACACATCTCCATGGGAGTCATGCTGGGACCATGGGGCTGATGCTCTGCTGGGGCAGCCCTGGGAGGAACCTCGGGAAAACCCTTATTCCTTGGAAGCCCTGAATTTGAGTTCCCACCTGTCACTATGACCCTGTGCTCCTCCTGGCTTTCAGTGGGCTGATGGTCCCCAGGATGGGGCTGGGAGTATCCTGGCAGGGCACATTTTGTGTCTATGTGTAGATTACCCTCTTCTATCCCAAAACCAACACAATAAGCAGCAGATTACCCTCTTCTGTCCCATAACCAACACAACAAGCAGCAGATTACCCTCTTCTGTCCCATAACCAACACAACAAGCAGCAGATTACCCTCTTATATCCCATAACCAACACAACAAGCAGTTGCTACCTCCTCCTCCTCCAACATGAGGAGGAGGAGGAGGTAGCAACAAAAGCCATGACAAACATTGAGCAAACAGGATCATATCAGTGTTGGCACTGCATGGATCTGATAACCATGAGATCAGACAATTTGTCCCACAGGTGACAGCAGAACAAACACCACCCCAGGAGTGCCCAGGTCAGCAGCGTGGCCGGTGTCTGAAGCGAACGTCGCGGACAGGCTGCATGGTCCCGAAGCCCCAGCGGCTGATGTCTATGGCTGGGATCTCCTCCTCCCCATCGACCAGCTCCAGGTCAAAGTGACTCAGCATCAAGAACACAAACAATTTCATTTCAGCAGTAGCAAAGAAGCGCCCGGGACAGATGGAAACTCCTGCCCCCCAAGGCATGCTGACGAATTTCAGCTTTTTCCCGTTTCTGTAGAAATCTTTCCTGGTGCTGTCTGGGTTTACAAAACGGTCGTACTTAAATTTGTGAGGTTCCTCGTGGATTTCTGGGTTCATCTGCACGGAGATGTATGGGAACAGAGCCACCCTGTCCCCCCTGCGGAGGGTGAGCTCTGTCCCACTGCTTGTCCTCAGGGAGGTGTCCTCAAGCACAGCTCTGACCAGTATTGGGGCTGCCACCAGCCTCAGGGTCTCCTCCAGAGCACTGTCCAGCAGAGGGGTCTGGTTCAGCATGTCCCTGGTGACAGTAACTGGAGGGCTCCCTGCCTTCACTTCCTGCCCACTCTCCCTCAAGACTTTATCCACTTCATCTCTCACAGCATTCAGAGCCTCTGGATGCTTCAGCAGATACAAGAGGAGCCAGAAAGCAGTCGGGCCCGTGTTGCCTTGGGATGCCCAGAGGAGCATGAACATGAAACGCTCCCGCATGTACTCGGGGACACCGTTTTCTGCCAGAAGTTTCTCTTGATCACTTATCCAGCCACTGATATTGTCCTTCTGCCAGACATTCTTCACAGACAGCACGTTCCAGAAGTGTCTCTTCAGCCTCTCAGCCTCTCTTTTGTCTTTGGGAGGCAGCAGAGCATAGGCCAGGCGAGGGAAGAGGCGGTCGTACTTACGGAACTCCTGGAAGAGCTGGTTGGAGTGGAGGCGATCCTGCTCTTCAGCTTTCTCCTGGCTCCCTGCCCCTCGGGGTGGCTCAGTGCCATACAGAGCCAGATACCCAGCTCTGAAGACAATGTTGTAGCAGTAGTGGAAGAGGTTTTCCTCCTGCCACACTCTCTTCTCTCCTGAGCTCAGGTTGAAAAGCAGCAGCTTCCGAAAGCTCTCCATGGTAGCTTGTGTGAGGACAGTGAGGCCATCTCCCATCAGGTGCTTTATGCTTGATGTATGGACTATGCTATGAGTGGCTTCGATGGGTTTGTAGCCAAAAACCTGCACGACCAGCTGAGTGGCACTAGTCCTAAAGTCCAGTTTAGATCGTGATTCCTTCACAATGGTGCCAAAGGAGAAGGGATCCATCACAAAGGTGAAGTAATAACCACCGATCAGCACTGTGAAAACATCCCCGTGTTTGCTCTGCATCCTTTTGAGAAACTCTGAGCTGTCCTTTCTGAATTCCAGCAGATGGCCCAGCCAGGGAATGGTACCTTTGTCCAGGGGTGGTTCATTGGGTCTCTGTCTCCGAAACACGCCCAGGACGTAGAGCCCACCGAGCAGTGATGACACCAAGGTGCAGAGGAGAGCCACCCAGAGCACCATGAGAGCTCTGTGCCGTCCGGGAGCTGGGAGTAGAGGCAGGTTGGGGCAGGAATGTGCATTTTATCCCCACCCAGCAGCTGACAGGCAGATGCAGAGCTGACAGCCTGTGTCCTCATTGGCTGTGAGTGTTTGCCTTGCCCCTGCTCAGTGCTCTGCTCGAGGTGAACTCGTCCCTGGATGAACAGAGATTTTTAAGGTGGAAGGTATGTTGGAATCCCGTTGGAGTACCCACGCTGTATTGGGGGGATGGGTTTTGGCATGAGGCAAATTCCCTTCTCTAGGCTGCATGGAGCCCAGATTTTATAAGGAAAATGTTCAGAGAATCCCACTCTGTGATTTTTGCCTTTAAGACCAGGCTATGGACACCCACTGAAAAAATGAAACCAAGAGTGGGTGTTGGAAATGCTACTGGAAATGAGCACAGGACTGAGGGAAGGGGGTCACAGCTGAGCTCATTTAGTCTCAAAAGCCAAGAGAAGGAAAAGTCTCTGTCATTTTGGTGATCTCCACAGCACATGGTGTCCCAGGGGTGCTTTGCCAATGAACAGTGCAAGGGCTACTGCTCTGTCAGAGTGCCAAGCAAAGCAGCTGAGCTGCCCCATGAGTGAGGAGAGCTTGAGCCACTGCATTTGCGTGGCACCAGAGGAGCCCAGAGCTTCCAGATGCTCCATCCAGCCCCTGGATGGGGAGCAGTGCCCATAGGGACCACAGCACTTCTGCTTCACCCACTTTCCCTTCTGCTTCTCAAACTCCCCTGTTACCTCTCTCCAGATGGGGTTTGGGGACAATGTCAGGGACCCCTTGTCCCCTGTCACTGCTCCCCTGGGTGTTGCCACCCTGATCTATCCAGACTGCCACCACAGCCTGTCCCAGCCCCTGGTGCTTGGACCTCTTCTCATGCAGGATGGAGAGTGACATTAACTCCCTTCTATTCCTCACCTTTGCTCTTCCCTAGAGCATCCCATCAGAAGTTTTCCACAGTCCCAAGTCTTCCTCTGTCTGGGATCATAATCTTCATTTTTTAGCTTCCCAGCTGCTCTCCCTTCTGTCCCTTTCCACGATCCCTACAGTGACCTGACCCTAGGAGTGAAGGCCACATCACAGCATCAGCTAAATATTTATTCTGGCTTTGTTTTTTTAAGGAAAGCTCCCAACCTTAGCATTTTGGAAAAACACTGCAGCAATGTTGGGAAGAAAAATAACAGCAGTGATCAACTCAAAGCCCTTCTCAGTCCTGTAACCTTATGTAGTAATAAAATAAACGTGATGAGTGCTTTCTCTTAAATTAATCATTTTATTTGTAAACTCTAGGCAAGTTCCAGACTTAATAGATTTTCAGGATGAAAAGGGACCATTTAAGGTTCAGGAGCATTTGGGGTGAATAACGCCTTGAAATAAAAGTCAGCAAACTCAGAACCTTGAACTTCAAAGCTGCACTGGGTAATAAGGATTGACCATCAGCCCTCTGTGCTCTGCTGTTCAGGACATGCTCTCACTCTGTTGTGCTTCAAAGCTAATATTTATCTTACAGGTGGTATCCATGGATCATTTTTATCTTGTCAAACTGGATCTTGGAAGGCAAATACCTTTACCACTGTTCTGCTGAGCCCTCTTTTTATCTCTTTCTGAGTGTTACTGGTCTGGACTGTTCTGCTCAAACTGTCTCAAATCAGCTGATGATCAAACTGATCGCTAACCAAGGCTCTGCCCCTTGGGGAGCCACAGTTCCCTGCTCAGCAGGTCCATGTGCCACAGCTCATCATGACAGAGAACAACTCAGCTCAAAGGTGTCCAGTCCTTCCTGTTTTTCTCCTGGTAGGAAACAAGATTGTCCTGGTTAAATCGTCTGGCAGATGGTAAGAGCCAGGAGAAGCAAAGCCATCCCTTGGCAGTCCTTCTGGCCTGATGGATGAGCATGGAATTCCATCCATGGAAAGCCCATGCCAGGGAGGAGGAGAATCTCTCCTCAAGTTTTAGTTTGCATTTTTTAAGGCACAACATTGAGAAATCTGATCCTTTGTTTGCTACTGCCTCACATACTCCAGATGGGAACTGGGTTTCTTCCACTAGTGCAAATCCAGGACAATTCTTTCGTAATAATTCCACTTGCAACAAAAACAGATCCCACATGTACTTTTCCAATCCCAGTATGGAAAGTCCTCATCTCAAGGCTGTTGCTAGGATGAACTATCTGGTTACACAGTGCTGTGGGCTCACACCAACTCCAGCATGGGCAGGATAGGATGTAAATAATGTAAATATTTATGATGCATTTGTGATGCTCAACATTTCTATCTCAGCTGCGTATCTGCTGCAAGATGGGCTCGTCTGGGAGTCCTGGATGGAAAAGAAAGCACCTCTCCTGAAAATGGCCTGAGGGATCTTCCACAAATATGCCCTGAAGCGTTTCTTCACAAAAGCATAGAGCAAGGGGTTGAGACAGCAGTGGACAAAGGACAAGCTCTCTGTGACCTGCAGGGCATAGTCCAGTTTCCTGCTGCTTTCACAGCTCCTGATCACACCGACATCTTGCAGGGAGTGGAGGATGAGCACAACGTTGTAAGGACACCAGAGCACAAAGAAGACCCCCACCAGAGCAAGGACTAAGCAGAGAGCTCTCCTGGAGCCAGGTATCTGGGAGGTGTTGAGCACACAGGCGATGCGGGAGTAGCAGAAGGTCATGAAGAGGAGGGGGAAAAGGAATCCCAGGACGTTTTGAATCACCCGAAAGACAACTTTCCAAAATAAGTGTTCCTGGCCATAATCCTGGGTGCATATGATGGTTTTGTTGTGAATTTGCCTTGTGCTGGTGAAAAGGCCATCAGGAATGGAGAGAGCTATGGAAAGGACCCACATCACCAACAAGAGGAGGATGGAATTCCTCCACAGCATGGAGCTGTGAGGAGACCAAGCATGAACTATCTGCAGGTACATGTCCAGGCTCATGCAGCTCACAAAGAAGATGCCACTGTAGAAGTTCAGAGTGTACATGGCATTCAAGAATGGGCACAAGATGTCCCAGGTGACCCACTGAGAAATGAACAGAGCCCAGAAAGGAAGGGTCAGTAGCAGGAAGAAGTCTGAAACCACCAGGTTCAGCAGATACAGCTCAGTCATCTTCTTTTTCTTCCTGATGTACATGAGGAGGACAGCAAACAGGAGAGCATTCCCAGCCATTCCAACCAGGAAGATGATGGTGTAAAACGATGGCAAGAACACCCTGCTGAAGGAGAGCACCTCCTCTTTGGTGCACAGGCCATATAGCCCATAATCCTCCTCATCCAGGTACTCATATGGGTACTCACTCGAATTGGCAGCATCCAGCCACGAGTCTGTGGTTGTTGCTGTCACTCCTGAGCTTGTGTTTGACCAGGGGCTGCCTAGGAGCAAGGAAAAGGGATCAAATGTTGTTCCAAGGAAGGAAACAGCCCATCACAGAGGAAATGTGAAACACATGTTTGAAACACACAGATGTTTAGTTCATAGAATCATGGAATGGTTTGGCCTGGAAGGGAACATCAAGGTCATCTCGTTCCACCCCCTGCCATGGGCAAACACCTTCCACTATCCCAGGTTGCCCCTAGCTCTGTCCAACTTGGCCTTGGACACTGCCAGGGATCCAGGGGCAGCCACAGCTTCTCTGAGAACCTGTGCCAGGGCCACACAGTAAAGAACTTCCTCCTAATATCTGGTCCAAACCCACCCTCTTTCAGTTGGAAGCCATTCCCCCTTGTCCTGTCCCTCCATGCTCCTGTAAAAAGCCCCTCTTTGTCTTTCTTGTAGGCTCCATTCAAGTACTGGTATTTCATGGGTTTAAATTTCTGCCACTGTCTGGTATTTCCTGTCCTGAACAACTTGGCCTTTGCCTAAGCACAGGGACAGCTGTCTACATGTACATATTAAAAAAAAAAACAAAACCAAAACCTCAAATTAATTCTGCTTTCCTTACTCAGCTACATAAAACTTAAAAATGAATGAGCACGGTTTCCTCTGACATAAGTCACTACTTCCTCCTGGCACCACCACAAGCTTTTAGTGAAATTTCTGCTCCAAATTACAGGAAATCCACCACCACAGATCACTGTGAGCTGCTTATATTAACCTGGGTCACTGCTGAGAAAGCAACATCTCAGTTCTTGGTAAAGAAGAACCTGCCATCAGCACCTTTATGTCAGTGGGGCTGTTCCCAGAGGGGAAATGCTGAACATCTCCCTGCTCCTGGAGGACACAGAGCCCTCTCCATGCCAACTCTAGGACATGGATTCTGGTAAAAGGCCTTTGAAAATGGAAAATATAGATTTCATAGGATCCCAGAATGGTTTGGGTTGAAGAGACCTCAAAGAACATCTTGTTCCAACCCTTCTGCCCTGGGCAGAGACACCTTCCATTATCCCAGGCTGCTCAAAGACTCATCCAAGGTGAGGACATGTAGGCACCAGAATCCAGTCCTGAATTTTGGTGAGAGGGAGAGATTCAGCTGGAAGAACATTGCTGGAATCACTTCTGCATGAGACAAGGCATGAGACAACCCCTGCAGTGGTCACTCTCTGGAACTGTGGGCGTCACAGATGGCTACAGCCCAGATTTCAGGAAATGGTGAGTGATTGGGAGCCTCCTATTTTTGGGATTTTCAAGCAAAAAAAGCTGTAACCGAGGAGTCCATTTCACAGTAGGAGATGGGATTTACCTGGTGCTGTTGGCACTTTGAAGGTTAATGAGTAGTTTAATAATCGAGGTTAATCTTTTAGCAGCAAAACAAAAGACAGTTTTGCAAAAAATTGTGTAAACACCCCTGTGCCCTTAAAGCAGACATTTTTTTCAGCCATGGCCAAAGCTACCTATCTTTTCCCTGGAGCTCATTTTCCAGCAATCCCAAAGGGGCCTGGCTGTGTAGCTCCAGTCTCTCCTCGAGGATCTGTTTGTCCCTGCAAGGGACAAAAGAGATGTGCAGGGTTTAGGGATGGCTCCCTCCCCACACGCGCCCAGGAAAAGGGGTGCCCCTGCACCCCAGAGCTCAGAGTGGGTGTGCAGCTCTAAGGGGTGAAGCTCTGGACGTACCTGCTGTGGTCCCATGACTGAAAAGGCTTAAATACCCATTCCAGGCAGTTGCAGACAGCTGAAAAACAAAGAAAAATGGGTTTGAGCTGGACTGAAATGTTTTTGTGCTGTCTCACAAGTTCTTTGGCAAGTGCTGTAGAGCACTTCAGACAGATCAGTGGGAGAGCAGGGATCTGCCATGGGAAGGAGCCACAAAAAGACTTGTCTGGGAATGAGCTTTTAAAAATTTCTTTTCTGTGTCATATTTTGGAGGAAATTCACCCTCAGCTGTGACTGCAGACCGTTGAGAGGAAACCAAGGCTGCACACTCTGCTGATCACAGCAACACCCGAGACTCATGCACCCCTTCCCCCTCACACCCCCTCTGCCCACACCAGCACAAACCACTCCCAAAATTTGCATTTGGGGTTTCTCCCAGCCCACTGAGATGCCTTTTCTCCCTCTGCCACATCCTTCTCCCTCTTCCTCAGCCCAGCACTGGTGCCCACATCCCCACCCTGTACCTCAGAGTGGAAGGGAGGGCTGAGCTCAGTAATTAATCCCAGCCCCAAGCTGGCTACCCCTCAAAAACACAAGAGAGCCTTGCCAGGTTTCTTGTGTGGCCTTGTCTACAAGCAAGAAGCAGAAAAGGCACTTACAGGAGCTTCTCCTCTTTTCATCCTGCCAGAGGCTTGAACGAAGCTTTTAGCAACTTCTTTCGTTCGTGCAAGAGGACAGTCGGGAAATGTGAGCTCAGCATGACCGCCCTGGTTTTGTTTTGTTTTCCTGCTTTTTATCATTCCGTGGCAGCTGGAAGAATGCTCTCCGCCCTGTTTGAGCACAACATCTAGAGCAGCTGCCAGGGCTGAGCCCCTGCTCCAAGAAACCTTGTGTTTTCCAGGAAATCTGATGCTGCAGGATCCTCATCCCTGGCAGAGCAGAAATGGCAAAGGCATTTCTGATGGTTTATTGGAGGAGTTTTTGGGCATCAGCATGGGTGAGGTGTCATACTCCTGCTTGTTTCCTCATGTCACCAACCAACAGGGCCATGGGAACACCCTGGCTGTGCCAAGGCTTCCCCTGTGCCAATCCCAGTGCATTTTATTCACCCCAAACCAGCCTGGTAAAAACAAGAGACCAGAGCAGCAGTGATGGCCACAGCTCCACATCCACAGAGATTCACAGAGGATTCACAAAAAGAAATTTGTTATTTCTACCCATTGCCATGTTTGCCACCATCAGCTGCTGCTGCACTTAAAATATACACTGTAATACATATTTATTACTATAATACAATACATATATATTGCTATATTACTATAATACTATATATTAATATAATATACAAATATATATTACTATAATATGTGTGCAACACACACATTAACAGAGAGCAAGAAGCCACTCACAGAGCTGAGACACTGGACACACACACAAGGAAGCTGCAGGTGACAGAGGTTTTATTAGGCCAGCAATTAAAATGAAATAAGTTTTTGTTTTTAATTGAGTTTCTGCCCTGAAGCACAGAATTAAACGTGCCTCTGAGAGTCACTGAAGAAAGTGGCCTTCAGTGTAATTTATTACAAGATATTAACTCAATTTCAGGGCTGGTAATTGCATCGATTTTTTGTTTCCTTTCAGACTGCAGGGCCCTAATGGCTTTGGCAATTAAAGTAACCAGATTAGGGGTAATGGGCAGCACATTTAGAAAGATGCAGGCTTGTCTGAGCCACTTTATTTTGTGCTGCCCAAAGTGCCACATGTCAGTGGCAGTGACCCTGCAGGAGCAGCAGCTCTGCCTTCCCCCAGCTCGGAGATGGGGAGGTACAAACAGCACACAGGAGCACTGGGCTTAGGGACAAAAGGATTTGTATTTGCTGGTTTTCTCTGACAAGTTCTCAGATTTGGGAGACGGTTTCAGGCATCTTTGGGATCCCAGTGGACTCTTCTTCCTCTTCCAGAATATGGTTTAGATCAGGAGCAATTTCTAGGCTGTGTTCAGCCATCAAAATCCTGGCACAGAGTGGGGGTAAAACGAGGTCTGCTTGAAGGCTGAAATATGGGAAACATAGTCAATGGCATAATTCAGCAGCAAGAAAATCAGGCTGAGGGAAAGCCAGAGAAGCTGTGGCTGTCCCGTTCCTGGAAGGAGTCTCAAGTTGGATGGGGCTTGGAGGAACCTGAGCTGGAACCTGCCCATGGTAGGGGGTGGAATGGGGTGAACACTTTAAGATCCCTTCCAACCCAAACCATTCCATGATTCTGACATCAGGTGGGAGCTCTTCAGCAAAAGGAAGAGCCCAAATTTCACATAATTTCAGAAATGTTTGTTGCTGGTTGGGGTTTATGTACAAATGACAAATGGGACAGGACTGCTGATGAAGTGTCTGAAGCTGTTTTATTTCCAGCATCAGTCTCATTACACAGTCATGACAATGGGAAGAGGCCAGCAGCTCACATCCCAGGCAGCAGACCAAGAACTTAATGTTGCAGCTCACTTTAAAAGTTTTTTGACCAATCACACAAAGCAAAAGCATATTGATAGTAGTTCTATTATAAGCACACGTACCTTTGGTTAAAACAATGCTTGCTTATTTCAAACACAATACTTGCTTGTAAGCTTTGAGATAGAATGCACAGAGCTCCATTATTAAGCTTAGAACTTCTTAGTATCTCTAGATATACTATTGGAGTAGATACTATGTATCTCTAGATGTATAATAGTAGATGTACTTTTTTGTAGCTTAGGGAGTTACAAAAGCTTAGCTTATTTTTGATAAGTGTTAACACACAGACCATTGTTCTATTTGTCTTTACTTTCTACTTCTTGTATAATTTTTCTGCTGACAAATCTTATGGCCACTGTTTTGCTCTAATCACAGTTCTGCTGTCTCTGAGGCCTGCCTTTTGCAGCTTTCTCAAAACCCTCTGATTTTAAGGATTCCCACAGTGTTTAGGTGGGAAGGGACCTTAAAGACCATCTCATCTCATCTCATAGGGAAGATGTGTGCTGATGTCTTTACAAACAATTCCAGGGGGAGGGGATGGCTGTTAATGGCTTTGATATGGGGTTTAATGTCTGTACCAACTTCAACCGAGGGTTTGTTCCAGAGCCCGGGCAGTTTGACTCCTGAAACAGCCAAATGGGGCCGCACAACCCTGAGTTTCTAAACTTTGGGGTAAAATGACAGGTTGGAGGGGGGAACATGAGGTAGGTGGTTCGGGAAGGCGGCACCTCCCTGGTACCCCGGCCAGAGGGGGCAGGCAGAGGGCAGCGAGCGGCGAGTTTGGGATAAAGGAGGCTGCGCCCTCCGGAACCGAGAGAAAGAGAGAGAGAGAGAGAAAACCCCGCGGGGATGAGCCCCAGGGCCGCTCTCCTTTACTGAATGAGGCTGCAGGATCCTCTGTCTCCTGTAGGGACACTGCCTCTTCTCAGAGGGATTTTCCGTACAATCCCACCCCTGCCATGGCAGGGACACCTTCCACTGTCCCAGGCTGCTCCCAGCCCCGTCCAGCCTGGCCGTGGGCACTGCCAGGCATCCAGGGACAGCGTCTCTGGGCACCCTGTGCAAGGGCCTCACCAACTCCCAGGGAACAACTTCTTCCCACTATCTAATCTAAAGCTCTTCCCTTTTTCTTTAAAACTGTTCGCCCTTGTCCTGTCGCTCCGTGGTGTTGCCAACAGTCACCATCTGACTCCGCGTCACAGTGTCACAACACAGGACGTTTTGCAGCGAAAAGCAGACAAGCCGCAGAACCACCAGCAGCCGTTTTTCCGCCCTGTTGCCGGAGTCGATGTTTTGCTGTTTTGGGGTTAATCCAGACTCGGAGCCCCCGCCCGGCCCTCGGTACCGCGAACCCGGGGCTGAGGCTGAGGCCGGGACCGAGGCCGGGGCTGAGGCAGGGCCGGGCCCCGCAGCGCCCCCTGCCGGCCGCCACCGCCTCCCCGCCGCAATGCGGAGCGCCGCGCGCTGACGTCACCGCCCGCCCCGCCCCCGCGTCCGTATAAGGAAGCGGTGGTGGCAGCCCCGCTCCGGATTGGCTGTTGTTGGGCGCGCGGGCGCGGGGCACGCTGGGAGTTGTGGTCCCGGTGGAGGGGCGGGGCGGAAGCCGCCAATAAGAGGTAGGGGCGGGCCCGGGCGCGGCAGACGCCGGCCGGTGTCGGATCAGCGCGGTGAGAGCCGGGTCTGGGGCGGGCGGGACTGCCGCGGGCACAGCCCGAGTTCTGCAGGGCCCTGCGGGTGCCTGGGGCTGGAGCCAGGAAGGGCTCCCATGTGGGGAGAAGGTGACTGGGGCAGGAGCGGAGCAGAGGCCCCGTGTGGGGACGTGGAACACAAGGCCGGGGTGCGGTGATGGTGCCCGGGGCCGCGGTGGGGAACAGTCCCCATGTGAGGTGCGGGGGCGGGGGCTGGAGTGGGAAAGGATCCCCACGTGGAGCTGGGCTGGCGGAAAGTAGCATGGGGGTACCCAGGGCCTTCTTCCCCTTGCCGGGCGGGATGCTGGGAGCTGTCACGTTCCCACCCACGGTCCTCCCTCCGTGTCCCTCCCCGCGGGTGACACCGGGCACACAGGTGCCCTGACCTCCCTGCTCGGTTCGGCAAGGTCAGGGCAGCCGGGCCGTGTGTTCCACCCGGTTTCTTCTGCCCTGTGCCCATCTTGGTCTGAGCTGAAGGTCACAGAAATTTCCCGTGGTGGATGAATTGTTTCACTTTTAATATAATTTTCTTATGTAAATCTCACCTCTGGCTGTCTCCTCCTCTGCTGAGTGATGGACAGCTCTTGTTACCTTCTCTGAATGAGTCAGGCTAAAATTATAGTTTACATTCAGCAAATAAGAGTGGTTATAGCACGGGCCAAATCCAGAGAGATAGAGAAACCAAATCCTTTTGTCTTGCAGAGGAAATGGTTTGGGAACCAGTCAGTCTGCTCACATGGGTGTGCTCAAAATGCTGCATAACCAGGGAGCACGGCCACCTTTAAAATGTCTCTTCTGCCTAAGGTTACTGGCACCTGCTTAATGAAATTCCTCTTGGTTTATTCTGAGAGCTTGGAGCCTTTCTAAGTGCCCCTGAGCTGTGTTTTGCTGTTGGTGATAAAGCTGAACAATAGCAGTAGAGATTTTTCTAGCAGGGCTCTCTGTGGTGTCACTGGCAGAAATTGTCATTAACTGAGTGATGCTTATGCCGAGCACTGAGGAGGGAACAGGTCTTGGTGTAATCCTTGCAATTCCCAGCACAAAAAGCTGGGAAGTTCTGGAGGATGGTCTCACTTTGGTGATGATGGTTCTGAGTGGAGGCCTTCTCAAGCTGTTGCTGCTTTTTATTTTCCTTGGGGGAAGGTGAGAAATCACCTGTGGATGACTTCTCCTTCTGATGTGACCCCTCACAAGTCTGCACTTACTGAGGGCTTCAGGACTTGCTCAAATGCTTGGCGGTGGCTCTTTTCCATCCCTGTGTTCACCACCAGGAATTGGGAATTATGTAGATGTGGGATAGGCTGTGGTGACTGAGGAGCTGCCAGGCAGGGCTGACCTTGTGCAGCAGCTCATGCTTCCCAACCCAGCTGCTGTGGCTGCTGCTCTTGGCAGGGAATGAGGGGGAGAAGTGAACTTGGCTGAGGTCAGAAGTGCCATAAAGGAGCAGCCTGCAAAAGCCAAGCGGAGTGGTGAGGTGTGGAATTCCTAAAAAGAAAGGCAGGCAGTGACCAAAGCTTTCTGTGGCTGCCTGTGAGCATGGGGAGGTCACTGCCATCTCTGGACAGCAGAAATTTGTTGTTCTCCTACTTTTTTTTTTTGTTTTGTTTCATTCTTATCACTCCTGGTAAGCACAGTCCTGTTTCCCAAGGCTTCACTTGAATTAAACCATCGGTGCCTGTTCTTATATCTCACTACCTGGATATTTGTACCTGGAAATAAGGGATTTTCTTTTCCTAAATATTCTCTTTATTCGGGGTTTCCAAAACCTGAAGGGAGTTTTTTTGTCTTCACAGCCACAATGTCACCCAGCCAGGAATCCGTTTACCCTGACTATGAGACAGAGACCAGCCAGACCTCAAAGCTGATAAAAAAGTTTAAGGAGACGCCGTTTGTGCCCATTGGTGAGTTCAAAAATGGAGAAATGTGTTTGCACAATCGATGTGGGAAACACCATTACTGTTCACCTTTTTTCTGTAAACAGGAAATTACTTAGAAATTACCTCCCTATAATAGTCGTTCTAAAAGAAAGAGGAAAATTAATGAGGTCTATTACCTTAAATTAAAAAATCATTCTTATACAAGTATAAGAAAAAAGCACAAACCAATAAACCCTGAAAGGCTTTTTAGGTGAGGCTAGAAAACATGTGAAGGTGAGGCTGTCAAGTGGTTAAGGAGTGTGTTGTGCAGCTGTTCTGGAGCAGAGTTTCTGGGAATTATGTGAACACTACAAAGTGACTTAAGAGCTATCAAAGTACAAACTAGAAGGATTTAAATGACAGCCTGCCTGGTAAATGTTTCAGCCCTCTGCTACCATCACTTGGTTTAAAATGCGTTTTTTAGTAACTTTTATGTTACTCCAGCTTGAGGAAGTTGTTCAGTTCTCAGCCTCTCTGTTGTGACTCCCAAAAAGCTTCTGAGGAGAGCAGGGAGACACGTTTTGATTTCCAGCCACCTTAAATGGAGAGCAGCAGGGTCACTCAGGGTGAACTGTTCCAGGCTTTTGCCAGCACATTTCCGTCACTGCTTCCGTGCTCGCTGCACTTTGTCTCCACCTTGCTGGGCTGTACCATGAACTCCAGGAGTTCCAGTTCCCCGAAGCAGACTGGCAGAGCTCACCTTTGACCTGTGTCAGAGCTGGGCCCTAAAACTGTTAATTGGGATTTAATGAGAGTGAATTAAGTGTTTACAGCGTTTTGGTGGCACTGGTAATGCTCTGGCTCAAGGAAGACAAACTGTCTGTGCTCTGCTCAGTAAAATATACACAGCACTTAAAACTTGGCATGCACCTATGAACTGTGCAAATAATCCTAAAAATGGAATGAAATGGATGGAATTGGAAAAGGTTGTGCATTTCTCTGTGTATTCTGAGAAAGCATCAGTGTTGGAGCTGGCAAAGCTGGGCTGGTTGCTCTGCTGAAGGACTATCAGTGAATTCTGGCCCTGGGAAAGAGAGCTGGTGGAGCCTCCCTCCTCCCAGCTTGGGGACAATAACGTGACTTGTCCTGTCCTGGTGGCACCTGGCCAAATGTGACAACACCCAAATAGCAACTGCAGCAGGCCAGGGGATACATGAGGGAGCATCCACACACTGAGGGTCTGAGCATCAGCTGGGTGGGGGTCTTGGCTGTGTGTGTACAGGGAAGGAGGTGTGAGGAGCCCTGGTTCTGTCTGAACAATATCCAGGGAATTCTCACACCTTGAACTATAATGCCAAAATCCTTTGGCATTTCAATGGTGATGGAAGTCTTTTGCTCTTCCCTGCACTGATGTCTGCATTGAATGAGGTGGCACTGGAGTGAAACCAGGGCTAGGATTTACCACTCCACAAAACCAGAGTGATTGATTAGACCAAAACAGGCTTATTTTAGGATGAGAGAGAATGGCCTCAAGTTGTGCCAGGGGAGGTTTAGACTGGATATTAGGAAAAATTTCTTCAAGGAAAGAGCTGCCCAGAGCAGTTGTAAAATCACCATTCACGCAGGTATTGAAAAACTGTATAGATGTGACACTTGGGGACATGGTTGTGGGGGTCCCAGTTGCTGGGGTTCCAGTTGTGGGTTTCCCTGGGTCTGGACTGAAGGCACTTGAGATGTTATTTCATGTTCACACTCAGGTGTTTATTATTTCTTATCAGTAAAACAGTCTCACTGCTGGGAGTTCTGCAGCTTTTCATCAGAAGGCACAAAATGGCCAACAATCTCTTGTTCCAAGGCCTTTTCAGACTAAACTATCCAATTTAGAACTGACACCTGGATTATTTTCCCTTTTAACCCAATAACTGATCCCACAGAGCTGCAATGGGGACTTTTCTGCCCAATTACAAAATGCCACCCAAACCCATGGAGAAGGAGGAAGAAGCAGCATGAAGAAGAAACCCAGGATGACACCCTGTGCCCTCCATCTTGCTGCCATCCACAACACACTAAAAATCCCAAACCCTCAATTTCTCACCCAGTGACACACCCACACTGCTCTCTATAATCTATTGCACACTTTTGTGGCTTCCAGTCTATCTTGAAGTCTGGGAAACTTTCTCCATGGATGAGGGTCAGAGTCAGTGCTGCCCTGGGGGTCAGGGCACCCCAGAGCAGACACAGAAATATTCCCACTGCCCTGGGTTTGCACACAGGGTTTAGGGGTGTGGGTTGTTTCCCCTTGGCAGTTGTGGGGGAATGGTTGCACTCAGTGATCTTCAGGGTCCTTTCCAGCCCAGACAGCTCAGTGGTTCACAGGCTGTTTTGTTTAGGTGGGTCCTTTCACTCCTGGTGCCCTGGATCTCCACTCAGAGGGATGCTCTGGTTGCCTTGCAGGGATGGCTGGCTTCACCGCCGTGGTGGCCTACGGGCTGTACAAGCTGAAGCACAGAGGTGACACGAAACTGTCCCTTCACCTGATCCACATGCGGGTGGCAGCCCAGGGCTTCGCTGTGGGAGCGCTGACGTGTGGTACGTATGGAACGGGAGCTGTGCTTGGGAATGGCAAACCATGGAGAGCCCCCTGGATCTCTCCAGTGGGTAACAGAGCTGGCATGGCTGGGTGGAAGCATCCACAATGTTTATTTCAGGATGTTTGTGCTCCTTACTGCTGCTCAGTCAGCCTTGCTGGAGTAATCTGATTTTATGTATTTAATTTCAGAGTAGCAGTTTTGATTATGTCTAGATGTGGAATGTGAGGTTCTGCATCTCTGCCTCTTACAGACCAAAAAAAGAAAACATTCATCTGACATTAAATATGTTGCTGTTTGTAAATTTAATGCATTGGAAGATCTACAGCTAGTGTAGACCATGGTATTACATATATATTTTTTTTTTAATTTTTTTTTTATATATACGTGTATACAATATATATACATATGTATATATATTATATATATACACACATGTATGCTATATATGTATATATTTTATATCTACACATGTATACACTATATACATATATATGTATATATTTTATATTTATACATGTATACAATATATACATATATGTATATATTTTATATATATACATGTATACAATATTTATGCATATGTGTATATATACACATAGTGTTATATGTCTATATATGTGTATATATATTTTTTTATATATATGTACGTATGTGTGTATATATATATGTATATATATATATATATATATGTATGTATGTATGTTTTCAGGACTGGACTTGTCTCTCTGCATGCACAGGGACACTGTGCCCCTGATCTGTACATCCCAGATCTCCTCTGTGTGTAAATGTCCATCCCATAAAACACTATTTGTACTGCATTCACAGCAGGAACATCAGAAAAGCTTGACTTTGGCCACAAAATCAACTAGAATTAGCTCAGGATTTGCAGTTTCATAAATTGTATGTTTTCATGCCCAGTTTCTCTGTATATGAAGAATTTTGTAGTGTTTATTAAAAAAATGCAGCTGAGGAGGAAGGGAAATTCTGCCTTGCTGAGGACTGTTCAGATTTTGAAACCCATAATTTCTAATTTAACACAATTCTTTAATTGTCCTGTTTTTTCCCTGTCTTGCAGGCGTGCTGTATTCCATGTTCCGGGAGTATGTGGTGAAGCCCAAGGAATAGTGGAAGCTGTCTGAAATCCCTGTCCTGGTGGTGGCCTGTGTACTGCAGCTCCCAAGCTCCTTCTGAGGGGTTCTTGAAGAAAACAAATAATACATGGCATTAGAGAATTTTTGTGTATGGTACACTGTGCTGAACCTGGCAGCCTCAGAATGGGACCTGTGGCTCTTGGGGTTTGGGTCTCTCTGATTGACACCACCACATCCCAGTTTTTAAGGGATATTGTGGAGTGCAATCCCTCTATCTTCCCCTTCAGCTCAGTCCTAAAACTGGTGATTTCTTCTGCTGTTGTTGCCCAAAACCATGATGTCTGAACTGGCTTCTGCCAGGAAAGCCTTGCTGTCATTTTCTATCCTCTGCCTCCAACTTTGTAATTTAGAAGCTTCCAGTAGCACTAAATGACTTCTGAAATATTGAGAGCTATAATAAACATCTATATTTTTTATTTAAAGCATAGAGATAAGTATGTCGCAGCTATTTAAATGTTATATTTATTCATTGTTAACGAAGACACAGGCTCCCTATTTTTGCTATATCAGACCCTTGGATTATGATATTTTGTAACTTTATTTACAGTGTCCTTCTGAGTAACATCTAAATGTAACATTTAAAATACAGATTGTGAAAACTGAACTTTAATTTGGTGGTTTAATGCTTTTAAAGTGTACAATCTAGCTGGTTTCTGCAGTACTGTTCCCCACAGAAAATTTTAAAACATTTAAATCTGAAAAGCCCCCCATCACCTTTGAGGTATTAAAATCCTTGTCTGTGAGTTATTTTACACTCAAGCTCCTTGTACTTCCAACAGCAGTCACAAAAATAAAAGCCAATTTCTAAAAAAGCACCTATTTTCCTGTCAGCTGACATTCCATGGTGACAGTCCCAGATGTTGCAAGGTACAAACTGCACCTACCTGTCTGTGACCTGTTGTACAGAGCAGGGGCAGATTAAACATGAATAAAAGTGAGCAGTGGAGGTAATAATTTGTATGGAGGAGGGGGAGATTAAACACGAATAAAAGTGAGCAGTGGAGGCAACTTCTGTGAGCTGTTGTACAGACCAGGGGCAGATTAAACACGAATAAAAGTGAGCAGTGGAGGTAATAATCTCTCTGGCCTGTTGTACGGAGCAGGGGCAGATTAAACACGAATAAAAGTGAGCAGTGGATGTAATAAATTTCTGTGGCCTGTTGTACGGAGCAGGGGGAGATTAAACATGAATAAAAAGTGAAAAATGGAGGTAACTGTCCGCCTATGGATTTGTTGGCAGGGAGCTCCCATCCCGCAGCAGAAGGATGGCGTGAGCTGAATAAAAATCCCCCGAGGAGGGAAAGGGAATTCCCAGCCTGGTGCTCTCCTTGACTCCCAGCTGCTCTCACCCTGCTGCCCTTGGCTGCTCCCACACAGATGAGGAGGGGCCCGACGCCTTTTTATTTTTCTATTCCTCCCACCGTGAAGGGAGGAGAAGGAGCCGCTCGTGGGGCCGGGATCGGTGGAGGAATTGCGGGATTGCGGGAATGGCGATAGGGAGCGGGGTGTGAGGGGGAGCCATCATGGCGGCGGCGCTGAGGGGAAGGGCACGCGCGTTGCCATGGGCACCGCACCGGGAGCCGCGGCCACAACTCCGGTGCCGCCGCTGCCCAGCAGGAACCGGGGCCAGCCGGGGACACCCTCCCGGTGCCCTCGGGAACGCGGCTCGGGTAGGCCGGGGGAGGTGCGGGAAGCGCGGGCAGGAGTTCCCGCCATGGGGGAACAGCGCGGCGCTGCCGGGACCTAGCAGGTCCTGGCAGGTCACAGGGGTGGTGGCAATTACAGCTACAGGTTTGCAGTTAAAATATATCAACGTAAACACAAGAAATTCTGCCTCAAAATGGGCGAGAAATTCTTTCTGCAGAGCGCTGGAAAGGGCTGGGCAAGGGAGTGCGAGGAGTGTCTTTTTCTGGGGACATCCCAAAGCTACCTGGGTGAGTTCCTGTGTCACCTGCTCCAGGTGACCCCACCTTGGAGCCCTCCCGGCTGGAGCCTGGCATGGTTTAGATGAGATATTCAGGAATATTTCATCAATATTCTCGAGATATTTCATCACTGGAAGTGTTGAGCCTTGTGAAAAAATGCGTATTTTTTGTTTGGCTTTTTGCAAATATTAAAATGAATATTATATGTGTTGTGTTAGAAAGTTATGCTGTATTAATTTTTTTAGTGGTGTGTTGAGTATAGTTTTAGGTTATAACAAAATGTTAAAATAGAAACTATGCTATGTAAGATACTTTTTAAAGAAAAGACTCACAGTGAGATAGCAGCCACAGGGCATCTAAATCTTTCAGATGTGAAAAACGCCAATCACTTGTTTTTAAAATTTTAAAAGTTTAACAGTAATAAAATGGTTATAAAATAGTAATAGAATTAGAGTAATAATAATTTGGACAATTTGAATTAGGACAATATGAGACAATAAATACAAATAGTTACAAATGTCTGGGTACCTTTTCATGGGCAGCATGAGCCCGAAAAAGGACACCCATTAACAGAGGATTAACCCTTAAGAACAACAGCCTGTTGTATATTCATACACCTCACACATGATGCATAAATTCCATTCAAACACAGGATTCTGTCTGGTCAGTGTCAACTTCCTCTGAATCCTGACAGCGCCTTTGAGGCAGGAAGAAGTTCATTTCTTCTGATAATGGAGCAATAAATTCTCTTTCTCTGAAAGATTCAGGTGTCCTGTGGCTGCTGTCACACTGCAAGTCCTTTCTTTAAAAAAAGTATCCTACATAGCATTGTTTCTATTTTAACATTCTGTTATAACCTAAAACTATATTTAACACACTATTTAATAGAATTAATACAGCATTACTTTCTAACACATATAATACTCATTTTAATATTTGCAAAAAGCCAATCATAAAATACACATTTTTCACACAGAGGAAGAGAATTTATTGCCCCATTATCAGGAGAAACAAACTTCTTCCTGCCTTGCTCAGCCCTGAAGATGCAGTTAGGATTAAGAGGAAGAAGTTGACACTGACCACACAGAATCCTTGTTTGAATGGAATTTATGCATCATGTATGAGATGTATGAATTTGGAACAGGCTGTTGTTTTTAAGGGTTAATCCTTTGTTAACGTGGGTCATTTTCAGGCTTATGTTGCCCAGAAAAAGATACCTGGACTGTAACTCTTTGTTTTTATTGTCTCATATTGTCCTAATTCAAATAGTCCAAATTATCATCACTCTAATTATATTACTATTTTTATAACCATTTTATTACTATTAAACTTCTAAAATTTTAAAAAACAAGTGATTGGTGTTTTTCACAAACCTTTCAGTGTGGAGCACTTCATCCCTGAGAGTGCTGAAATCCACATGGATGTGGCACTTGAGGACAAGGTTTGGTGGTGGCACTGGGTTAATGGTTGGACTGGAGCATCTGAGAGGGTTTTTCCATTGTAGCATTATGGGGTTGGAGCTGCACCTTGAGTACCATGCACATTTCTGGCCTATAGATAAGTGAATAACTCAATAAGTTATAAAATAATAAATTAATCAGCAATGCAGTCTTAGTAAAGAAAATTCTGAGAAAAATCATGAAGCCTAAAATAGTTACTCTGCTAAGAATTCTAGGATATTTTCAGAACAGAGAGAACTATTCTTTGAAGATGTTCTTGCTTATCTTTGCTATCTTTAAGGTCAGTAGCTAAACCCATCAAGAGATCCAATCTAATTATAAATTTAATTATCAACCCAAAGGTTACTGAACCCAGAAAAGCTGTCTAAATTTTATGTCCAGTTTGCTGAAGTAAATGGAATGGGCTCCTTATCTCTGTAGACTTTTTCCAAATCTCAGAATTGTCTTTAATCAATTAAAATTAATTTTCCAGCCTCACTGACTCAGTAATTCTTTGATCCCTCATGCCCAGGGCCCTGTGGGCTGTGCAGATTTTCTTTGCTCTTTGCACCTTGTCCAGGTGACTCTGCCCATAAAACACACAAAGGGACACTCTGCCTTTGGTGCATTAATCAGGATTATTGGATTTCCCTCAGTGTGGGAAAGGCCCTGTGATAATTACTCAGTGCAGGGCGTGCCTTTGGAGGGATTTATGTATTAGTTTTCCTAGAGCAAAGGTGCAGTAGGGGTTTTTTTGCCCACAAAAAATGTCAAACAGAAGGAGAAAGGGGCTGCAGTTTATCAGAAAACTGGCTTTAGTCATCCAAAGAAAATGTTTGGGTAGCAATATTAATATTTAAAAATATGTGTTCATAACATATTGTTATAATTAAATATACTTAATAATTAATATCTTATTATTTAGTTCTTTATTGGTATCACTCAGTTATTAGAAATTTGCAGGAAAGCTGTAAGCCACACTTTTGTCGTGCCTGAAGGGAGCATAAGGAAAAAAATATTTTTCTTTCTCTCTCATGAACCCAAAAAGGGAGGGATTTGCACCTTTCCTGGACGTGGGCAGGGAGGCTGGAGGGTCCCAAACACTCCAGTGTGACCTGGCTGGGATTTGGCCCCAACCTGCTCCTCTGTTAAAATGTTTATTTAAACAAGTCTGTTTAGGAACATTTGGAAACGTTGCTTTTTGAACTCTGGAGTGAGAAAAACCCTAAAGCTTTTTTTTTAAAGGGCTGTTTAAAAGCCATTTATGGAAAAAGGGACTTGAAGCAGGGCTGGAGAGGAGGAGGAGGAGGAGGAGGAGGAGGAGGAGGAGGTGTGTGGTGGTGTTTGCAGGGAAGAGATGAGAATCTTGACTCCATGTCTCAAAAGGCTGATTTATTATTTTATTATATATATTATATTAAAAGAAAATGATATATTAAAAAATCTACTAAAAGAATAGAAGAAAGGATTTCATCAGAAAGCTAACAAAGACAGGAAAAGTAATGATAATAAAATCTTGTGACTGACCAGGGAGTCTGAGCCAACTGGACTGTGAATTGCCATTAATTAAAAACAACCACATGAGACCAATCACAGATGCAGCTGTTGCATTCCACAGCAGCAAAACATGGAGAAGCTGAAGCTTCTCAACTTCTCAGGAGAGAAAAATCCTAACAAAAGTATTTTTCATAAAATATGTCTGTGACAGAGGTGGGAGCCTGGGCAGGGTCAGGGAGGAGAAGCTGCAGAGCAGCTGCCACAGGGGGATGTTTTTCAGAGCAGTGCTGATCTCTGCTCTCTGTCGCTTCTTATTTTCCTCTCCTTATGCTTTTAGTAAACAATGGAGCCAGAGGTAAAAGTGAGTGAAGATTTCAAAAGCCAGTTCAAGGCTTACCAGGAGCAGCAGCAAAGGCGGCTGAGAAGTGTGATGGAGGCCAGGAAGGAGAAGCAGGACAGGCAGAAGAGCACTGGCAGCACAAAGGAGACTGTAAGAGCCCTGAGTGACCTAAACCTGTTTAAAAAAGGACCTCCTGTAAAGGAAGATGCCAGCAAAAGGTAAAGGTCTGGCAGCACCATTCCTTCAGGAAGTCACTGGAGTGTGTTTTGCTTGTGATCTCATGAAACTCAGTGTTATTAAGCTGAGAGGGAACTTTCTGTTTTCACACACTGGGCTTTCATTATCCTGAGCAGATTCTCCTTGTCCATAATTATCCTCAGGGCATTGTGCTGTGCTCTTTAATGTCAGTATTTTACAAATGAAGGGGCAGCCAGATACTACCAGACACAATCCAGCCTTTTGGGCACCCCCTGAACTGCTGGTTAGCTCCTGCCTAGCTTTAAACGAATAGATTCTCTGCAGGAATCATTCCCAAAGATGGACACAGGCAAAGCAGCTGATGGGAGCAAGCCACAGGCCTGCAGTGAAGTTTTCCCTGGGATTTCTTTGCAGTATGTCCTGATTTGGTGGATCACAAGATTACCAGCACATTGGGCATTTTGGTATGGATCTCTCTTAATCTTGTGTTTTCTTTTGGAGCAGAGATTTAAAGCCCCAGCTCAGATCATTTCTCTTCCTCCCAGGACACAGTCAGCCTTTCCCTCTGACCCAATTAATGCTTCTCCTGACTGGAGCAGCTCTGGGGCTGGACACACCCAAAGGTGTCTGCACTGCTCCTGTGGGAATAAATCACATGGACTCCATTTCTTCATGGTGGAAAATCTCCCTCTTTATTCACATAACTCCTTTTTATTCAGTTTTCAGACTTTGTGTGGGACTCCAATTGATCTGTAGCTTTCTTGCCAATTACTTATTGGTAAGCAACAAGTTGTTATTCTGTATTTATTGGTCACTCAAACCCCTGGGGTGTATGTGCAGGAAAAGTTGTTTATGAAAGATAGTTTTCATTTTTCTAATGATGTAAAACAGTTTATACAGGTGCTGGTTGGTTTTCACCCAGGAATAGATTGTTATGTCAATGAACTGCTTGCACCAGGATTGCTTTCACATGAGAACTTGCTAAGTATTAGCTTTGACCAGACCAGCCATAGATTTTAACAGAGCAGGCTTGATTTTATGAAGCCTTTTTTTATGATTTTTCTACCTTGCTGCAACATCAGCTGTTCAGGCTTTGCTCTGTGGCAGAGGTGAAGCCAGGTGGAGAGATTCCTTCATGTACTGGCACCTCACCAGAGCTGTCTGATTTGCCAAGTTAAGCCCCCAATCCAACCTCTACCAGCTGTCCTCTTCCCTTCAACATTGTTTTCTGATAATCTGTAGAAGATTTTGATGGAAATTTGATTTTTAACAAATTCCTGTGAGGCTGATTCCCATAGTTAGATGTTTGGCAGAGCAAAGGGATTTAGGTGCTCCCATGGCACAGCCTGGGCATGTGCAGAGTACAGGAAAGCCCAGAAGTTCTCTGCTATTTAGAGTTCAGTTCTTTAGGCCTGCATCATCCCAGATTTTTTATTTACCTCTCTTGCTGTGTCACTGGCTGTCAAAAGTCCCCATTTGACATGGCAGGTGTGGCAGATAGATCTGGACTGTCCTTTGCTTGTGTGCATTCAGCAGAGTGGTTGTGAGTGATCAAATCCAGGCAGGATTTGATTTTGGAAGGGATTCACCAGGATGTTCTCTGCAATATTCCCATGACAGCACATCAGAGGCTTGTTCCAGGATCACAGGGCTGCACATGGCCTGCAGTGACAGTGATTGGAGTTTGTCACTGTTGTTTATAGCAGCAATCAGAAAACATTCTCCTCTCAGAAGTCTCCCTTCCTCTGAGCCTTGGGAATTCTTGTTTCCTTCCTCCCATCCTACTCCCCAGTCTTGTTTAGACAAGTGTTTAGCTGATATTTCTGCTTGTTATGTTCTCTCTGTAACTTTATCCTCCCTTCTCTGTTTGTTGTACTTGAATGTATCCAAGTGACTCTCCCCATCACATGCAGAATCTCTAACAAGAGCTGGCAAAGACACAATTTGACAAAAGTTAAATTAATTCCTTACTTTTTTTTGGCCTGAACAGGGCAGGCAGTTTGGGAAACCACCTGAATTGCAGGCAGAGCCCTGCTCATAAGCTCCACCTGGCTTTGGTTCCTTGGAGGAGAGTGAAAAGGGGCACCTTTGGCAGCCCATTTATTTTGGCAGAGTTTCTGTAGCCTCTGTGACAGGGAGAGTCACTGTGGGATGGGGTGGGGAGTTCCTCAGAGAAGACTCCAGCTCTGTGCACTTGGGATTTCTGTCCATCCTCCTCTGAGTGCTTTTCCTCAAGACTTGGACTCCAGCTCTCAGAAGACTTCACTGCTCAGGTGTGTTAAGAGCTTAGAACCTTTTTTCCATGTTAATCCCCCAAGTGTTCAGAATCTTTTGGTTCAGGAGTCTCTAATTGGATCTGAGTTTTGTTGCTCGCTCCTCTGGGTGGTTCATGTGGGAATAGCTCAGTTCTGCCTTTGCTCACGTTGCTCTTTGCTTTCTTCTCCTTTCTGAGCAGCTGCCTTTGATCTCCCTTTGATTTGCAGCTTTGAAACACAAGTGCATTTCTTAATTATGCATTGGGAATCCTCCCCTAAACTGGCTGTGCTGTTTGTGGCAGTGCTTTTAGGGGTCCATGGGCAGATGCAGGGTGCATTTAACAGCTCTCAGGTCCAATGGGTGCTAAGAACTTGCTAAAACTTTGGAATAAAAAAATTGAGATGATTATTGAGACATGTGACTTGGCTGTGTTTACAGGTACATACTGTATCAACAGGGCTTTGTCCAAACCACATCTCCAAAGTGGAGATTTAGGGTTAAATGAGAATCCAGGAGTCAATTAATCCAGCTGATTAAGGTATCTGGGTAACTGAGATGCTTTAGATTTTCAGGAACTTCCACATTGGAATCCCAGAGCACTGGAGACCTGCATCTCCCACCAGCAGCAGCTGGGGTCAGCCCAAATGTCACCTGTGAGTGGGTAATTGTGTTAAATCCCAGCTTTTCTCAAGGACCCCGTGTCAGGGAGCTCAGATAATTCTGAATTTCCACAACTGAATGCAGCCCCTGAGGCCACAGCTCCTGGATTTTATATTTGAGGGACCCATCACATCAGGGCCATAAAGAGATTAAAGTTATTCATTCTCTAGATGTCTTAGAGAGATGAAACCTTTAAATGTTGCTCAATGTCCTGAAGAATAGGAGAAGCAGGGCTGTTTCTTTCCATTCAGAGGGTTTTTTTTGGTATTCTCTGTTTCTAAATGAATTCCAAAAGGCACCATTAACAATACAAACTGATGCTCACAGGGTTCCAGGAGAATCAGCTGAGGACGTGGGAAATTGGTCTTTTATGAATTGCTCTAAAACATTGATTTTTTAAAAGACCCCAGGGGCAGCTTTATAGTCAACGCTCTGTTGGCTTTTCTTGGCTTTGACAAGTATAGAAAAGAAAGCCTGAATGTCCCACATGCTGAATGCTGCCTGATTTCCTCTGAAGAAGCAGGTAAGTAACGCTGAGATGACACTATTTGGTAACCTCAATGCACCTGTTCTGTGATGTTTTACCCCAGACAGCTCAAGAAAATACAATTTTTAATTTATTTTTTTTTAAGAAGATGTTATCTGAATAGATCAGATAATCAGCTTGTGTTCTTATCTGAGGTTGAGGACATTGTGCCTAATTCAATAAACTCACTCCTGATAAGCTCAGCCCATCTATCATGCAGTTGTTTCATTATTTTATTTCTATTTGTGCATTATTTCCCATTGTGGTTCATTTTTTCCCAGTTTCTTTGAGGCTGAGAATGAGCAGCTGCAGGATCAGCTCCGAGAGCTCCGGGATGAGAACTGCAGGCTCTACAGGCTGATGGCAGAGAAAGATTTTGAAATAAAAGAGCTCCAGAAAAGAGTAAAGGAGGAGAGGTTGGCTCTGTCAGGTAAATACAGACCTTTGTGTTCTCCCCATGTTGGTTTGCTTGATGCTGGTGACCAAAAAATGTCCCTGAAAAGAATAGTGCTCTGTTAGGGTACACAGTGATTTCTGTTCCTCATAGAACTGTAAACTTGCACAAAAATTGGCACAAAAATAATGATGTTCCATAAAAATATTATTTTGGGAAACTTCTTGTTAGCCTGAAAGAGCTGTGCTGCAGCTTTCTCTGCTCTGTAGGGTTAAATTTCTTATTCAGGCTCCTTTTTTCTGCCTGAACAGGGCAGAGGAAGGATGCTGCATGAATGCAAAATTCAGCTTCTAAAGTGATTTTGGTGTTTTTTGACAAGTGAGCTGTGCAGGCTGCACCTCCTCCACTGGGTGCCACTGTTGGTCAGGACAGCAGTGGTGACCAGGCTTGAAGAGAAGGGGAAACCAGCAACGAGGAGAACTAAATAACATTAAATTCCACCTTAATCCTTGAAAAGCAGCTGTAGTTTGTCTTTAGGAGAGGTGATAATCCCTTCCTGGTCAGGAGCAGGAGGCAGATGTGCTGTTGCAGCTTCTCTGGCTGATGCCAATCCCTTGGCTGTGTTTTCCCTGTCTGTATTGTGGCAATCCCCACATTGCTTGGGAATAAAAAACCTTGGGTCAGTGCAATGCATTTGAGGACCAGCAGTTTAACTGGGAAGCAGCAACCTGGCTTTGGTTAATTTAGTATTTACTGTGATTCTCAGCAGCCACTATTTATCCTGAAAACTGAGATAAAAGTAGCTCCAAGGTGAGAAGGGGTAACACAAATCACACAAAGGAGTGAGAGCAGTGCTTTTGAAAACAATGAATTGATTTAAAGTGCTTTTAAAATAAATTCCTTCAAAACAATAAATTGTGTTCTTTACAAGGTTTTTAAACATGGCATGGGAACAAATTCTGTTGCCAGTTTTATTCTGTGTGGCCCAATTAATGTCTCTGGGGCTTTATGGGCCTCAGCATTCACTTGGGAGTGATCTCTCACCTCTCATCCCACCCCAGTCCATGAATATCAGAGAAAAGTGATTCCTGTAAGGATGAAAGAGTGAAGAGCAATGACAGCAGCCAGGTTCAGTCTGCACACCCCCACCAAGGGTTTGTTGTGGCAGGCTCGTGTTCCTCGCTGAGCTGGAAGTTTCTGTGGACATTGTTTGCCATGACTTTGATTTTGCACTTGTACCAGAGCTTTGCTTCACCTGTGTGGTGTTAACCAGAGCCAGGTGACACAAGAGCCAGGCCTGGGCTTTGCTTTGTTTGTGGCACTCATCAAACCCTTCCTGATGAGGGAGCCAGTGACGTGGTTAATTAAAAGAGCAATTCAGAGTCATGCAGTAAAGCTCCCTGTGTAATCCCAAGGGGGTTATAAATAGGCACAATGAAAGTTCCTGGACCTTGTCCAGGGCCCAGCTGTAATATTGTGCCTGACCTTTGAGAACTGATGTCTAGAAACGTTCACACCTCTGTTCCAGCAGCTCCTCCCGTAGTAAACAACCAGGCAAAGCTGAGTGTTGCCTTTTTCTGTGATAATGCCAAAAAATCCTGTTCCCAGCTGTCCTTCCCACCATTGCCCTCTCTAGGTAAAAATGTGGCTCCAACTACCATTAAATCTCAGTTCTAGGGTGTCAGGTAAATTTCTCCTTTTATATTTCTCTATGGAGTACTATTTGTTTTTTATGAACTATTCTGGGCTGGACAGGATTTGGATTTATGTATATAAACATTGCCACAGTGTGAAATGTGGCTGTGCTGCTGGATCAAAGGAGCAGCCCATCCAGCTGGCACCTCTGACTTCTCTTCCCTCACTTGTTCGTTGGAGTGCCTGGCACAGCTCAGAGAGGAAGGGATGGGACAATGCAGGTTCATTGTGGCAGAGAACAAAAGCCTGCTCTGTTCTGAATCTGAATCCTGCCTGTGAGATGTGCCCTCTGCTTTGATGTGTCCTTTCAGGGGTGTCTGGCTTGGCTGGAGACGTGGCTGCCACCAAAATAGTTGAGTTGGCCAAAAAGAACCGGGAGGTGACTGCTGAGTTTGAGAGTGAGAGAGCCAGAGTGAAGCAGCTGAACCACAGAGTCAAGGAGCTGGAGAGAGAAGTGAGGCATTTTTCTTGTTCTTTTTGCATGATAAAACATGGAAATCCAGCCTCTGGGATAGAAAATGGGTTTGGTTCATGTTCCCATGTTGAATTTGCTCTTAAATCTGTCTTTGCTTGGGATTGTGGTCATTTCTGTCCATGATGTTCCCTCAGCTGTTTCACCTCTGCAGAGGAATCAGATTTCACCTGTGCAGGTGAATATCCTATAGGAAAGGATATCTCCAAGTTCTAATGAGCCAAGGATTTATTAAACAGCAATTAGGAATGTTCATTTGTAGAGCACAGAGACATTTCTACCCATTTGTCAATGCTATTTCTCTTATTATTAATTTTTTTTTAGAAGGAAATTTCACACCTTTGTGTCTTACATTCCCACCTCGTTAAGACCAGTCACTAATTAGTTCTTTATTCTTTTAAGCTTTTTTTATTCCCTGTAATGAAAGCTGTTTTCTGGAATAAGTACTTACAGAGCTGAGACAACACCAAGCTACATCATATAAGACAGCAAATCTTCACTCAGGCAGATTAAATTTTCTACTTTACTGTGACTTTTTGCCAACCTTTCACAGAAGTAATTTTGCTCAGGTGGCTGCTGAATTGAAAATGAGATGTCCTGATGTCAATATTTGCTTTGTCCTTTGGCTGCTGCTCCTCTTCCTTACACAGTATTGGTGATTTTTTATTATTATTTTTATTTTTTTTTCCTGAACTTTGCTTTCTTAGAAGACATCAGTTAAATAAATCAATAATGCTGACAGCTGCATTTTGACTCAGCCTTTCACCATCACTTATTATCATGAGTCATGCATCTACCTGAATTGCACCCCAGCTACCTGAAAGATCAAGAAGTCTTAGATTAAATTAAATTTTGGAGAACTCCTGCATAAATCCACAGTGTTCTGGTCACAGGGGTCTTGTCAAACAGTTGGCGGGTTGGCAAACAAGTATCAGGTGTAGTTTGGGACCTACAAAATCACACAAGTAGTGGAGAAATTCATGAATAATTTAAGAAAAAATCAACTTGGTTCCTTTCCCCTACTGCAGAAGTGGAATGACCATTATTCAGACAGAAGCATTAAATATTCTCAGATTTTGGCCCAAAAGAAAGGAGCACAAACATTTCAGGAAGAAGAAAAAGATGTAAATGATCAGTAAAATGAAAGCAAGGTTTGAAACTAGGAGGTATCTATCAAAAATGTAGAGTGATATCTAGAAAACACTGTTATTTTACCTATTTTTAGCTCTTTCCTTGCCTGAAAACTGAAGAATCTGTAAATCATAAGTATTTTACCATGGTTATTTTCCCCTAAACAGAATGGAAGGTGTGGCCACTGAACAATCACTTGGCAGAGGGTGGGCCATGTAAGCAAAGGGATGTTTGCAGAAAATTCCCTCAGAGCTGGAGCCAGCAGCTGCCAGCTCCAGCTGAAATCCCTCATTATCAGTTCATACAAAACTCTCTGAACTGGATAGAGAGAGTGGCCCTAAGCCATGAAAAAGGGTGAAATTAGAGCTGGCCTTGAGTGAGCTTTTCCCCAGCCCCTTTTTAATGAAGGAGCTCTTCCTCAGAGCCTTCCTTAATTCAGGCAAATAATCAAGATTTTCCACCCACCTCAAAGAATGAAGTCCCAAACTTTTAAATCAACACTTCCTGGCCTGTCCAGCCCCAAATTGCTGCACTCTCATCCATTTAGAAATCTTTGCAACAGCAACACAGGGCATGATTCAGGGCAGGAGGGGTTGTGGTCTGTTTTCCTTTGCTGTGGCAAGCAAGAGGAGACAGAGTTTTTATTCTTAAATAATAAATTAAGTGTTTTAAAGCAGTTAAAAATGCTGGTTTAGAGCTCCCAGCTAAAGAAAAAAACCTTAACACCATTAAATCTCAGTTCTAGGGTGTCAGGTAGATTTCTCCTTTTATATTTCTCTATTGATTACTATTTGCTTTTTATGAAATATTCTGGGCTGGACAAGATTTGGATTTTGTGTATATAAACATTCATTTGAGGTACTTTTTGTGATAAAATGCCTCAGGAGTCTCCATACATGAAATTTGATCCCATCTCAGCAAGTCAGAGATATCTTCTGAAGTTTTCCACAGTAAAATACGACATGATTCTTGGGGAAGCATTTCAGGAAAAAAAAAAAAACAAAACAGCTTTCCTACTGATAAAAAACAATATTAAAACCAGGGGAAAATTAAGATTTTTTTTTTTTTTAGAGTACATAAGCATCGAGTTAGGCTTTTTTGCTGATTAATACTCCATGGAGTGATGCTGTTCTCTGCATCCATTCCACACTAACAGTGGGGTTCTTTTCCAGCTACAGGCAGCTGCAGAAAAAATCCATTCCCTTGGTGGTGATGCTGCAGGAATCAAGGAGTCAGCTCTGAAAAGGCTGGAAGGAAACTTGGTAGGAATTGTAGTTGAAATGAGGAAATCAGCAGCTTTGTAGAACAAGGTCCCTGTCACCACTTTTGGGACCAAATTCCCCTGGACCCCCTCTATGCCCCAAAAATTATGTCTGGAAAAAATAATCCAGTGATCCTGATGGATCCATGGATGTTAATCCCTTCTGTTTTCTCCTGAGGGTTCTGTTCTCACCAAGTACATTCCTCTCCTCCAAGGCTGAAAATCCAGAGGTGAAAGCACTGCAAGAAAAATTGAGCACAGCCAACGTAAAAGTGACAGAATATCGGAACCAGCTGCAGAATTTGAAACAGGAACTGAAGCTGACCCAGAAGGTACCACTGCAGGGAGCACTCTGGGGCTGGGACCCCTGCAGGAGGTTCAGTCTTGGGAAACTGGGAGGGTTTTGACCCTTGGTTGGTCCCCATGAGCTGTTCCATGGAGCAGGGAACTGAGGAAGACACAAGGGTAGGGGTTGGAATGAAATTGTGCTCCTGAACAGGGATCTCATGTTTTGCCTCCCACTGTCCATTGGACACAAATCCTTCTGATTTTAAAGTCCCAGATCAGCAGAAGTGTTTGTGACATACATCCAGGTTCATTCCTCCTTTCCCATACGTTTAATTATGTATTTACTTCTAATGTAGGCTCCAGTGCCATGGGAATCAATGGGATTAAAGGTCTTGTTTGAACCAAAGCATGTGCTTAAAGAGTTTGTTGGAATGACATCCAGAATAACCTTTTCCTCTGATTCATGATGCATTTAAGTGTTATTATGTGCTCTGATTCTCTTTGGTTTCCCTACTTTGTGTAGGAGACCTGCAATGCAGATCAGAGTAGAGAATATGGTCCTTAAAATAGAACTCTGCTGACCTTTTTATAAATAATTTAAATGCTCTTCATACTAAGTTTAGCTGTGTCAGAATTTTGCAAGGGAAATTGGTTCAATTCCTGGTGTGCGTGAGGACAATACCTCTGCTCCTGCTTAATTATGGTTAAATATTCATCCTATCAAAAATAATTGTGTATATTGAAAACTGCTTGTGCTCCCTGCTAGAGAGAGCTGCTTTTCCTTCCCTCTCCCCAACACCTCCCTTTAAGCCTTATTGTTGATGTCAATCCCTTTCCCCAGATTTTAGCCAAAGAAGTTGGGGAAGATGTGAATATCCAAAACCTCTTGACCAATTCTGGCAGCTGGCGTGGGCGAGCTCAGCAAATTGTCCTTCTCCAAGGCAAGGTGAGTTCCAGCCCTGCATGGTGCTATTTCAGCTGGAATTCTCTTTCCAAGTGCAGATATCACCTCAAATTAAGGTAAAAGTGCTGTTAGTTCTTCATTAATTCTTCCCATCTCTCTGTTGCTGTGTGCACACCCTGTTAATGACTCTGCAGCCCTGCAAGCTTTGCTGTTTCAGCTGGGAATCTTTCACATCTGTGTCAAAGGAAGGAGTTCAGTGACCTTGGAGAGCTGTGGCAGCCCAGTTCAGGTCCCAGGGTGTTTTGAAGGTGCCTCTCTCCACTGAGAACAGAAGGAGCCCTGTCAGTGTCTGTGCTCTGACTTAGGTACCTTTGTTCAGTGCTTGCAGTCAGATGGGAGGAATTGAGGCCAGATCAGGTTTTCAAGTTGTTCCCTCAGGAGCTTCAGTGAAATGTTTTAACTCTTGAGTCTTCTGAAGGGCAGAGTTTAGCTGAAATGTCAGCAGGAGGCAGGGAGGCAGTTTTGTGTGCATCTAAATAAAACTTCTCTCAGGCAATTCGATTTGTAATTTTTCTATTTTCCTGCTGTTCAATTATATGCCATCAAACTGTGATTTTTTTGCATTCTGCTGAGATTTTTAACCTCTGCTTTCCCTTGAGCAAATTCCATTTCCCCCTGTTTTATCCTTGCCTGGGGTTCATCTGACCACTGTTCTTACTGTTCCCTGCTCTAATGTGCAGATTTCTTTCTGATCCAGACTCCTTCTGTAGTCAGTGGGGATCTTGTAAATCCAGTCACTGGATCAAAAGTGAGGAAGGTTCCTCCAAAGCAGGGCAGAGGAACTGAGCTGTGGAAGTGCCCAGTTCCTTCCACTGACTACAAAAGCAGCCTGCAGCAAGCAGTTGAGAGCTGAGTTCCCTTGGATTCACACAGCAGCAATTCCAGTGCTCTGGAGTGCCTGTCTGGCCTCCAAATGTGGCTCCACAGATCTCCCATGTGTCCCAGATCTCTGTCATGCACAGATGAGTTCCCTTGGATTCACACAGCAGAAGTTCCAGTGCTCTGGAGTGCCTGTCTGGCCTCCAAGATATGACTCCACAAAGGCACAAACCTTTGTGTCCCAGATCTCCATCCTGCACAGATGCCCTCAAATCTGCATGTTTATTGCAGCTAAATTTCTGTTTGAAAGACCAGACACTGCTAGACATGAAAATATCAAGAATAATCTGAGCTGCCTTTGGCTGTGTCCTCTTTGCCCTGTACCCTGGTAAAGCTCTGGCTGAGTTGTGCCATAGGTTCAAGAGCTGGAGCACAAACTGAATCACCAAAAGTTCCCTTGGATTCACACAGCAACAATTCCAGTGCTCTGGAGTGCCTGTCTGGCCTCCAAAATGTGGCTCCACAGATCTCCCATGTGTCCCAGATCTCCATCCTGCACAGATGCCCTAATATCTGCATGTTTATTGCAGCTAAATTTCAGTCTAAAAGACCAGACACTTCTAGAATGAAAATATCAAGAATAATCTGAGCTGTCTTTGGCTGTGTCCTCTTTGCCCTGTACCCCTGGCTGAGTTGTCATTATTGTGCCATAGGTTCACGAGCTGGAGCACAAACTGAATCAGCAGAAGATCAGAACTTCACTGCTGGAGATGGATGAGGGGCTGCTGGCATTTCCTGATTCAAGGAAATTGTCAGTCCAAGAGAAGAACTTGCTGAAGATTCGCAGCCTGGAAAAAGAGAAGAAGGAATCTTTGGAGGTAGAATGCTGTGAGCTGACAGAGTTCTGTTTGGGTGTGGAGCAGTGTGTAATGGCTTGTCCTGCCTTCAGGGTGTGTTACACCCTGCCTAAAACCATTTCATAAACTCCCTTGGTCTGCTGGAGGAAGCTCTGCCCCACTTCACAGCCAAGCCCTGCTACAGCTGCACCCAAACTCCCTAGCAGCCCTGTCAGCCCTTGGCCAGGAGTGCATTCTTCATCCCAAATACAGACATCCCCTTACACTCCTGGAGCTGCAGGGCTCTGGGCTGCTCCATTTGAACAGAATAATGGAGAATCAGAATCCAGAATAATGAAGAACCTACCCAGACCACCTAGATTCCTGAGCAGACCTTTTTGGATGCTGGCAAGCAGGCAGCCAGTAGCATTTATAATTTCTATTTCCTTAGGAATAATACAGTATTCCAGTCCCATTTTTTAGATTCTGCCAGGTAATGTGTGATTGTTTTTTCTCACCACAGCACCTGGGGCTTGGTGATAAGTTATAACTTTCATTTCCTTTTACATCACTGCAGAAACTCTCTGAGCAACACAACACTCTCCAAAAAAACCACGAGGAACTGAAAAAAAAACTTGATGCCACAAAAGCCAGGAACCAAATGCTGTGTGGAGAAGTGAAGATGCTGAAGGGGCAGATTGGAACCTTGCTGGAGAAAGGGAAACACGACGATGAGCTCATAGATGCCTTGCTGGTACAGTCTGTGTTGGTCCTATAGGTGATAAAACAGGATGTCCTTTTGTGGCACACACAGCCTCAGGGTGCACAGGAGCCTGATGGATCCAAGTGTGACAGCCAGAGGTTTTCCTGTCAGCTGAAGCCCTCCTGCATTTTGGATGGGGTCCTGTAGGGGCTGTGAGACAGCGCCAGGTGTGACAGTGACAGCCAAGTGGCCCTGAGCTGCAGGGACTGGCAGAAACATTTTGCAGAAGGATTGAAGTAGGTAGAGGAAGGGCTTCAGTCCTGACCCAAGGCCTGTGTTCTTTATTCTGCTTTCAGCTCCACTGGTAGTTTTTTTTTATTTTTTTCCTTAGAATGCCTGCAGTCCTGCAGGATTTTTTTTTTAATTTGTAACAAAACTTCCATTTATTTTGTTTTATTTTGTTACACAGCCCACAACACACAAACTGAACCATGAGCACTAAACCATGTGCACACTCACATGCAGGAGCTGAGAGGATTTGGCCTCTCCTAAACCAAGAATTTTAACAAAGGCTCAAAGATGCTGACAAAGAAATAAATAGCTCCTGTCATGGTCCTGCCATGGTTTTAAACAGCCTTCCTCAATTAAAATAGCAAATTTATTAGTGATAAAAATAAATTTATACACCACCTCCTAGCAGGGTTAATTCTGTGTTTCCTATCCAACTCCTCACTAGTTTCAAGCCACTCAGAATTCCCTGCTGCTCTGGGTAGGTTTTAGCTCAGCTGCCATTCACCCTTCTCCCCAGGCCCTGTGGGTGCTGACCAGCAGATTAGGGGTGCCAAAGAACATTTGTCACTTTTTTCTGTGTTCCCACTAAAATTAGTATAGAAAGATGCAAGTTTATTAGGGAAGGGATGGTAAATCTCTTTTATCCCTTCTGTCACAAAAGCACTTTACTTGCAGGTTGTTGGCCTGGCAGAACAAACTGCCTGACAGGTATTAGATTTGTCAGTGTGGAAAAAAAACCCTCCAAAAGTACTGGTGAAACAGCCTGGCCTCATATCTGTCACCCCACAGTATCCTCAGCTTTTAATATCCCTATCACAGGATCTGATCATGTTCTAACTCCACAAAAAGCACATTGAAATCTTGAGTTTCATTCAGTTTATGGAAAAAATCACTTCTTTATCAAAGGCCAGCCTTTCTTGTTCTGTTTTCTGCTACACTGAGCAGCAGAGCTGGCAGCAAATTGAATCTGACCATTGCTCAGGTTAACATAACAAATCAAATTGCCAAAGTGGCACCAGTGTCACCAGTGTGATCCCACCAAGGAATGGGCTTGGCAGGGCAGGGGCTTGCCCTGCCATTCCTAAATGGATATTTGTCTTGGAGAGGTTAAAAATAATCATTTTGTACCAAATAAAGCTCTCACCTGCTTCTCTTTTTACCAGAGCCAGCAGAAGCAAATGCAGGAGATCTTAAAGGGCCTGAGCCAGAAGAAGGGTGAGAACAAGGAGATGATGGAGCCTGAGATTCAGAAACAAAGCACCCTGATAGATGAGCTCAGGCAGCTGGTGGCTGACAGAGAAGCAAAGGTTAAAACTCTGGAGGAGGAGATTGGGCAGCTCACACATCAGGTAGGCAAACAAATTAATTAGAGGAGCACACTTGGTAATCAGATCTGCTCTTCCACTTCCTTGTCCCTTGTTATCTGAGATGGTTGCTGCCTCCAGACAGGGATCCCTGTCCTGCTGACAGTCTTTCCTGATGGAGTGATAAAGCAGGAATTCTTTTGTAACTCCTCAGTTCCTTTGTGCATAACTGAGGCAGCTTCAGCAGCAGCAAACACAGAAATACCAATCACAGCCACACGTGGGCCATGTCAGGACTGTCACTGACTGACAGCAGGACTTGGGGCTGCACTGGGGACTCCTCAGTGCTCAGCACCCTTGGCTGCTGGAAGCAGGAAGCAAACAAATGTGTCACACCAGCATCGGCAGCTGCTGCTGTCTCACAGGCAGGATTTGTGGACAATATTTAGGCATCCCATTCTCATTGATGCAAAACCCTCCTGGGGTTGTGGTGAGGTTGTGAATCTCCCAAATACCCCAGGAATGGGGGCTGGAAAATTGAACCCAGGATGAAACCTGGCTTAGGGACACAACCCACAGTGCAGCAGCGTCACTGCCAGCACAGTTGTTTATTAATGCACTCTGATTTCATATGAAACTGCCCTTTTTACTGACTTCTGCTTTGTTTTCATCCTGCAATGGATGGGAATTAAAGCAGAGCTTCTGAGGAGGCCCTGTAAATCAGAAGTTCTGGCTTGCTTGTAGCAATAATCAAAAGCTGCTGCTTTGGCATTGGTGCAGCTGTTTTCCTCTGAACTATGTAATTGCTTTTATAAATGCTCCACCATTAACAGAAGAATTCTGCCCATCCATAGGACAAGTCAGGAGCTGCTCATCCACCACACTCTGAGCACTCAGCATCACCTGAGGCTGCAAGGACAGAATCTGCCCGGTAAGAAGATCAGAAAGTCAATATTTCAAATTGTTTGAGTAATCCAGGAGCTTGGTTTTCCCAGGCAGTTTCATCAAACCACAAGTGCTTTGTGCCAACAGCCTGTTTGCAATATATGGGAATCTCTAATCACATTATCTCTTGGACTTTTGCTCTGGAACTGAGAAGGATGTGCAGACTTGCAGACATGACTAGATTTGGCATGGTGGTGGTGCAGCTATTTCTCCTCCTGCAGCTCAGCTAATGTTTAAGTGGTCAGCTTAAGTGCCTGGGAATCTTTTCCCTTATGAGACACGAGGCTTCTGAGGAGCAGATTTCTGTGAGCAGGGCGGGCAATGAAGGCAAAGTGCCATTTTAGGTAAGCACTGAATCACTGGTGCATTATTTAAATCAATTAATGCTCTTTGAGAAGGATTTACATGCAGAAATGTTGAAAACACACCACATCATTTGTTCTTACCAAACACCCTCTTTAAAGCCTCACTGAGGGCTGTGTAAATTACACTAATCTTAGTGCAGCAATAAATCTGATTTGTGTTTACACTGGTGTGACTCTGGGTCACTCTGGCTGTGTAAAGGGACCATGGTACCACAGCAAGTTATGTCCTTTCCTGTTAAATTGTTGCTGAAGAGTTCATGGTCTAATTGATAGTGAGGAATTGAGACTGGTCTGATGGGGATGGGGGAAATTTTTCATCAAGATAAAGTTACAACTGATCTCTTCTGTGTCATTTCCTACCTCATTACTTTAGACACCCAATTTGGCTTTAAAATCAGCTGAGTATCCCTAAGTAGAGCATTACTATAAAATTTAAGAAGAATTCTGTAGTTTTGAGTTAGAGTTAAAACATCTTTACTTTGAAAGTTTCTGCACCCTTCTGGCTGTTATAATTCCCCCCCATCTAACTCCACAGAAGTTGTTGTGCTCTCCTGGAGCAAATCTATATTTTATCCCTTTTTTTTTACCTCACATGTCTGCTGATGGTAAGCAGGAACCAAAGCTGGGTAATGGCTTTGTGGAAAGCACTAAGTGCAATGCATAAATTATTGCCTGTGTACAGGGCCAAGGAAAGAGCTGACGTGTCAGGTGGGCAATGAATGATCCTGAAAAACTCTGAGAGCTGTTAATAACTTGGTCAGCAAGGCTCATTCCTTCCATTAACTTTAATATCCTGATCAACTCTCAATTCTGTTTGGCTGTAGTGAATCATCTTTTCCTATCAGAAAAGGTGAAATGAGAAACTCTGTAAACGGATGCTAAACCTTTTGGAGGTGGCAGAGTGAAAATCTGCATTTTTAGACTGAGCCAAGGCTGTCAGTATGAACCTTAACTTGATTTTAGGATTAACCACTCCTAGCCCAGAAGGCACATCTGTCATTTCCACAATTCTAAGGCTTTATCCTCTTGTTAGCTACAGCTGAAGCAAGGTGATGTGGGGTAAGTCTGCAGGGACTTGGTTTTGGCAGCTGAATTTGTGTTGAGGAAATGAACACCCCCAAGCAAATACCTCCTGAAATGGGGTGTTCCAAACAAACACACCAAAATCTGGTATCTCAAACAAAGACACACACTGAAATGGGATGTCCCAAACAAACATCCACTGAAATGGGATGTCCCAAACAAACACACACCCACTGAAATGAGAGGTCCCAACACACCTAAATGAGATGTCCTAAAGAAATACACACCAAAATCTGGTGTCTCAAACACACACACCAAAATGGGATGTCCCAAACAAACACACATCTAAATGGGATATCCCAAACAAGCACACACTGAAATGGGATATCCCAAACAAGCACACACTGAAATGGGATGTCCCAAACAAACACATGCCTAAATGGGGTGTCCCAAACAAATATACACCAAAATCTGGTGTCCCAAACACACACTCATCTAAATGGGATGTCCCAAACAAACACACACTGAAATGGGGTGTCTCAAACACACATACACCTTGAAATTTGGTGTTCCAAACAGACACACACTGAAAGGGGATGTCCCAGACAAACACACCTAAATAGACTGTCCCAAACAAACACCCATTGAAATGGGATGTCCCAAACACACATACACTAAAATGGGATGTCCCAAACAAAGACACACCAAAATCTGATGTCCCAAAGACCCACACACCTAAATGGGATGTCCCAGAAAACAACCACTGAATTGGGATGTCCCAAACAAGCACCTAAATGGGATGTCCCAAACAGACACATACTGAAATGGGATGTCCTAAACAAGCACACATAAATGGGATGTCCCAAACAAATACACACCAAAATCTGGTGTCCCAAACACACACCCACTGAAATGGGACGTCCCAAACACTCATCATGATACACAAAACTCATCCAGGCTGGCAGTGATCTCCAGTGTTATCAGCTGGCTCCTCCTCTTACAACAGTGAGCCTGACAGATCTTCCTGAGGGTTTTCACAAAGCAGATTTCATCAAGCTGTGTGAAATACATAAAGCTGTGTGAAATATATTTTAAAGGGCATTGGGAAATCCAAGTTGTGCCCTGGGTTTCAGAGCAGGGGTCACTTTGTTAGGAGAATCTGTGGCATGCAAACCCCATCAAACTGCACAGAGCTGGGATTGCCTCTGCCAGTGCTGGGTGAAGGTGTGGGGTGAGGGAGCTCTTCCCCACAAAACACAGGCATTGGGGAAGGGCTGGGATTCTGGGAACTCTGCCCTGTGTGAAGCCCTAACCCAGCTTTCCTCCCCCCAGCACAGTGTCTGCAATGGGCCACATGCTCGTGGAGTCAGCAGCCACAGAGCCTTTCTTCCTCATCCCACCTGCAAGGTGGGTATACAAACCTCATCATCAGCAAGGAAAGTGCTCTGCCATGCTCTGCAAGCTGCTGGAAATCCTTGTCTTGCCTGCCTTGTTTCTGTGATGAAAGCTTCTTGCTCCATCCCTCCTGCCTGAAGCTGTCCCAGAGCTCTAACATGTGATTTCTCTCTCAATTCTATAATTGACTGCTTGTTTGACACCAATTTTTTTTCCATTTTTACTCCCAACCACCAAGATTTCTCCTGCTTTTTTTTTGTTCTAAAGAAAGTCTTCCTGAAAGCAGAGAGGTCAGAGAAGTAATGAACTACATAATAATGGCATGCATGGGAAAACTGCCCCTTCCTTTCAGCACATTTTGGCCACAAGAACTGCCATTGTGCAAGTGCTGCCTGAAGCCTTTCAGAGGGAGAAAATCAATAGCAGGGCATTTCATAGTTTAGTGTAGCACTTGGGAGATAGAATCTCCTTTTACTTTGGCAGTAGCAGTGAGAGGAGAGTCAGGGATAATGAATTGATCAGAGCTGGAAGTTTGTTTTCAGGGGTGATGAGGAGGGGAAGCATCCTGGAAGCAGCTTTTTAATGACACTCCCTGTGACTTTAGAGCCAAATATTTCTGTTCTGTTTATTGCAGTCTGGAGATGGGTGCTGGGGGGAGGTAGTGAGCTCTGCATTCTGCCTTCACCTTCAGACAAGTGTATTGGAGACAGTGCTCAAATCCTGCCTTTGTTTCATTCCAGAGGTGGGAACCAGACTCTCTGTGCTTGTGCTTCCCTCAGGTCTGCTGGCACGGACAGCCTGAGCTGGGAAACGCTGCTGGGAGAGCTCCTAACACAGAGGCTTCTGTGCCAGCCTGCTGCAAAGGAGAGGGAAAAGCTCCTGGAGCTGCTGGCTGTGCTGCAGAGAAGGTACAGCCTCACCCACCCTGCCAGCAGCATCCTCTGTGGGATCAGGGAGCACTGCAGAGTCTGGGACGTGCCCCACAGAGCGTCACACGCTGCCATGCTTGCCTTAAATAGGGGCTTTTCAATTTTATTCTGCTCGATTTCCCTGCCTGGCTGATGATTCATTCTTTTTATTATTCTTTTAGAACAAAGGGCAGAAAAAAATGGAGCCATCTTCCAGCTTGCTGCACCTAGATAAAAGCAGAATTGCTGTATTTATGTATGGATGGCTTTACTGAGGCAGCAATATTATTCATCAGTAGTAAATACTGTAATTATTGTTATAATATTCTCTTCCAAAGCTTTTCACATTCTTTTTAAGTTCCATTGTATCCTTTTCTAAATGAATTTATTCTGGTTTAACAGAGGCATAGCAGTGATTTTTTTTTAAATTTTATTTTCTGTGATTCAATTCAATGTAAGATGATAAAAGCCAACCATGTTTTAGGAGAGAAGAGAAAGCAAAGTAATTTTTTTTTGACACCTTTCAGCTACTGGTTTTTTTTTTCCATTATGTATTATTTGATTCCTAAATCTGTATTCCAATATTGGAAGTATATTCCTGTCAATACAATAAGCACTGTTTGCTTACTTGCTTTAATTTACCACAGTTATCATTCTCACTTGTATCACTTTTATCCTGCATGATTAATCACAGTCAGAAAAGAATAGATTTTTTTTCTTTTAGAACTCTGGAAAAGGTGCTTTTAAAGCTAAATTCTGGAAATACATGCTGGGAAAAAAATCTTTTTCATGTTTGTAAGCCCAATGACTTTAATAGAGCTGTGCAGTCAGATGAGGATGGGGCTGTGAGTGGTAACTGAAGTGTGGCCACCACCAGTATGGAATAATGAAAAACAGAGTCAATGAAATGCACAGTTGCCTGTAAAATGTGCCATAAAGTGATGATTCAGCAGCTCCACACTTATCACACATTTATCAAGCAGGTAACATAAATTTTGTGAGACTGTGTGCAATAACTCTTGGAAGACCTCAGGGTAATATAGCACCAGCCAGATTTCAATGTGAATATATTTTTAAAAATCAGGTTTTCCTCCCCTTCCCTCACTGCTGGGGTGTAACAAAGTTCAGGTAACACAGATAATGCTTAAATCAAGAGGAAGAGCCCTGGGAATTGTTACAAGTGGGATTTTTCTACAGCACTTTAATTTAAATTATTCCTATTGGCAGATGATTCCATTAAAAAATCCCACAGATCTTGCCATTTTTCCTCCAGTTTTTGTGCAAAGTGGATGCCAGAGGAACACCAGGGTCAAATGAAAATTTAGTGAATGCAGAAGCACTGAGAGGAATAAAATGTCTCAGAGCACATCACCAGCCTGGGAATTCACTGCCACAGGAGGTCAAGTCTTGCCTGTAGCTACATTTTTAAACCACTGATATAATTTTATTAGAGTTGTAATAATTTTTTTTAAATTATACCAGCTAGGAGGGAAATAAACTAATCAAGTCTCTTGATTCAGAGAGTAACCAGCTTCCACCCGTGGGGTCAGGAGGGAAATTTTCTTTTCCAGTCCAATCCAGTGAGTCAATCTGTGTTTCTTTTTGGCTTTAAACTCCTTGGAATCACTTGGTGTCAGTCACTGCCCCACTGGCAGCATCTGTGGGTGCACATCAGATATTTTTGCAGTTAATTCTCTGAGATGTTGCTCAGGATGGAGAGAGGCAATTTGCTTTTTTGTGATGCAACCACCAGTTTCTTTTCCACCCTCTCCCATCCATGGTCATGTCTAATGGATAAGTTTATTGAAAGCAGAAGTTTCTTTTCTTCCTCTCAGATAACTGACGCAAATGTTAGACTGTGTTTTTATAAACTATTTGCCTTCCAAGCTTTTCCAGAGTGGCTAAAAAATTCAGTTTATTATTCCTGTAATAAAAGATCTCTCCTCAGCAATCTGCAGTTTTCCTGCTCATCTGAAGGGTGAATTCACACAGGGAGCCAGAATTAAGGGATCTAAGCAAACAAACCCCTTGTTTCCGACTGTACCCATTAGCTAATTCTCTTTTGCATGTTTAGAAGATGTCACCTTCTGATACAATTTCAGGAGGATTTTTGCCTGTGGATGGATGGAAAGTTCTTTCCCTTCTGTTGGAAGAAGCAGAATCCAGTACCAAGACTTATTTGACACAGGCATGACACAAATGAGCTGAACACTTTTTTTTTTTTTTAAATCATTATTTTTTTGCCTGTCAGGGTGATGGAAAGCAGCAGCAAAGTCTTGGAAGCTGAGAAGAAGCTCCAGGAAGAGCAGTGGCAGAGTGACAGCCTGGAACAGCACCTTGAAAAGCTGCAGGTGGATCCAGAGAGCAGCACAACTGCCCAGGAGCCTGCCCTGAGGAGCAGAAAAGGTAAAGGGGAGCCTCAGCTGTTGTATTTGTGGGGTGCCCCATGGCAGGAAGGAATGATGGATCTGATTCCATGTTCTCAGAAGGCTAATTTATTATTATATTATATTATATTATATTATATTATATTATATGCTAATTTATTATTCTATTCTATTCTATTCTAGAATGCTATACTAAACTGTACTAAAGAATACAGAAAGGATACTTCCAGAAGGATAAAAAGATAATAATGAAAACTTACAGAGCCCTTACAGAGCCCAAACACAGCTTGGCTGTGGTTGGTGAATGAGTGAAAACAATTCACATGAAGCCAATGAAACAATCTCCAAACTCATTCCAAAGCAGCAAAACACAGGAGAAGCAAATCAGATAATTATTGTTTTCATTTTTCTCTGAGGCTTCTCAGCTTCTCAGGAGAAGAATCCTGGGCAAAGGGATTTTTCCAGAAAAGAAAATCCCTTTCCACACTCAGCCACAGCCACATCCCCTGTTTCACCTCTGGCCTTTACGGACAGTGACACCATTTGGGCTCCCCCTGCCAAACCCAGCCCAGTGCTTGACCTTGCACGTGGTGATGGGACCTGCTCAGAGCCAGCAGCAAGGCAGGAGGCAAAATCCTGGCCCTTCTCCACTGGAGAGGCTTTTCCCTCAGGTCTGAGGGGGACCAGGATTTTTGCAGTGCGTTTCCATGGGATAATTCCAGGAAAAAAAAGCTTTTCCCTGCTCTGTGCTGCCCCCAGAGCTCCCTTTGCACTCGTGCCTGAGGGATTCAGCTGAAGGTTAAGAGCAGAATTAAAGGACATATCCCAATTTAAGGCCTGTCAGTGCCTATGAAAAACTATTGCTGGTGATGAAGTAATTAGATCTGGTGTAATTTATTATCCCATGAACGTGATAATCTCCTGCTATAAATATGAAAGCCTCCCTGGCGTAGTTAAAGAAGAAGAATTCATGGTGGATGTTAAATTTTTATTTCCCTGATCAGATCCTTTTATTGCTTAAGGACTCTGATTCTGTAAAGTGTCTAAACCAATAAAATGGCACATATTCTTAAGGAAAATTTTCCAGTGGTTTCCCTTTTTATGTGTATTTTCATAAAGCAAAAAGACTTCAAATGCCAGAAGATGAACAGCAGGGAGGGGAATTTCAATTTGGCAAATGCTGGGGTGGTGTCAGGCTGAGTTAGGGTGACCACAGAGCTCATCAGAAACCTTGGATGAGCCCTTCAGAGGAACCTTTGTACTGAATGGGGACTGAATGGGTGCTTCAGACCTGCTTCTCTCTGTAAACCATGGATTTGTTCCTTGCTGTGTCCTGGGAAGCAATTCTCTCATTCTCATGTGGTTTTTATGAGCACTGATTCTCAGAGTTGTCTCACCTGCATTAGCTGAGAGCAGAAAAATGTAGATCCCAGAAGTGTGGGAGCATTTTGGTGCTGTTTTGTACAGAATTTAACTGAGTTTCTGAGTGCTCAGACTTTTACACAACCTGGTGAAGTGTTGATGTGTTCTGTTATCAAATCTTCTCCTTGAGAGACAAACTCTCCAGCTCCTGAGGCTTTTTGGTCAAGTTTTGTTGTGCTGTAGTAAAGTTTTAGTAACTCCCCTTTGCTGGCTGGCATTTCATAGCCAGAGGAGGAAGCTGTTTTCACCAGTGACAGATCCCTTCTCACTAAATATTTAGTTCATTAATCTCCTCTGCTTAAGGACTAAAAGCAAAAGTAGAAAAGGATTGGCAGGAAGGCTAATAAGGAGAAATCCTCTCTAAATCCATGAGATGAGTAGGTAACAATCTATTTCACTCTCCTGCTTTGATGAGAGCTTTGTGATGTGCCAAAATTGGAGTTTGTACAAGAACCAAGTCTACAAGTCTGTAGTACACCTCTTCAGCAGAGCATGGAGGTTATCTCAATGCTTTCATGCCAGTGGTTGAGGAAATAAGAAAAAATTAAAAGCTTGAATACAAAATAGAGACTAGAGAACCTGCTAATTAACATAATATTTTCCTTTCTTTCTGAAAGTACAAAATTGTAGAGAGCTGATCTAATTGCTGGTCTAATGTTTCTAATCCCTTCAATTCAAGGGAAGTAGATAATGATGCTAAGGAGCTGCAAACAACCCAGTTGTGTTTTTAAGTCATTCAGGCTTTTCATTTTCTGTGCTTTTTTTCCTGTTTTATCCAAATTCCAAATTATCAAAGAATAATCCCAGAGGAGGGATAGGTAAGTAACAGCAGGTTTTTCCTCAGCCCTGTAAAGCACAGCCTCAAGATCAAAAGCATTTTAGCTGTACAATGCAGCCTTTTCTTCTCATTTGTTTTTGTCAGAGTTCAGTTCTCTCCAACCAGGTTCTTTCAGATAATTCCACACAAGGAGGATTTAGTGTTTTAATACCAAATTTGAATATATTTGATATTATGAGGGAAACTAATTGGGAAAAGGGATACAGAAATGTGCCAACACGACAACACAAGCACAAACCAGCAATTTTTGCAGTGTTCAGTAGGAGCAGAGCACAAATTCCAGCCTGGCTGTTCCCTGTCCTGGTGCTGGATTCCCAGTTATAAGGACGGCAGCCAGCTCCAGCCTGTTGTTCTCTGCATTTAGCTGCTTTCTTGATTTTTATAATTTATTTGGGGCTGATCCACACAAATCCTTCCCTCATGCTACTTGGCTCCAGGTAGGTAATGCTGGCTATTGATTATTTTAGAGAAAGCCATTTATTTACATTTACTAAAATGATTCAGCCTTCTGTCTAGAGCAGAGATGACCCTGCAGTCCCTCAGGGCTGGGATGAGTTCAGCATCCTCTGCAATAGCTCTGCTCCCTTCCTGCTCTCCTTTCTGAGCTCCCTGAGCACTTCTCTGCTCCTCCTTCCACTGCAGCCATTCACTGGTCACAGCTTTTGCTTCTCCAGTCCCAGCTATAAATTTGAATTATATGTTCTCTGTCACCCTGAAAAAATTTTATGAATTATTTTGGGATGAGCAGAGCTGCATGTTTTGGGCAGACCCTTATTTAGGAAAGCATTCCTGAGAACCTTGGTTTGAAGTACATTTAACCCACATTTTGTTTATGCTGAGGAACAAAGTGCTTTACAAAAGTTGTTTCAATGGGTGCCACGTGCAAACTTTGTCCCAGATGTTCAGGAAGCAGCAGCTGTCATAATCTGAAACACAATTATGAGATTAACATCAAATTAACCCTTTTCAGCTGTCTGTAACCTCTTGTTTTGGTCACTTCAATATTTTGAATTCAATGTTTTCCTCCCTACATATGTAGGCACGTATTTAGCCCTGAAATGTAAATTCATCATGTTTTCATTTTGCTGGAAGGAAATTAAAATAATTCTGTCATATATTGATGATATGTTATGGGTACAACATAGAATTTAGAAGGTTAAATATTTATTTAAGAGATTAAGTACCTTATTTGAGAGAATAAATTCAGTGTTTTTTGACACTGACTCAGCATGCTGCCAAAACTGATTTGCTGTTTCACTACAACTCCATTCTGTGATTGAACCTACAGCCCAGGCCAGCCTCCCCTTGCATGTGAGTGACACAGAGGAGCTCTCTGCAGCCCTGGCTGAGCTGCCCCTGAAGTCTCAGGTGGAGGAGCTGAGCAGGAGGTATGTTATGTTATGTTCTCCCTTTCTCCCTGCTGGGATTGCTCTGTTCTCCCTCAGGGAGAGGAGGAGCAAGGGCTCAGTTTGCTCTTTCTCAGGGCTCTGGGTTTCAGTGTTTTGTCCCCACAGCACAGGTGACTGTTCTCGGTTTGCTTTGAAGCTCCCCAGCTCACAGGGAGTTTTTTTTCCTTCTGTTTCCTCGCAGGCTTGGCTTCCAGCTGGATGAGAACAAAAGTCTGAAGGCTGCTCTGAAGGAGCCTGTGACAGCCAAAGGGGAGGATTTTTAACTGCATCAAGCCACAGTGGAGAAAGTGAGGGATGGGTTTGCAGTGGGTGCTCAGCCTCACACACCAAAGAGTTAATCCAGATATTGCCAGACCTTTGGGCTGCAGAGCAGGGACAGAGCCCAGGCACCAGTGTCATTTTGCAGCCTCAGATCGTGTCACTTCTTCAGCATTTGCAGGAGAGGATGAGAAGCAGAGATGAAATACAAAAAGTGAAGGTTTTATGTGTCAGCACTTTCTGTCTCTGAGGCTTGGCAAGCAGGGTGGTGGGTGTAGTTTGGGAAGCTGCAATTCTGCAGGGGGATTTGGGACAAAACCTTCCAGGTTCCAGCACAGTGTTCCCTGGCAGGGCTTGATATTCAATCTGCTGCTGCCTTTATCAGCTCAGGAAGGAATTTGCTGTGCAAAAGTTAGGCCAGCCCCCTTCCTTAGAACAAAACAAGCTCTGTTTTTATCCCTACCTGCCTGTCTCAGGCTTTCTGTAGCACTTCAGTGCCCAGGCACAGGATTAGCCTGACCTGGGACACTCTGCAAATCAGCTCTGGGTGGGCTCCTCTCATCATCCCAACCTCTCTCTTTGCTTGAACATGCAGCAGTTTTCTGAGTTTCCACTGAAAAGCTGTGCAGATTACCCCTGCAATGAGTCAACCTACCTTAAATTCAGCTCATTCCATAAAAAACTTGCCACCCAGGTTATGAATTCCCTGTTTCTGGGTCTCTGCATTCATCCATCGAGCAGATCTTGTTCTCCCTGGGAAGAAATGTTATAAAATGCAGGCAGGTCCTCACTGCAGCAGTGCTGGGACTTTTGGAGCTGCTGCAAACCCTGGCAGCCCTGTCCTTCTCTGCTGCAGCACAGTGAGGACACAGAGTGCAAGCTAATCAGGCATTGCCATGCAGCCTGCCAGTGCACAGCAGCCTTGGGGATTCCAGGCCAATGGAGAGCCAGGCATGTTTGTACAGTGCTGCTTTGTTTCTCACTTGAAAGTCTTGAAAGCTTTTCTTTTTTTCCTCCTTTGCTTTGTCAGCCTCTTCTTATGAGCCTGAAGTTTGTCAGGCTTTAACCCCAGGCAGCACCACCATGAATTTGCATTTCAGGGCTAAATACACCAGTGCAAAGTGGATTTTTGGGTTTCATCCTGACTCCCCTGTGCAGAGTGGAAAAAAGCAGAGCAGGAGTCACTCCAGATGTGTTGTTCCTGTCTTTTTTTTTTTTTTCCCCGTTTAGGTTCAGAAATATCTCTTTTCAAGAAATGTTTCTTTTCAAACAGTTTTTGGAGTCCCTGATGGAGGAAGTCAGGGAGCTGGGGAAAATCTGGGACTTATCAGGGAATTAACCCTCTCTGTGCTCATGGGGCTGCTGCACTGCCCTAGAGCTCAGCCCAGCTCTCACAACAAGCAGGACCATCCTGCTTTATTGCTTTATTGTGATATTTTTCCTGCCAGTATCATCAGAGGAAAAAGCATCTTGCAGCCCTCAATCATCTCTGGACAACTTGAGGAATAAATCCTGGCTTGAGAGGAGCCACAGCTTTGGTTTCAGCTCCATGCTGATGCTCTGTGGAGGGGAGGAATCCTCTGGTGGGGATTTTAAGGAGCTGCAGGAGGGAGCAGATCCCTTGGGGAAGCTGCCTGAGCAGGAGCAGGGCTGTGGGAGCTGTGCTGCTAAATTCAGGCTGGAACTTGGGGCTGCAGGTTCTGATTTCACTTACACAGGAGTGTGAATCAATAATTATTTCCCAGGAGCAGAGCAGAGGCATCTGCTGCCCTTCCTGGTGCCCTGGCCCAGGGAAGCTGTGAAGATCAAACCTCTCTCCAGGAAAAGGGCTCTGAGTCAGCCCCTGAAGCACAGGGAGGAAACTGGGATCTCACAAAACACACATGGCTCTCCTGAAAACCTTTCTCAAGTGCTGCAACGCTCATTTCTTTAACCTTGTGCTTGTTTGGTGCTGCGCAGAAACATTTTCTCATTTCTTCTGCACCAAATGCTTATCAAAGAAAGAACTCAACCACTATAAAGCAGTTTATTTAGGCAGCCTGTACCTGCGAGCAGCTGCTGCTCATGGAAATGGGCAGTCTGTCTCCTGTCACAGTGGGGAGTGCACAATGTCCAGGGCTTCTCAGGATTTTGAAATGCACTTCCCCAGAGTGACCTGGCTTGAATTCTCCCCGTGCTGCCTCTAGCTGGTTCCAGTTTTCAAAGGATGAGACCAATTTTATGCACCCCAACCCATCACTCAGAGAACAAAATCAATGGCAATATTTTTCTCTCTGCCTGAAAAATCCCCACAGTGGAGATCCTCAGCCCCAGGATCTCTCCAGCACACTTGTGCATTCATTTCAGGGATACAGCTGATGTGAAATCACCACAGACCCCTGCTTCCCTTGGAACTTTCAGTGTTTTGGGTGTTTTCCCCCTCATGGATAAACACCAGTCTGTTAAAATTCTGTATTTCAGTTCAAATTTGAATTTCTCTGGTTCCAGTTTGCAGCCAGCCATCATTTTGCCTCTCTGGCTCTTGCTGGTTCCCACTTTTCAAAGGATGAGACCAATTTTCTTGCAGTATTTTGCTAAATATAAGAAGCCCTGGCAGACCTTGGGAGCAGCAGCCCCCTGCACCCCAGCCCATCACTCAGAGAACAAAATCAATGACAATATTTTTCTCTCTGCCTGAAAAATCCCCACACTGGAGATCCTCAGCCCCAGGATCTCTCCAGCCCAGTTTCTTTCAGGGATACAGCTGATGTGGAATCACCACAGACCCCTGCTTCCCTTGGAACTTCCAGTGGTTTTTTTTCCCCTCGTGGATAAACACCAGCCTGTTAAAATCCTGTATTTCAGTTCAAATTTGAATTTCTCTGACTCCAGTTTGCAGCCAGCCATAGTTTTGCCTCTCTCAGATAAAAGCACTGTGAGTCCCCAGCATTTCCTCACTGGGACAACCCTCATCCAGTGAGAACTCGTGTCCCAGGCAGCTTTTTGATAAGCTCTGAGTTTTCTCAGCCTCTCCCTGCAGCTGATGGTGGTGACAGGCTAGAGGTGACATCTCTGGCACACGCTGGTGAGTACAGTTAAAGTTAATTTTACTGCCAGCATTTAGTTATGGGCACTCCTTGTTAGGATTTGGGTAGTTCTTAACTCCAAAAATGAGTTCTCCAAACTCTTGGAAAACCAAAATCTGTCTCCTGCCCTGGAGCTGGGCAGAGCTCCTCCATGGAGCAGCAATCAAGTGCTGATGGATGGATCCCATTTCAAAGTACAGCTGAACTGCTGGCAATAAATGATCTTTGATGAATTGTCCTCCTTTCCTTTGGGCCTCTTGCCAGCAGTTTACCTGCAAAGAGCTTTCCAAAGTGGCTGTAAGATGAATTGAGTTGCATTAGGGTGGTTAAACATAGACAGTGTTGACACAGGAGAGCTCTCCTTGCTCTTGGACAAGGGGCACAGGATCAGCTGGGGGGTCAAAGCCCATCCCATGGGAATTCAGAGCTGTGGATTGGGGCTGTGGGTGGCTCCTGCCCTCCCAAAGCAGGACAGGGACGGCAGGAGGAGATGGATTTCAGTCCTTGATGTGGGAGAAACGGGGAAGAAGCTGGTGGGAAAGGGGAACTGAGTTGGAAACTGCTTTGCTGACCCCCCCCAGCAGCCCCAGCCATCAGCTGCCACTGCCCTGCAAGGCACAGTGCAGGACAAAAGGGAAGAGCTTCAGCTTTAAATGGAAAAACACTCTGGCAGAGCCACTGAGCTCTAAATTAAGCACGACAGAGCCAAGAGGGGTGTTGGGTTTCTCATTCCTGCCTTCATCCTCTCCCCTCCAGCTCCTGAGCTGGCTGCTCCCATGGGACAGGCTGGCCTCGCTCACAAATGCCACCCAAATCCCTGGCATCTCCACTTACAGCTCCCAAACCATCCCAGGAGGGACCCTGGGCTCAGAGCAGATCCTGGGTCAGGGAGAAGAGGGAGCTGGGGATGCAGCAGGGAGCAGAGGGGACATTCCAGCCTGTCCCTGGCCTAACTGGGGCAATTCTGGGGAATGGGAGGGGACTGGGAGGGGAGGAGCTGGAGAAAGGGGGTTGGACATGATCTGGGGGAGGGGAGGTGGCGGGAGCCTCCTTCAGAGCCTTCATGGGGTGGCTGCAAATTTGGGAGCTTGGATGGGATAATGGGTGCCATGGGGGATGGACAGAGCCATTGTGGGGTGCTGAGAGGGGTCCTGAAGGTGGGGATGGATGGATGGATGGATGGATGGAGGATGGATGGATGGATGGATGGAGGATGGATGGATGATGGATGAGGGATGGATGGATGGATGGATGATGGATGAGCGATGGATGGATGGATGGATGGATGGATGATTGATGGATGGATGGATGGATGGATGATGGATGAGGGATGGATGGATGGATGGATGGATGGATGGATGGATGGATGATGGATGAGGGATGGATGGATGGATGGATGGATGATGGATGGATGGATGATGGATGATGGATGGATGGATGGATGGATGGATGGATGGATGGATGGATGATGGATAGATGATGGATGGATGGATGATGGATGGATGGAGGATGGATGGATGGATGGATGGATGGATGGATGGATGATGGATGGATGGATGATGGATGGATGGATGGATGGATGGAGGATGGATGATGGATGGATGGATGGATGGATGATGGATGGATGGATGATGGATGGATGATGGATGGATGATGGATGGATGGATGGATGGATGATGGATGGATGATGGATGGATGGAGGATGGATGGATGGATGGATGGATGGATGATGGATGGATGGATGATGGATGGATGATGGATGGATGATGGATGGATGGATGATGGATGGATGGATGGATGGATGGATGGATGGATGGATGGATGGATGTCACGTCCCTCTCTCCTAAGCCATCCTGGTGGGATTGGCATGTTCCCAGTGATGTTTGCATGAGGAGCCCAATGGGACAGCCTCAGGCAGTGAAAATAATCCATGTGAGAACAGGAGAGGGACTCTGGACAAGGACCTGGAGTGTAGGAAAAGGGGGAATGGCTTTAAACTGACAGAAGGGAGTAGGTTTAGAAGGGATATTGGGAGGGCATTCCTGGCTGTGAGAGTGGTGAGCCCTGGCACAGGTGCCCAGAGCAGCTGTGGCTGCCCCTGGATCCCTGGCAGTGCCCAAGGCCAGGCTGGACACAGCTTGGAGCACCCTGGGACAGTGGGAGGTGTCCCTGCCATGGCAGGGGGTGGGATAAGAGGAACTTTAATGTCCCTCCCAACACAAACCATTCTAGGATTCTGTAATTAAAACCTTCTCTGCTTCCCATTCAAATTTCTGCTCCAGCAGCAGTGTCACAGCAGCCAGGAACTTTGTTTGGTGCCCCGATTAACGTCCTCAGTTTGTCCCAAGCCTCCCTGAGATAAAGCCAAGCCCCTTTCCTGGAACCCCACCTCATTTCTCAGGCCCTACAGAGGGACCTGGCCTCAAATCCTGTGCCGCAACTTCCAGCAAGCCTCCAAATATTTGAAAAAATATCACTTGAACCAGCTCAAAGCCATAAACACCGGGGGCATAAAACACAGAAATGTCCCCAGTGCTGAGGAAGGCACCTTGGTCGCATTAAAAATAAATCTTATTATAGTAAAAATCAGAAGCAAGAGGGCTAATTTTGTATAATATCTATAAATTAAAGCTAAACTATTTTTATCACCACAGCTCCTAGAGCCTCATGAAAAACCACTGTGCAGCCCTTCACCAGTGTTGCCCTTTGAATTCAGCAGGATTATAGATTTCTCAGGATTGAAAAAAAAAAAAAATAATATAATAAGTAATAAAAATAATAAAGAAGGTGAAAATCTACCATCTGCCTGAAACTCTCTAAATTATGCCAGTGCCCAGGGGGAGCAGCACCATGCGGCTGTGACAAAAACAAAAGAAAAACACAAAAAAGAAGAAAAATAATAGGAAAAATAATAAATTGGAGGGCTGCCTTTGCTTTCTGCATGGATTGGGATGGAGAGTGGTGGGTTTGGGAGCCAGGGGGGTGACATTGATCTGCCTTTCCTCATTGCCTCCCTGCACCTCCCCACCACCACACCGACCCCATGTCCACCTGTGTCCAGATTTCTTTTCCCTCCTTGCTGGCCACAAACTCCTGCCTGCCACAGGCACCAGGAGATGGAGGAATTGTGAGGAATTGTGAGGAATTTTGAAGAATTGTGTCCCGTGTTATCTGCAGCGATCTCTTAATTAGCCGGGCAATTACTGCGGGGTCTGGGAGCCCCCAGGCAGGGATGGAGCTGCAGCAGCAGGATCAGGGCTGGGCCATCCAAGGGCCAATATTATAATATGTATTGATAACAATCTGCATCCAGATTGTTATAAATGCATATTATAATATTGGCCTTTCACAAATATTAAAATGGATGTTATATGTGTAATATTAAAATAACTTTGTTATAAAAATATAGTTTTATTTCTGTTCGACATAGCAGTGAAATAATTGATAGAAATATATTTGTGTTAAAATTCCTGCTTGGTTGAGATAACATTCAGTGAACAGATGAAGAGGACCCCAACTTCTGATATGCCAACTATCAAACTTCCCATCAGTAGAAAACAGACCAAAGCCCAAACTAAAGGTGATAACAAGAACAGACTAAAACCACAGCCAAGAAATAAACACACCCTGAAAAGGCAGAGACCCGAGGAGGAGCCCTGCTAAACAGTTCTCAGAACATGTAAACTAGTTTGGGGAAAAGTTTAATATGCATAATTGTGAATATGATGATGCAATAGAAATGGTATATAAAGGGTGTTTCCAAAACAGCAGGTGAATGCCAAGCACCCAGCCACAAATCTTTGCTTTATTGTCTTTTTCTCCTCTTGTCCTTTATTAAACTTTTACAGGAGGGTGAACCTTGTTTTTCACAAGATTAAAGCTCCTTGTTAGGTGCTGGGAGTGTCAGCACACTGCCCTGGCTGGGGAGAGCCTCTCTGTGTGCACCAGGTGGAAAACAAAACTATACTAAAAAGGCTTTTTGGTAACAGCCAGTGCAACGGCAGAGCTGGGCTGATCCCAGGGCTGCAGATCCTCCCTCCCAGAACAAACCAACCACAGAGGGATTTATAAAATCCAAATTTATACAATATAAAATCATTAAAATATATCATTTTTATAAAATCTCTGCCTTGTTTCTCCATGCTGACGCCTCAGGCAGCCCAGGGATGCTCAGGGAGACATCTGCAGGGTGAGCTGTGCCCAGATGTCACAGGGGTTGGTGACAGATGTGGGCACTGGGCACAGGGCGCCCTGAGATAACAGAGGCCACAACCCAGCCCTGTCCCTTCCTATCCCCTGTTGGAACACCCCAAAGGTGTTTTGTGGAGATCCCAGGATCGTTAAGGCTGGAAAAGAGATCTGAGACCATCGAATGCAAGTGCTAAACCATGGGATTTGTAAAATCCAAATTTGTACAATATAAAATTAATAAAATATAACATTAATAAAATATAAGATTTTAATAAAATCTCTGCCTTGTTTCTCTGCGCTGACCCCTGAGGCAGCCCAGGGGTGCTCAGGGAGCCCCAGGGTGAGCTGTGCCCAGATGTCACAGGGCTTGGTGACAGATGTGGGCACAGGCCTGGCCCTGAGGCTGTGCTGTGTTTGCCCACCCTGAGATAACAGAGACCACAGCCCAGCCCTGTCCCTTCCTGTCCCCTCCTGGAACACCCCACAGGTGTTTTGTAGAGATCCCAGGATCGTTAAGGCTGGAAAAGAGATCTGAGACCATCAAATCCAAGTGCTAAACCATGACCCCAAAGTCACATCTACGGGATTTTTGGAACACTTCAGGGATGGTGATTCCACCTGCACTGCTCCAGTGCCTGACAACACTTTCAGTGAGGAAATTTTCACTAATATCCAACTTAAATTTCCTCTGGCACATCTTGAGGCCGTTTCCTCTTGCCCTGACACTCCTTACCTGGCAGCCGGAGATGCTGCAGCCTCTGAGCCTCTCTTAGATTTAAACCGTGCCCAAGCTGAGTAGGAACCACACTTTATTTTGGCTCCGTGCCTCAGTTTCCCCATCCCCACGCAACGATACCTTCCTTTGGAACAAGGTGATGGGGAAAACCCCTCCTAAAAGTGGGGACCCCGGGAGGGAGCCGGTCCCTGCCTGGTGCTGTGGTTCCCAGGGCTCTCCCAGCCCGGCTCCCCTGGCTCGGGGTGAGTTTGGCAGCCAGCACGGGTCCTCTGAGCAGCTGCCGTGACAGACAGCTCCCGAGCCACCCCCCTCTGCAGCGCTGCTCTAAAATAAAAATACCTCCCGCCCGCTCCGCTCCACTCCCGGCCAAACTTCCTCCGGGGGCAAGCTGGGGGGGACGGCAGCCCAAAACCACCCCTGCCCCCCTCCCCGAGCCGGGCTCGGGGATGCTCTAGGGCAAACCGGCCGCCCCCAGACCCTCGGTGCTTGTCCCCTGTGTGTCCCCGGTCCCCCTGCTGCGGTCCCCACCGCGCTGCCGGACGCTGGATCCCCGACCCTCGCCCACCTCCCCCCGCGGCCCCGGGGCTCAAGGTCAGTAGCGGGGAGCGGTGCGGGGCCGGGGGGGACACGATGCGGGTGGTGACACTACGGAGGTGACACTGCTGTCACCTCTGCGTGTCCCCAGCGCCCGCCCGGGGGCCGGGAGGGAGCGGGGGTGAGGATGATGAGGATGATGAGGATGATGAAGATGATGAAGATGATGAGTATGATGAAGATGATGAGGACGGTGCTGCCCTGCTGGGACCCCCCGAGCCTCCCTGGGCAGCTCGGAGCGATCAGAGTTAAAATCCTCCGAGGGGTCCCCGCCATCCCCCGAGGTTGGTCACCGCCTGTCGCCCGCTCCCTCGCTAAAGAGGAAAAAAAATAAATAAAAAGAAGCTTTGAAAGCGTGGAAAGGAGGAGGAAAAAGCTTTTTCCAGGCACGGCCGTGCGCGCCCTCCCGCCGCAGGGGCACCGCAGAGCGGGGGCAGCGCCCGCCCGCAGCGGCCCCGCGCCGGGAGGGAGGGACGGACAGGGGGGACAGCCCCGGAATTCCCCCCGTATGAACCCCAAATTCCGCCCGGATAAACCCAAAATTCGGCCCGGGATAAACCCAATAATTTCCCCCGGGATGAACACCAAATTCCGCCCGGGATGAACCCGAAATTATCCCCGGGAAGAACCCGAAATTATCCCCGGGATGATCCCGAAATTTCGCCCAGGATGAACCCGAAATTTCCCCCGGGAAACACGTTTGGTGCACGCCGGGGGGAGATGGGGTCACCCCGCATCGCTGCCAAGGACCTCCCCCACCCCCCGCTTAAAAACCCCCGCGACCGAACATAAAATAAACGCTTAAAATGAAAACGATAACTTTAATATTATTTTAATTTTAACATTATTTTAATTTTAATATTATTTTAATTTTAATATTATTTTCATTTTAATATGGAGCGATTTTAATAACCGCAGAAGCTTTTGAAAAGCGGATGCCAGAGCTGAGGGTGACCGGGCGCCTTTTGCGCCTTAATCCCTTCAGCGCTCTCAGGGATGGTGGCAGGGGGGTGTCAGCACCGGGGGTGTCCCTGTCCCCTCTCCCTGTCCCTTGTCCCCCGCATCCCCCCTGCTCCTGTTTGGCAGCTGCCGCACACTCAGCCGGGGAGGCAAGGCACGTCGCGCCGAGGTTAATTAACCTCGGAGGAGTAATTAGCCCCAGGGCTAATTGCTGCTGATGCCGCCGGGAGGCTCAGCCGTGTCTGCGGGCTCCTAAAGGCTTCTGGCAGGGGAAATTTGGGATCACGGGGATTTGGGAGAGCAGGAGGTTGGGCAAGGTGAGCAGGAGATGGAGAAACCCACCGTGTCCCCTCCATCAGTGATGTTTCCATGTCCTGGATCCCCTCCAGGGATCCAAGCAGGAATTAGAGGTGGAGGAAGCCCATCCTGGAACGGCTCTGAACAACCCAGGGATAATGGGAAGAACAGGAACACCTGGCCCCAAATCCCGGCTCCTGGGTGGGGTTTGCAGGAACCTCTTTGCACCTGAGTTGTGCCCCAGGTGTGACCCTTTTCTCCATCCCTTCAGCCCTCAGGGAATCCCACAAAGCAGAGTTGGGGAGGAGCAGCAGCAGGATTTTAGGTGTTTGAGGAACAGTTTTCCCCTGGTTTTCCTCCCTCTCCTCTCTGCCTTCCCAGGTGTGGATCCCTCCCTGGTGCCGGCCGGGGCTGTCACCCCCCACCATGGGGGTTAAGGCGACGCTCCCCAGCTACGAGCTGGGCTTCTATGCCCTCGTGGTGACCTGTGCCGTGCTCTACAGCGGCAGCGGCATCTTCGAGGCATCCAGAGGTAACGCCGCATCCCCCGGCAGGGGCAGAATGGGTGTAATCCCCCGGGAGGGGCAGAATGGGTGGCAGGCTGCTGCTTTTACAGCTGTTGATAGCACCAGCAGATCCCGGCTTTAACTGCTGCAGAAAACAGCTTGGAAATCCTTTTTAAAGGGATTTTTGCCTGGTTGTCTCTTTGTCCCTGTTCCCACTGCTCAGGGTAAAGAGGGATTTTTGCCCGGTTGTCTCTTTGTCCCTATTTCCACTGTCACAGGTCTTCAGGTAGTGCCACACCAGGCAGCCACCACCACCCTGCCCACACAAGGCTGATTCCCTCTGTTGTTTGGTTGGTTTTGGAGCTTTTTGTTTGTTTTGGTTTGGGGTTTTTTTTGTTGGTTTGGTGGTTTTTGGGTTGTTTTTGCCTTTTTTGTGTTTGGTTGGTGTTTTGGTTAGGAAGCCCACAAACCTGAAAACTTTATGGGATCAGCCAGGGAATGTGTAATGAGAAAAAGGCTTTGCTGAAAATTCCTGCAGAAACCTGCTGTCACTGACTCTTTTAGTTGTCTGTGGCAATCAGGCAATTTTGGGGTGGGGTGTTTGAGCCCTGGTGGCTCATTAACACAATGATGAAGGTTCTGGGCTTGGTTTGAACCTGGATCCCATTTTCCAGAGCTGTTTGTCTCCCTGTAATTCTGGTTCTTTTGCAGACAGCATGAACAGAAAGGCGTTTCGGGATGGCATAAAGCCAGGCTGGCACTACTTTGGCAGGAAAATGGTGAGTGAGGAAGGGATTGGGCTTTTCTAGCTACAGACAGCCTGGACAATGGAGAAACACAGCTGGGCTTTCTGCTACTGACACAAGTCAAGGTCCACTTGACTTGTATTTTTCTTCCTAAAGTAGTGGGGAAAATACCAGCCCTCCTGAAGCTTTGTGCAGGCTGACCTAGAGCAGAGGCTGGACAGCGCTAAAGAATAAAGCAGGGATTTATTAAAAGGCATCCATGGATGCACCTTGGGCAGCACAAGAGCCCAGCCAGGGCTGCACCCAAGATGAACCAAAATGGCCCCAAAATGCACGAGCGCTCCCGGGGTCTCTCCCTTGGATCAGTTCTGCTCCATTTGCACCTTGCAGTTCATTGTCCCATTCCAGCTTTAGCCCAGGCAGTCCCACCCTGCTTGTTTTTCTCTCTCCAGCCCACGGTGTTTGTGCTCCTGGGCTGAGATTTGGATCATTTGTCCTTGGTGCCCAGCTGGAGCAGGAATTGTTTTGTCTCCCTGCTCTGTGCACAGAGCTCACCGTGCCCTAATAGAGAACTCACATCTCCCTGATATGAGCTCACCATCCCCTGATATGAAGCTCAGAACTCCACACTAAAGCACAGAATCTGAAAATATAAAAGCTGAAACCTGAGGCATCACTGCGGGACTGTGAATACTCTATTTTGTGTGTGCTGGGATGAGTGACCTCTGCACATCCCTCCTGGGTTTTTATATCTGAGCTAAAGTGCTCGGGAGCCCTTGGGTGGAAAATGGGAAGGAAAAGCTCTAAAAGTTGTGGAGCTGGAGGCAGTAAAGTGCCTGGTGCTGCTCCTGCAGGATGTGGCTGATTTTGAGTGGGTGATGTGGTTCACCTCGTTCAGGAACATCATCATCTTCGCCCTCTCGGGACACGTCCTCTTTGGCAAGATCTGCTCCATGACCGTGCCACAGGTGAGCAGGGATTTGGGAGCACCACGGGTGGCCTGGGATCTGTGGAAGGGTCTTGGGTTTAGTGTTGCTGAAATGGCTCCCAAGGTATTGAAGAGTCCTTTTTTCTAGCTTCGCAACCAAAGAAGTCAAAATTCTTCGGCTTTAGCTTTTAAGGTTGTTTTTTTTCTCTTATCTATGACATTCTCTCTCTGACCTGCTGAGATCTGTCTGTCAGGTCAGGTTAAGGCACACAGACCACCCCTGGGGTTGTGTTAACTTTTTATACCAAGATCTACCTGTACTTTATTTACAATAATTTTCCAATACCTATCACCTATGTTAGACAGTCTGTCTCTACTCTAAACCAATCCAGAAATGCCACCAGCACAGCAGAAGATGGAGGGCAAAAAGAAGGAGGAGGACAGGACACACCCAGATTCCTCCATCTTGCCTCTTGCCCCATTCTAAATCCCCAAAATTCTACTTTTTCACCCTGTGATAAATTCACTATCATTCTACTCAGACTCTTGTGGCTTGTAACTCCTCACACAAAGTTGGTAATTGTTTCCATGGGCTAAAATCAAAGGCACAGGTGTTTGTGACTCTGTGCCAAGGGCTCTGAGCCCCCTGCCAGGGTCTGGAGCCATCCAGGGCAGCCAGAGCAATGTCCTGGGTTCTGACAGAAGGGGTTTGGGGATGCTCAGGGCTCTGACAGGAGGGGTTTTGGGGTGTTCTGGGCTCTCCCCACACTGACCCCACCGCTCTCTCCCCAGCACCGCGCTGTGATGTACATGATCTACGGGCTCCTGGCCGTGCTGGCCAGCATGGGGCTGCTCTACCTGATGATCATCCTGTCCCACTGCCTGCTCCTCTACTCGGTGGCCCTGGCCAAGCAGAAGTGGCTCTGCTACGTGGCCGGGCTCTGCTGCCTCGCCTCCTTCAAGGTGGAGCCCTTTGGCTCGTGGCAGGTGGGTCCTGTCCGTGTGTCTGTCGCGTTTCCAGCCCACTGCTGTCCATCTCCTCGGGGTTATCCTCCAGGAGGGCTCCTGGAGCAGCCCCACACCCTCCTGGCCATTTCTCCTGACTGCAGCAGAGCTCTCACAGCATTTTGGAGGGAAGGGACTGTTGAGGTGCGAGTTTGGGAGTAATCCCTCAGAGCTCATGTCATGTTTTAGTGGCTTCGTGCTGGTCCAGAACAAAGGACATCTGAGTCCTTCTTGTGAAGGCTGACTTAGAACAGAGGCTAGACAGGGCTAAAGAATAAAGCAGAGATTTATTAAAAGGATCTCCTCAATGGATCCACCTTGGATCCATTTGTCAGCAGCAATTTGTCAGCCTGTTTCTGCCCTGTTCCTCAGTTTCCCCATCTGTAACGCAGAGCTGAGATGGATTCAGTGATGCCCATCTCTTAGGTCACGGCCTAGCTAAGATTTTATCTCACTGGTGGGTGGAGAGAAGCCCAGGAAGGATTTTACCAAAATATTCAATCCCTTGGCAGGACAGTGCTGTCTCTCCCTGCCTCCAAAGATATTTTCCCTCCTTCTCCATAAATCCCAAAGCAATTTGCTCTGCTTTACTCTGTGGCCACACCTGTGACAGGGTGACATTGCCACCCAAACCAAAGCTGTGTGACCAACAGCTGCTTGGTGATGTGGCTAAGAGGATCTGCCACTTCCTGACTGCCCTGAGCTGCAGGAGCCAGCTGGGAAATCGAGCCCCAGTTTTCTCTTTCCAGCTCATTAACTTCAGAGACAATTGGTGTCAGAGCATAATTAGAGGTTTTCCTTGAACTGAAAACTAAACTGGCAGAGGTCAGGGTTAGAGGAGATGTCAGGAAAAAATTCCTCACTGTGAGGGTGGAAAAGGGGCTCTGGTACGGGGTGCCCAGAGAAGCTGTGGCTGCTCCTGGGTCCCTGGAAATGCCCAAGGCCAGGTTGGATGGGGCTTGGAGCAACCTGAGACAGTGGAAGGTGTCCCTGCCCATGGCAAGGGTGGCACTGGATGGGTTTTGATGTCCCCCCAACCCACACAATTCTCTGCTGCCCCAGTGTGACGGTGTTCACAGAGGTCCCAGGACGAGGGAAGAGATGAGAATTTTGACTCCATGTTTCAGAAGGCTGATTTATTATTTTATGATATATATTATATTAAAAGAAAATGATAGATTAAAACTATACTAAAATAATAGAAGAAAGGATTTCATCAGAAGGCTTGAAAAGAAAGGAATGATAACAAAAGCTTGTGACTCTCAGAGTCTGATACTGCTGAGCTGTGATTGGCCATTAATTAGAAACAACCAACATGAGCAAATCAAAGATGCGCCTGTTACATTCCACAGCAATCAGATAATTATTGTTTTTCTTTCCTCTGAGGCTTCTCAGCTTCTCAGGAGAAAAATCCTGGCAAGGGGATTTTTCATAATATATCACGGCAACACCCCAGGAGTGGTGTCCCCCACACAGCGAGGCAGCACAGGAGGGACACCACGTTCCTGGTGGTAATCTCTGTTTCTGTTAATCTCTGTTTCTGTAAATCTCTGTTTCTGTTAATCTCTGTTTCCTGCCCAGAGTGGGTTTGTGACAGGAGCTTTTGATCTCCAAGATGTGCTTTTCTACGGAGGCTGCACCTTCACCATCATGCGCTGCATGAGTTTCGCCCTCGAGAGCTCCCAGAAGGAGGAGGGCATCTACTCCATCTTCGACCTCCTCAAGTACAACTTCTACCTCCCCTTCTTCTTCTTCGGGCCTGTCATGACCTTCGACCAGTTCCACGCCCAGGTGAGTCACCCTGAGGCCAGGCTGGAGCAGGATTTCTCCCCAGAATTTACTTGCTTGGGGTCAATGTCTGCAAAAACCCCAAGTTTTGCCACAGTGAGGATGCAAATGGTTGTAGAACTTCTTGTGGTCACCTCTGTGAGTGTGTATTTGTGTGGGGAAGGGCATAAACTGATGGATTTTTAAACTTCTTTTTGGGTTTTTTTTAGCCATTTTCACTGGCCAATCCACAATGGAAGGTCTTGCTGTGATATCCTTGTTCCCTGGGCATCTGCACTGCTCTGTGCCTCAGTTTCCTTGTGTTGTCTCCCCTGCCCCTTCATGGTGAGGGCCACACATGGGACCTCTGCATGCTGTGACAGCAAGGACATTTCTGTCTCCCATTTCTATCCAGCTGCTTCATTCAGGGATGGTTTGTATGTCTTTAGATCAAGTTATTTCTCAGGAAATAAACAAGATTGGGTGGAAGGCTGAGCTCCAGCAGTCAGGGGCTCCATTAATACCCTGGTGCCCCAAGTCTTTGCCTGTTCCACACAACCAAGGGAACTTTTGGATGAGCAGATTTCAAACAGAAATGGAAAACACCAGAAGTCTGGGCTGGAACCTCTGGAGCTGTTCCACAGTCCAAGATCAAGGAAACCAGCAGTGCTGTGTCCCCCCTCACTCTTCCCACCTCAACCTCCTTCTGCACCAAGGATCAGCCCTGGCCACCAGAGCAAGCTGGTGATGCTGGCAAAGGGAGGACTTTGGTCAGCACTGGTGTGTGGAGGATTCCCACCATCACCACCACCCCTGGTTCCTTTTGCAGAAGAACAGCTACACTGAGTATTTGGACCCAAATTGATGCCTGGATATAGGAATGTTTTGGAAAAACATTTGTGGGTTCAGAAGAAAAACCAGCCCAGGGCAGGGGAGAGCTCAGAGCCTCAGGGTGAGGAGAAGACTGAAGACCCACCAGCCCAGAACCTTCTCTCACACATGGAGCTGTTTTGGTTGCCTAAGAAAGGGTTTGTGTGATGGTGTTCACAGGGGTTCTTGGATGAGGGAAGAGATGAGGATCTGACTCCATGTTCCAGAAGGCTGATTTATTATTTTATGATATATACTACATTAAAACTATACTAAAAGAATAGAAGAAAGGATTTCATCAGAAGGCTGGCTAAGAATAGAAAAAGAAAGAATGATAACAAAGGTTTGTGGCTCGGCTCTCTGTCTGAGCCAGCTGACTGTGATTGGCCATTAATTTGAAACAACCAACATGAGACCAATCACAGATGCACCTGTTGCATTCCACAGCAGCAGATAACCATTGTTTACATTTTGTTCCTGAGGCCTCCCAGCTTCTCGGGAGAAAAAATCCTAAGGAAAGGATTTCTCGTAAAAGATATCTGTGACAGGTTTGCACTGGGGTGTTTCCTCCAGGATGAGCCATGATCCCAGTCCTGCTCCTTGCCTGCTCTTCACCTGTGGAATTTACAACTTTATGATGCCTCTTAAAAGGAACAAGAGCCCTCAGGTCTTACTGGACATATTAAAAATGAGTTTTGGAGCATTGGACCCTGAAGATCATAAGGTCAGCTCTGGTGTCCCCATCAGGGATGCAGCCAGGTACCTACAAACAGGGACATGAAACTCCTCATGTTTCCAACACGTGAACTCCCACTGCTCCTGCAGAGCTGCATCCAGGAGTTTTATTTCCTGCTCCTTTGCACAACCCCAAACCAGGCTGTCTAAAGCCACTTAATGAGCAATTCCCCTCTCTGCTGCTTCAAACCCCAAAGGCACAAGGATTAAAGTCCCCAACCCCTCTCCCCTGCCCTGGCTGGGGTCCTGGCTTGGCCTGGCCACCACTGCCATCTCCTGGCTACATCCCCCTGCACTGCTGGAGGTGAATTCTTAATTGTCCAAGAGCAATTAGGGCAGGAGGCAGGTGGAGCCCTTCCCTAGGGTGGGATGTATGGCCCTGTTAGAGATTGGATCTGTCCCTTTGCATCCTACTGGTCCCACATCCTGGTGGAGCTCCTGCATTCCTATGTGAGATGGGAACTCATCTGTACCAGGGCTTGGCCAGCCAAATTTGGGTGGAAAAGCATCTTTCTTGCTGAGATCAAGGGAACAAATCCCTTTATTTGGGTCTTGATTTGGATGTCTAGGGTTGGGAGTGTTGGTGACACAGCCCTGATCCCAAGGGGGTGGTGGCCCAGTGCTGGCACCACTCACAGATGTGAGGACAAGAGCAAACAACCTCCAGTTGCACCAGGGAAGGTTTAAACAGGATAATAGGAATAATTTTGTCAAGGAAATGGTTGTTAAGCATTGGAACAGGCTCTCCAGGGCAGTGGTAGAGTCACCATCCCTGGAGGTGTTTCAGAGATGTGTAGATGTGGCACTTGGGGACAGGGTTTAGTGCTGGGTTAATGGTTGGGCTCAATGATCTTAATGGATTTTTCCAGCCTAAACCATTCAGTGATTCCATGGAAGGAGGGTTCTGTGGCCACCCACACGTCTCTATGCCAGACCCTCTCCTCCCTCGGCTCAGGGTCCAGCGGCCTCTTTGTATCCTCAAAGAACCTGGTACTTAAAAGGCATGGAAAAAAATCTGGCAAAGGAATCATCTGGATTTGACGACAGGGCTGGTGCAGCAGCTCTGTGGCAGAGCTCCCACCTCTCACAGGGAATAAAGGGGGAAGTAATAAACATAAGAGGATTTTGAATACAGCAGCGATTTCACGGCGATGCAGGGAAGCAAGGACATGGCTCTGCCCCGTGTAATCCTGAGAGCTCGCTCTGGTGATGGTTATGTGACAATGAGCAGGGATGTGACAGCTCCTGGAGGCAAACCGCAGGCCCTGTTTGTGCAGGAGACAGCAAAAATGAAATCCCCACCAATTCAGGACAGCCCCTCGAGCGAGTCTCCCTCTCATTTACAGCAGGAATCTCCAGCAGAAACCTCAGCCATCAGTTCTCCTCCTCCTCCTCCTAGATGACCCTGGACAAAAATACACCAGGCCCTGGCAGAGCTGTCAGGCTGGGATTCCAACCCTGGAATCCATCCTGGAGATGTGATGGATGCAAGCATTTTCTCCCTCTTAGTGCCTTTTGGAAGGGGTTGTCCTTAAGCAAAGTTGATTTCCTGAGCACATCGCTGCAGAAAGAGCACCCTGGGAGCTCCCTGGTCAGAGTGGATTTCAGCCCACCTGGAGTCCCTGAGGGCAGCCAGGCCTTTGACCACACACCTGCTCTGCTAGAAAACCGCTGGGAGCAGCAGGATGATGCAGCAGGGACATCCCTGCTGTCCTCAGCCCTGCTGTGGGTGGGACGTGTCCTGCTCCTTGTGCATGTGCTCACCTCAGCCAGCCCTTGGGAATTCCTTAATCAGTGCAAACTTGGGCAACGTAGTCCACAGTGTGATCTGGGCCCTGGTTTAGGGCAAATTTGGGAGAAAGCCTCCAAAGGGGACCCCTCCAGCAAGCAAACCCACAGGGCCCCTCTCCCCAGCAGTTTGGGAAGGATTCCTTGGAGAAAAGTGGAAAGAACCTGTTTATTTAACAGGCACAGCACCCCCAGCACACAGAATGAACAATAACGGGTGACACCACTCTGAAAAAGATGACAAATTCCGAAAGTCTCTCTGGGGGTGGTCGCTCTGTTATCAGTCCCTCCAGCGCTGGGGCAGCTGCTGCCCAGAGCAGGCCCCGCTAGGCCACAGGGTGCAAACTCTCGGTGTTCCCAGGGCCCAGTCCGGAGCAGGTTCAAGTAGGTCCAAAAAAGGAAAGGAGAAACAGTCCAGGAAGGAATTTGGACTTTTTAGCTAAACTAGCTAATGAGCAGAAGCAAAAAGCAAGAGCAAAGCAGGAACGAAGCAGAAGCAAGAGCAAAAAGCAAAAGCAGCACCATGTACTGCCCCGTCTCTGTGTTCCGCCAGGCTGATAAGAAACCAAAACAAAACTTTCACTCTTCAGAGTGAAGGCACAGAGTCTTGAAGGCACAGAACATGATACCCAGCATAAACAGAACACGCAGATGTGGATACAAGCATCATAACATGACCTAGGACAGACCTCTATAGGGAAATGATGAATCAATCCCTGCTTGGACCTTGACCATCCTTGTGGGTGAAGGATCAACAGCCATCCTGTCCCTAGGCTCAGCCCTGCCCTGTGACAGGGGTCCCAGGATGAGGGAAGAGACAAGGATCTGATTCCATGTTTCAAAAGGCTGATTTATTATTTTATGATATATATTACATTAAAACTAGACTAAAAGAATAGAAGAAAGGATTTCATCAGAAGGCTAGCTAAAAATAGAAAAAGGAAGAATGATAAGAAAGGTTTGTGTCTTGGACAGAAAGTCCAAGCCAGCTGGGCTGCGATTGGCCATTAATTAGAAACAACCACATGAGACCAATCCCAGATGCACCTGTTGCATCCCACAGCAGCAGATCATCATTGTTCACATTTTGTTCCTGAGGCCTCTCATGAGGAAAAATCCTAAGGAAAGGATTTTTCACAAAAGATGTCTGTGACACTGCCCCCGTTTGTCCCTCCCTGCAGGTGAGCACCCGCGAGCTGAGGCGCAAGGACGACGAGATGAAGAGCATCCGTGTCAATGCCCTGCTCCACGTGGGGGCCATCGTGGCTGTGGACATCTTCTTCCACTTCTTCTACATCCTCACCCTCCCTTCTGACCTCAAGTTCGTGAACCGCCTCTCGGACTGGTCCTTGGGTGAGTGGCTGTGCTTGGGCACCTTCACCCCTGTGCTCAGCTCCAAGGCAGTGGAGAGGGATCCAGATCTCCATCCACCCCCCTTGAGAGGCTTTGGGAATGCCTGTGTTGGACAGGTTTGAGTACAAAAACCCTCATCCTCACTCTGGCCATGCACAGAGCTGGGTTGGTGGCCCTGGAGGTTGGGTTGGAGGTTGGATGGCCCTGGAAGGCACACAGTGCTGGTCTGACCTTTCCACAGTGTAAATTCTTTAGTTTGGGGTTTAGGAAGATGAGCACCAAGTTATTTTTGTTACTTTTGGACTGGGAGGGAGCTCAGCACCTCTAAAAAATCAGCAGGACAATGCAAACCACATGTAGCAATGCAAGGCCTGATTGGATGTAAGGAAAGTTGTCCACAGAGTGGTCAAACACTGGGAGAGGTGCCCAGAGAGGTTGTGGATTGTCCCAAAAGAGTCTGTTCAACACTTACATGTTCAATGTCCAGGGCAATATAATCTCTACCTAAAGGTGGGTGTTCCCCAAGCATGACTGGGCTAGAGACCTCCAGAAGGCAAATTCCCAGGATAAGCGATGGGAGCAGCACTGGCAGCTGGAGGGAGGGTTCCAGATGATCAAATCCATGTCTGACGACAGCATTTGATCAAATCCATGTCTGATGGCAGCATTTGATCACATCCATGTCTGATGGCAGCATTTCAGACACCACCACACAGCAGGGGCCAAGCAGGGGCTGGAGGAGCTTCCTGTCTCTCCAGAGTGGCAGCTTGAGGCCAGGATAAAATCCTAATGCAGCTGGAGTGGCACTAACATGGATTTAGGTGTCCCAAGAGCCCTGGCTGGATGGATCCCATGTTACTCCAGAGGGAAATGAGCTCTTCTGACTGTTCTGACCATGGTGGGACTGGTCAGATTTTCCCTTTATCTGGGAGCTGGATCCCACCAAGACAGGGGTATTTTAGCAGCTCTTTACAGAGGCATTTGTAATCTTTAGTAGCTGTCCCTGCCGGGTTTGTTTCCCAGTGCCAGACACCTCTCTAAGTCAGAGGTTCTGACCCTGGCTCTGCTGTAGCATGATATCTATGGCCAGAGGGAGCTGGGGTGGGGGGAATTTTGATGGAAGTGCCAATAAAAGCTCAGAGGGCAGACCTGAGAGCTGTGATAGGTTCATCAAGGCTTAACAAGCCATAGAGGGAAGGCACAATGATGGAATAATTGACTGTACAAACAGAATTTCTTGGGCTACTAAGGCAAATAAGCAGTTTGCTCCCTCATACCCTGAGAAGAAATTCCCCTTTGGTTCAAGCCTCTTAAAAAATCAGTTTTAAAATTTTTGCTCTGTAGAAATCCTGATGCATTCCACATTCTTTTTTCCTTATTTGACTCTCATTTTTGCTCCAGCTGGCCTGGCCTACTCCAATCTGGTGTATGACTGGGTGAAGGCTGCTGTCATGTTTGGGGTCATCAACACCATTGCCAGACTGGACCACCTGGACCCACCCCAGCCCCCAAAATGCATCACCATGCTCTACATCTTTGCTGAAACGTGAGTACCCTGAAGGAAGAGGGATGGAGCTGGACAGGACCTGGGTGGAGGGCAGGACACCTGGGCTGTCCTGGGCAGCTGGAGACCACTTGAAACCATAGCCTGGACCTGGCCAGAACCCAGGGAAATATTCCTAGGTGGGGAGAAATGGATAAGGAGAAAAGTTAAATCACGTCTCTAGTAGGATCTGTCCAAGGAATGAGCCTGGAGGAGCTCTGTGAGCAAGGTCCATGATGTGCCTTTCCATGGCATTGGGTGTTTTATATGTTTCAACAGGTTTTTATTGTCATTGTGTGTTTAAACATGTTCTTATCATCTTATTTTTAGGCATTTTGACAGAGGGATTAATGACTGGCTGTGCAAGTAAGTGTCTGGTCTGGTTCAGGGTCTTCCCTTCCATCCCAGAGCAATGAAGCATCACATGCTGTTCATCCCAAAGCTGGGGTGTCCTCTCTTCTGGATAAATTCCACTATTTGCTCGGTTTAGTCCCAAACCCTTTGAATTAATTGCACAAAGAACAGCCCTTTCCTCCAAAGCTGGCAATAAAAGAGTGCTGTCCCAAAATCCCTTTGAGTCTGGTGGGTTTAGGGTTCCCCCAGGGGAGGAAGAGCCAGCTTTACATTTCTCCAGGAGGAAAGGGGAACTGAGTACTGTAGCTCCATCTGCATCTCCCTCAGCCCTTCAGCTCCCTTCATCCACGAGTTCACACCAGCAAACCTCTGCTGAGAGGGGTGGTGGCTGCTTTGTGATAAAATCCTGACCACCAGCAAGTCTGAGAGATCCCAGGTTTTACCTGCCAGAGGGGGAAAGGTGGATATTTTGTCCTTGAGTATTTATAGATTTGTAGGAACAAAAGTCCCAAGCGGTTGGGGCACAGCAAAAATCAATTTATTGCCATAACACCCCTCCTGTTTTACTGGGATTATCTGGGCTGACCTCTCTGTGAGGAGCTTGGGAAAAGAAAGCCCAGAGGGATCTCCTGGAGTACAGGGAGTGGTGGTGATGGTGTTCATAGGGGTCCCAGGATGATGGAAGAGATGAGGATCTGACTCCATGTTTCAGAAGGCTGATTTATTATTTTATTATACATATTGTATTAAAAGAAAATTATCTATTAAAACTATACTAAAGAATAGAAGAAAATTATTTCATCAGAAGGCTTGGAAGGAATAGAATGGAATGATAATAAAATTTTGTGACTGACCAGAGTCTGAGACAGCTGGACTGTGATTTGCCATAAATTAAATGATATATTAAAACTAAATTATATATTGAAACTAAAGAATAGAAGAAGGGATTTCATCAGAAGGCCAGCAAGCAAAAGGAAAAGGAATGATAACAAAATCTTGTGAGTGACCAGAGAGTCTGAGCCAGCTGACTGTGATTGGCCATTAAATAAAAACAACCACATGAGACCAATCACAGATGCACCTGTTGCATTCCACAGCAGCAGATAATAATTGTTTATATTTCATTTCTGAGGCCTCTCAGCTTCTCAGGAGGGAAAAATCCTAGCAAAAGGATTTTTCATAAAATATGTCCATATATTTTCATAAAATATATTTTATTTTATCATTATATATAATTTATAATTCATATATATAAATTATATATAATGATATATTAAAAAGTAAAATAACTAAAAAAACCCAAAAATTAAAATACAATACTATAAATTAATATATAATCTTATATAATATTTTATCATATATAATTTATAATTTATATATATAAATTATATATAATTTATATATAAAAAAGTAAAATAACTACCAAAAATAAACAAAAAATTAAAATACAATACTATAAATTAATAAATTATAATAATATATAATATTTTATCATATATAATTTATAATTTAGATATAATTATATCATTTTATAGAATATAATATATAAATTTATATTATATAATTTATATAAAAAACATTAACCACCTTCCTGGCTTTTAGGTACGTGTATGACCACATTGGAGAGAACCATGACAACATCCTGAAGGAGCTGGTGGCCAGCACCACCACCTTTGCCATCACCACGCTCTGGCTGGGGCCCTGCCAGGTTGTTTATATCTGGTCCCTCGTCAACTGCTTCGGCCTCAACTTCGAGCTCTGGGTGCAGAAGTTCTTCCAGCTGGGGCCCTTTGCCAAGCTGGAGGTGAGGGCATGGGGATGGGGACAAGCTCTGGTGCTGGGAAATGTCTGTGCCTGGAGGGAGCTCACACTGGGTTGGAGGGGTTGGATTTTTGGGTGAGGAAGAAGAGCAGAATTCCTGAGGATGCCATGGGGCTCCTGCCTGGAGGTCTTTCCTGTGGCCTTCAAAATCATGGAATTATTAAGGCTGGAAAACACCAGCAAGTCCAGCTGGACCACCACTGTGTTGGTGTTCACAGGGGTCCCAGGATGAGGGAAGAGATGGGAATCTTGACTCCATGTTTCAGAAGGCTGATTTATTATTTTATGATATATAATATATTAAAAGAAAATGATAGATTAAAATTATATTAAAAGAATAGAAGAAAGGATATCATTAGGAAGTTACCAACGAAAGGAAAGGAATGATGATAAAATTTTGTGACTGACCAGAGTCCCAACACCGCTGGACTGTGATTGGCCATTGATTAAAAACAACCACATGGACCAATCAAAGATCCACCTGTTGCATTCCACAGCAGCAGATAATTATTGTTTACGTTTCCTTTCTGAGGCCTCTCAGCTTCTCAGGAGAAAAATCCTTGCAAAAGGATTTTTCATAAAATATATCCATGACACCCCACCATGTTCACCACTAAACCACATCCTTTAGTGCTGTATCCATGGGGATTTTTGAACATTTCCAGGGATGGTGACATCCCTGGACAATGCTTGGGATCAGGCACTGAGCTGTGCAAGGGAAGCTCAGTCCTGGTGCTCTGTGTCCCCTCATTCCATGCACTTTGTCACCCACCCAGAGCAAACAAACTCCTGCCCATGTGCTGCTTCACAGGGAATTCAGATTGGGGTGGAAATTCCAAAGGGAAAACAGAGGTCCAAGAGAAGCAGGAATGCATCTCCAGTGAGGCATCAAAGTGTCACAGATGGACACAAAATTTGAGATATCTGTCAATATCTGTCCTTGGGAATAGCTCTATGCATATGGGGAATATGCTGTGGGGAATATCCAGATCCTAGGGGGATATGTTTATGTATTTCCTTATGGGATTAATTTGTTCCACTTGTTCCACAGAGCATCTTGGTGTTCTCAGTGGTTTTGATCTGATTTCTTTTGAAATCAAGTGTTTGGATGCTAGAACAAATTATTTTAAAATAATAATAATTTAATAATAATTTCAATAATTTGTGCCTTTTGTTTGGGACCAAGGCATCTCAGGGACATACTGGAAAAAAAACCTTTAAAACTTACACCCTGAAAACAATTGTCTTCCTATTAGAATCCTAAATACAAGAAACTCTCAGATCTTTAAACCTGTAAACTAAAGCTTAGAATTAAACTCAAGATTTAATGTAAAACCTTAAAAAAACCTTCCAACCCTAAATACTAAAACTAAAAATATAAATTTATAATTTAAAACAAAACCAAGTTAAACTAAATTTTAAAAATTTAAAGTTTTAAAATTTAAAATATAAAAAATTAAAATAACTGCAAAAAACCACAAAAATTAAAATGCAATACTATAAATTAATATATCATCATATATGTAATATATATTTTATGTCATTATATATAATTTATAATTTATATATTATTATATACTTTTATAGAATATAATATATAAATGTTGATAATGTAATTTATAATTATATATAATTTATATATCATATATATTATTAACTAAAAATCTTACCCTATAACACAAATCCATAAAACAAAATATTTAAAAATTAAATAAAAAACATAAATATCCTTATTAACAATATTTTATTAATCAGTAACTCCTTAAACAGCCTTAAAACTAAAAATCGTAAAACATTCCAAACCATGATATAACGATGTAAGCGGAATTCATCCCTCCTACCTATAAAAATTCAAATATAAATATGAAATATATCAACCACATAAATATAAAAAATAAAAATATAATTTTAAAAAATCACATCATCAAAATAAAATAAAAATAAAAAATAAAAATAATATAAATGAATATATAAAATATAAACCACATAGAAAAATCCCCCACAATTCAAAGATCCCATCTCAAATTCCTTCCAAAAAATATATTCCATCCATTAAAATAGAATGGAAGGAATATATTTTTTGGAAGGAATTTGAGATGGGATTTATTATATAATTTGTATTATATTTTAATATATAAAAATATAATACAAATAAATATTTAAAATATTAACCACATATAAAAATAAATTATAAATATTTAATAATAATAATAATAATAAAATATAAAAAAATAAACCCCAATTCAAAAATCCCATCTCAAATTCCTTCCAAATAAATTATCATAAGTTTCTTTTTTCCCGATTTAAATCCTGGAGGCCCTAAATTAGTTAAAGATCTATTTTGAATACAAACCGCGGAGAGAATCCTCCCGTTTGCTCTCCTGGTTGAACTCCTAATCAGATTAAGGCTCTGGAGGCAGTGAAATCCCCTTCCCTGCAGCACCACAATTCCCAGCCCTAAGTAGCCTGGGGGCTCTTTGAAGGCTGCTCTAAACTCCATCCCTGCTCCACTCACAGCAGCTGATCCTGGAGATTATGTGCCACTGACAATTCCACTCTGCTGCTGTCATTGGCTTTTGAGCTTTTTTTTTCTCTCTTTAATTCCTAGGAAACTATTTTTACCGGGAGCCAGGAGTGATTTGCATGTAGGGCTAATAATAATCCTGGGATACAACAGATTCTTCTGCCTTGAAGAGTGGCAAGAGGTGGAGAAAGCAGGACTCAACCATTTCATTTTAAAGAGGATCTGAGAGAGCTGGAGAAGGACTTGTGACAAAGATGTGGAGGGACAGGACAAGGAGAAATGGATTTAAACTGACAGAGGGAAGGGTTAGATGGGATATTGGGAAGGAATTCTTCTCTGTGAGGGTGGGCAGGCCCTGGCACAGGGTGCCCAGAGCAGCTGTGGCTGCCCTGGATCCCTGGAAGTGTCCAAGACCAGGTTGGACAGGGCTTGGATCACCCTGGGACAATGGAAGGTGTCCCTGCCATGGCAGGAGGTGGAATGGATGATCTTTAAGACTCCTTCCAACCCAAACCCTTCCATGTGTCTGTGATTCTACAATTACCATGAAACTGTGTCTAACATCTTGCCCCTACCCATGGGACCCAGCCCAGGGTCCCTAAATCAGCAGAGCACTTTTGTCCTTTCCTTGTCCTTTCATTTCTTCATTCCAGAGGCACTGAAAGCTGCTCTGATTTTTGCCTCCCCTCTGGGATCCCAGCTGGGGGTGCCCCAGTCACCCCCTTTTCCTTAGAAACCCTTTTCCCTCTGCTCCTCTCTCGTCCACAGGCCAAGCTGTCAGGGGCCATGTCTCGGCGGATCAGGGCAGCTTTTGGGGCTGTGAACTTCTGGGCCATCGTCCTCTACAACATCCTGGCCCTCAACAGCCTGGAGTTTGCCCTGCTGGTGACCAAGAGACTGCTCGTGATGGGTAAGAGGCTGCATCCTTCCCCACTGAGACACCCCTGTCTGAGCTGCTGTGGGAGCTGAGCACTGGGATCTTGGATCCTTCGGGGTCCAAAGTGCACTGACCACTGGTTTGTGATGTGGCTGCTCCAAATGTCCTTAATTCTCATGCAAAAAGTGGTTTCTTAGCTGCCCCGGTTCCTCACTGAGTGTTCTGGAGTGCCAGCTGCCTGCCAGGTGTGCTTGTACAGCTCCTGGCATAGCCTGAGCCTGGTTCAGCCTCCATGGAGCACCTCAGAGGTCACGTTCACCTCACCAAGCAGGGCTGAGTCCCTGCCTCTGAAAGGCCATCCTGCATGTCTTGGTTTGGAAAGACAGGAGTCTGCTAAGGAAGGCAGGAGCCTCCCCTGAAATGGAGAATGTAAACCCTCCCCACCCCTCCCAATTGCTATAAATTTTAAATTAAGGGGCTCTCAGGCAAAAATATGGGAGCAGGGATAACAGTTCTTTAATAGGGAAGAAAAATAAAAGGATAAAATAAACAATGCAGTACACTAGAACAACCCTGACAGAGTCAGAACCCAACCTGACACCCTGTGGGTCAGGGTGTTGGTGGCAGTCCCATTGGAATTGTGGCTCAGCCCTCCTGAAGTGTCAGGGATGATTCTGCTGGAGCAGGGATCCTGTAGAAAGGTGCAGTCTCTTCCTCTGAAGACCCAGTGGAAGGAGAGGCAGCTGCTGCTCCTCTGGGGAATCCAGTGGAGAAGCTGTGCTGGTGTCTCCAAACCTCTGGATTATATCTGGGTAGGAATGCTTGGCTCCTCCCTCTGGGCTCACATCTCCCAGTGGGATGCTGTAGTTCTTATCAGCCATGCAGGGACATTCAATAACTGTTATCAGCGAATGTTTCCCCAGAGGGAGGAGTGATTGTGGAAGAGATAAGGAAAACTACCCACTTGATAAAAGACAACTGCCATACAGATGGTGATAGAATACATTTTGCCTTGTAATCTGGAACAGTACATCTCTAATCAGTGGATTGTGGCGCTGTTCTGAAGTCTTCTTGAGCTGCCCAGGGTATAAATAGCCCTGAGGAGCCCTCTCTGGCATGGGGATGGGTAATGTCACACTCGCTGTGCCAGGAGTGCCTGCCCGCTGAGCTCGCTGGCTTTTGCTGGATGCATTATTCATTGCACAGCTCCTGTTTTAGCAGGAGTAAACCCTGGATCCACCCCTCTGCTGTGGAGACCAGATCTGTGATTGCAAACACCGTCAGACCCTTCTGAAGAGGAGGGAGAACTCTGTCACTGACGTAGGTGACAAAAATATGTATTTTCCTGGGCGGACACTGTGTCCCCACTAAGTGCAGGACAAGAAGACTTCAAAGCAGTGCCACAATGCACTGATTAGACATGTACAGACTGCAGCATGAAGATTTGTACCTGTCACCTTTGGGATGATGCAGGGTGTCTGCTGGAGCAGAGGAAATGAGGCAGGACAAGGCTGGGGTTGATGCTCAGCATCGGTGGGGCCCAAAGCTTCCAGAAGGTCACAGAGCTGAGCAACGATGGCCATGGGCAGGTTCAATGGGCAGAAAGTCAACCATGACTTCTGAACTTGGGGAGAAGAAGGATTTTGGGAGGTAATAGGGGCTCAAAACCCCTCCAGCATGTCCCCACTGCAGTCCACTATGCCTTGGTGGGTTCAGCTTCACCTAAAATCCAACCCTGAGGATTTCCCTCTTGCTGAAGCCGCAGGGCTGGATTGATGACAAAAAAATGTCACTGGCCACCATGATCTTGTGGGGTCTCCCAAACCCACCTGAGAGGCAGCTGTGCTGGGGTGAAGAACTGGCTGATCAGGTCTCCCTCCCTGCCCTAGGTTTCCCTGAGAGCACCTTGTCCATCTGGTTCATCACCTACTGCGGCGTGCAGCTGATCAAGGAGCGCGAGCGCATCCTGGCCATCCAGGAGGAGGAGAAGGGGGACAAGGCCAAGCTGGAGTAGGGGAGCCTTGTCCTGAAGCTTCACCTCCCTTCCAGCCACTGCTGCCAGGCCAGGCCCTGTTCAGGGCTCTCCAAGCCCTCCTGACAATCGGACTGCTGTAGCTCATCCACGTAGACGTCACCCGGAAGGCACAGGTCACCCCCTTGCTGCAGGGAAGATTTTCCATCAGGCACAGCGGGTGTTTCACAATCTCCCCAGGCGTGGCAGGATGCTGAGGCAGCTCCCAGGATGTTTCTTCCATGCCAGAGCCATCCCTGTTGTTTTCCTGACCCTCTGAAGTGTGCAGGCTCAGAGATTTCACCCCCTGCTTCCCTTGGTGCACCAGCACTGGGCTCCCCTCAGCCCTTGTCTCCCGGAGGAGACTCTCCAGGCCCCATGGCTGGAGGTTTTAGGGCCCTGCACTGCTGGATCTGTGACCACCCTGCTGTGACACGTGTCCTGGGACTCAAGCCAAACCCCACCTCAGTTTTTTTACATGCTATGGACAAAGGTCTAAGCTCACATTCCTGCCCGTGGCTGAGGGACAGAAGGTGCTGCATCCACCCCTTGCTCACCTCCATCCCTTTCCTCAGCTGCCTTTGGTGTGCACAGCCCAGTGAGCACACAGCTGAGCACAATCCAAGGAGAAAAACCCCAGGTGAAGGTCAGGGAGTGGGGCTGGGTGGTGGAGGGAAAGCCCATGGGAGCCTCCTTGGAGAATCAGACTTTGGGAGCGTGTGAAACACAGTGCCTTGGGGAAAAGGTGGGTTTGTGACACAGAAATAGCTCTCTTGCACTTTAGAGTAACTCTCAGTGGCCTTATGTCTGAGTTCTGTCTGTCTGGGGGCAGGACCCACACCCCTCTGCAGTGGGGCTGAGACCTTGGTGCATCCCTATGGGGGAAGCAGGATGGGTTCTAGCCAGCTTTCAGCTCTGCCAAAGCATTTTGTGAATTTGTCCCTGGTAAATGTCTCTTATTTATGTAGCAAATAAATGTTGGATAACTCTGGCACCTGCTGCTTATCCCTGTCAATGCTGCTGGCTGCAGGTGACACCCCTGGAAATACCTGAGCCGAGAGGATCTGTTTGCAGGTCTTTACCTGCCCCCCAGAAAAGTGACACAAGACATTTGTGACTTCAGCAGAAACCCTTTTGTCATCACCAGACTGGAGGTTGGGCTGCAGGTGGATTCATATTCACCTTTATTTTGACTCTGCTTTTGTACGTATCTTGATCCTGGGGCCAGCAAATTTCACCTATGTGGGTTTCGGGTTAGAAGCCAGGTTGGTTTTACTTTTAGGAGCCTCCCAACAATGCTGGGAGTAAGGGGCAGGCATTGTGCCTTGGTGGCATCTTGTCACATCCCTTCTTGACACATCTGTCACTGCTGGACTTTTCATGGATGTTCCTTGGCATCTCTGTTATTTCAGATTTACTTTTTCCATCAAACCAGCTCTGCCACCCTGTGCTTCCTGCAGGGTTGGATTTATCTCCTGCCCTCTTTAGGGGTGTCCTTGCACAGGTGGCACCTCCCTGAGCTGCTGTCACCAAGGGCTCTGTCCCTGAGGTGTCTCAGTCAGGCTCTGTGGCTGCCTGGGAGGACAGAGTCACCTCCAGTGTCCAAGTGGGTGACTCACATGGCAAAGCTCAGTGACTCTGCACTGCCCTCCTGACTGGGACACTTCAGCACAGAAAATAGCCCATTCACTAAGAGCCTATATTTACCCAGCAGCTGCATCTGCTGAAGCTGCCAGAAGGAGCTAATCTTAGACACCAACCCAGCCAGTGATCTGTTAGAGACAGTTCACGGAAGAATTTGGGCTTTGCCCTCCTTTTCCAGGAGTTTTCCCTTCAGCTTTTGCTGCTCTGGCAAGCCCAGGAGGTCTGAGCCCCCTGGTGCTGTCTCAACCCCCTCAGCCTTGCACTGAATCCCACTGTAGGATGGGATTTATCCACTCATCCCCTCTGATTATTCCCTGCCCCTTCATAAAACTCTACCAAAAAGCCAAGAAAAGCAAATTTTTTATTGTAATTACAAATCCCACTTAACAGCCTTACACTGGACACTTTCTTGTTCAGCCTGACATGGCTGAAATTCCTTCATCCATCCTTTTTTTTCTTGTAACATTTTGTATGGGTGGGGGTGATCCTGCAGCACTGCATCCCTTCAGGATGTATCTGTGAATCCTCACTGTTGTGGTTTAATCCCACACAGTTTCTCTCTCTCTCACTCGCTCCCCCTCATCCCATAAGGAGGAGAATCAGAAATAAAAGGTAAACAGGTAAATCTGTGGAGATAAGAATGGTTTAACATTTGAAACAAAACAATGATGATAACAATAATGACAAGGAGAGGAGAAAGAGCAACAGAGCCCAAGAGGAACAATGAGGCACAGCAATTGCTCATCACACACTGGCTGATGCCCAGCCTGTCCCCAGACAGCAAACTGGCTCCTTTCTGGGTAATTTCCACAGTTTATATCCTGGGAATGATGTTCTCTGGTATGGAATATCCCTCTGGCCAGCTCAGGTCAGCTCTCCGGGCCACGCTGCTTCCCAGCTTTTGGTGCAGCTCCTCCCTGGCAGAGTGTGAGAGGTGGGAAATCCTTGACTCAGGGTGAGAATGACAGCAGGAGCCAAAATATCGGTGAGTTATCAGCATTATCCTCATCCTAAATCAGGAAAAACACAGCACTGCAGGAGGAAAATTGTGATGGTGTTCGCAGGGGTCTGAGGATGAGGGAAGAGATGAGGATCTGACTCCATGTTCCAGAAGGCTGATTTATTATTTTATTATATATATTACATTAAAACTGTACTAAAAGAATAGAAGAAAGGATTTCATCAGAAGGCTGGCTAAGAATAGAATAGGAAGGAATGATAACAAAGGCTTGTGTCTCAGCTCTCTGTTTGAGCCAGCTGACTGTGATTGGCCATTAATTAGAAACAACCACATGAGCCCAATCACAGATGCACCTGTTGCATTCCACAGCAGCAGATAATCAATGTTTACATTTTGTTCCTGAGGCCTCCCAGCTTCTCAGGAGGAAAAATCCTAAGGAAAGGATTTTTCATAAAAGATGTCTGCGACAGAAAATTCCCTCTCCCAGATGAAACCAGGACCTCCACCCACTCCCATGTCCTGGGGGACTCTTGTTCACTTGCAGACACCTTCAATGACTGTGGGAACCCACTGGTCATTGGAAATCCTTGGCTGTGGGCCTGTCAGACCTGGGGCACAGTGCACCCAACTCCTCTGGGAAGGGCTGCAGCTGAATTTTAGCAGTGGCACTCCATGGGGTGGGGGATAAGGAAGCAAAACTCAGCTGGCAGCAGCACGAAAAGGAAAACAAGGCAGGGCTCAAAGGAGATTAAAGGCGGGGGGGGGGGGGGGGGGGACATCCCAGCTGGTGGCACAACAGCACAGGATTTAACCTGGGATGGCACAGAGCTGATGCAGAGAGGGCAGGGAGGGAGGGGGTGTCCAGCCCCAGATGTCAGGGAGCAAAAATTCCTGCAGTTCGACTCAGTTCAAAGATCAGCATTGGGAGCTTGGTCCTGGCACAGATGAGCAGCACAGGATGATGGGAGCTCTGAAAACAGCTTGTGATTATTTCTCTGCTCTGTTGGTACCTCCCAGCTGCTGCTGGAACCACACCAGTACAGAAGGGCTTCATACTGGTACAGCTCCCTCCCTCTTAGAGATAACCATCATGGCAATTTTTATAAATTTTACATCCCTGCCAGGGTAAGGGGCTGTGTGACTTTAAACACACCAAGAATAATGGCTAATATTTTTTCATAGGCTTAATTAAATCGTTAATTAAATCTGTGCCATCACTGAGTGTCAGACAGCCCAGAGGGTCCACAGCAAGAGATAAAACAGATTCATGTGCAAGTTTTACTATGGCTATAAATAATTAGAGCTACTCTGCTCGCCCATGTCTGTCAAAACTAATTTGCTTCTTTGTGAGCTCTGTGGGAATAGCTGGACATGGACTGGCCATTTCAGGGCCCAGGGGACTTCCTGGACATCCATGGGTAGGCAAGCAGGACACAAGAGCTGCTGGAGAGCTCAGCATCAGCTCCAGGCCAGGCAGGTTGTCCTGCTGTGCCTCTAGACTCCATCCAGAGGGGAGTGATGAACCAGAAGGCCTGAGCAGGAGACCCTCAGTTTACGAGAAGGTATTTGTGTTTAGATGTCTCAATCTGTGAGTTGAGGCCCACCATTGCATTTCCTTTATTTCTATCCAGCCTCAGACACTCTTTCTGTCACCAGGATGGATTTATTGGTGCCCAGTGCCCACAGACTGTGCCACTGGGGCCCATGAGCATGTAGGACAGAGTCACAGAATCAGTGAGGCTGGAAAAGAGCTCTGGTGTTGACTCCAACCTATGGGTGAACCAGACCATGGCCCAGTCTTTCCTTAATGTCTCCAGGGATGGTGACTCCACCACCTACTGCAGGGGAAAAGAGCCATTCCTCTCCCACAGCCCTCAAATCTCCTGCTTTAGTGAGGATTTTAAAGGAACTTCCAGCACAGATCTCGTATCCCACACAGGGCTGTAAACAAACACCTCTATCTCCATTTCCCACCTCTTTCCAGACCCCTGAAAAGTGACTCCAGAGGAGAACAAAGGACAAACCTGTACAAAGCAGCCCTGGGTGGGAGCTGGCTGGAGCTGGGGATGCCACAAAGCCCATGCAAGACCTTCCCCTAGCACATCCATCCTTCCAGCTTTGACTTCATGGCCTATTCTTCGCATGGCTAAAGGTCCAGCACTTTCAGAGCATCAACAGGAGGAAGCCCCTGCCTTGCCACCCATGACCCAAACAGCAAATTGGGCTGTTAGATTCACCCAGAGCCCTCTTCCCAAACCCATGGTGTCACAGCAGCCAAACCTGCTGCTCTCCCCGCGGTGACTCATGAGCTGCCAGACCCTTCCTGAGTTCCTGGGGCTGGAATTACAGCTGTTCCCCTGGCCCCCCTCCCTTCCTCCTTGTCCAATGTGTCATATTAAAGGGTGATCGGCTTACACATGCTGCACTATGGATTCCCTAAGCCCTGCAGGGCTGTGTCTATATATAAAGCTGGAAGCTGAAGTGCACAGACAGCTGGGAGCGTAGCAAGGTTTCACATTCCCGGTGTGCTAGCGGTCTGGAAGCCCGTGAGGCTGAGAGCTCTGCTTTCTTTACTCAGGTTTAGGTGCAGCCACCAATATTTATCCATAAAAGAAGGACTGGGACAAAGAACGAGCGGTTATTCGCCACCATGGGTTTGCCTCTTGATCAAGTGGAGGAATTGCGTCTCTACCAGCAAACTCTTCTCCAGGATGGACTCAAAGACATGTTGGACCACAATAAGTTTCTGGACTGTGTCTTAAAAGTGAAAGGGAAGGAGTTTCCCTGCCACCGGCTGGTGCTGGCAGCCTGCAGCCCCTATTTCCGGGCCATGTTCCTCTCAGACATGGAAGAGAGCAAGAAGAGGGAGGTCAGCCTGGAAGATGTGGACCCAGACGTCATGGGCAAGATCCTGCACTACATCTACACCTCCGAGCTGGAGATCACCGAGCAGAACGTGCAGGACATCTTCTCCGTGGCCAACATGTTCCAGATCCCCTCCATCTTCACCGTGTGCGTGTCCTTCCTGCAGAAGAGGCTGTGCCTCAGCAACTGCCTGGCCATCTTCCGGCTGGGGCTGATGCTGGACTGCGCCCGGCTGGCCGTGGCCGCCCGCGACTTCATCTGCGACCGCTTCGCGCTGGTCTCCCGCGACGAGGAGTTCTACCAGCTCTCGCCCGACGAGTTGATCGCCGTCATCTCCAGCGACTCCCTCAACGTGGAGAAGGAGGAGAGCGTCTTCGAGGTGGTGATGAAGTGGGCGGGGGCCAAGGAGCGCGAGAGCCGGCAGAAGGCCCTGCCCGTCATCTTCGAGAGCATCCGCTTCCGCCTCATGCCCGGCGACTTCATCAGGGAGCACGTGGAGAAGCACGCCCTGGTCAAGTCCAGCCCCGAGCTGCTCAAGAAGCTGCAGATGGTGAAGGATGCCCAGAAAGGCAAGTTCACCGTGGTGAAGAAGAAGAAAGTGAAGAAGAGCAGTGAGAATCAGGCAAAGGAGGATGTTGTCAATGGAGCTGTGGATGAAGGGGAGGACACGGAGGAGGATGCTCTCCCTGGGATCTTGAACGACACCATGCGCTTTGGGATGTTCCTCCAGGACCTTATTTTCATGGTGAGTGACAGTGGAGCAGTGGCCTATGACCCCAATGCCAACGAGTGCTATTTTGCCTCCCTGTCTACTCAAATCCCAAAGAACCACGTCAGTCTGGTGACCAAAGAGAATCAGATCTTCATTGTTGGAGGACTGTACTACAACGAGGACAACAAAGAGGATCCCATGAGCTCCTACTTCCTACAGGTACTACCTTTGTCTGCCTTTTGTTTCTTTGACCACTTGGGAACATCACCAAGCTTTAGCTCCCATAATATTTGTTTTCATGTGATGTTAAAGTTGTAAACGAAGGAAAATTATCTGGGTTGCTTTCCTGGAGATTCTTCTCCCTTTATTTTTAAGGATGATGCCACTGAGGGGTGGTTGTGGTAGTTGAGGAAGAAGGTTTGAAGAATTAGGAAATAGGAATGAGCCTTCCTGATCCAAGTCCTGAGGAGAGGATTGTTTAGAACAGTGAATTTGGCCCAGCCCTGGCTACCACAGGGTTCACAAACTGGGAGGTTCATGGCATCAGACCCAGGTTCTGCTTTGCATCCCCTGCCTTCCCTGGTTGTGAACCCCAGGAAAACCCAAGGGTGACACTGCCAGGTGCTGAAAAAGGAGCAGCAGCAGCTGCAGCCACAGAGCAAACACCCCAAGGACACAGGGCATGTCCCTGCCTCCCAACACTGCCCCATTCCCTGCTCCTGCCCCTGGAGATGGGCTTGGTGCAGCTCGGAGCCTCAGCCACTTCCATCCTGAGAGGGGGAAACCACCTCAAGCTGTCTTTGGGGATACCCTCAGGGAAAGGGGCTGTTCTAACTCAGCAGTGACCCAACTGGGGCTGGATTGAGCTGTGCAGGCAATCTGAGCCCCAGCCTGGGCTGCAGCCCAGATTTCTTTCCCTGCAGACAGCTAACACAAGGCGCCTGCCCTTCCTCCTGACCCCAAGGAATCCAGTAAATCCTCTATTCTTCCTCCCATACCCAGAAATTCCATTTTTTTGTTCCTCTCCACGGCTCAAATCTTCTGGGAAGAAACAATAACATGTCTCAGGCTCTCATCTTCTGGGCAAAACAATAACATCTCCAGGCAGAAAGGATAAAATGAGGGTGGCTGCCAAGCCAAGACACAGAGCCCTGATCCCTGCCTTGATTCATTGCCCTCATCAGTGGGGCTGCACATCCTGCAGGGACCAGGCTTGTCCTCACCTGGAAAGGGGCAGGGGGTTGTGCAGGCCAGGTGAACTCCAGGGAATGAGAAGCCAGGAGGAAAAAACTCCAGCCCTATAGAGCAGGAGGGAGTGGAAAAGCTGAGGAAGTGCTGGGAGTGTCCTGTTTGAGAGACAGCCTGTCACACTGGACAGTCCATGAGGTGTGGGCAGCGCCATTGGTTACCTGTGAAGAGCAGGGCAATGCATTCAGCCAAACCTGTGCCTAAAGTTCAATCTTGCCAACAGAGGAGGAGCAGGGTCCAGAGAGGTCACAGAACCCCCACAGAATGATAGGGGAGGCCATTCTATGGAATCTTGAGAAGGACCTTGAAGATCACCAAGCTCCAAACCCTTGACAAGGTGCAGGGGGTTGTGCAGGCCAGGTGAAGCCCAGGGAATGAGAAGCCAGGAGGGAGAAACCCCAGCCCTATAGAGCAGGAGGGAGTGGGAAAGCTGAGGAAGTGCTGGGGGTGTCCTGTTTGAGATACAGCACCTGTCACAGTGGACAGCCCATGATGACAGAGGTGTGGGCAACCCCATCAGTGAAGAGCAGGGCAATGCATTCAGCCAAACCTGTGCCTAAGGATCAATCCTCCCAGCAGAGGAAGAACAGGGTCCAGAGAGGTCACAGAACTTCCACAGAATCACAGAATGGCTTGGGAGGGCATTCTATGGAATCTTGAGAGGGACCTTGAAGATCTCCCAGCTCCAAACCCCTGCCATGAGCAGGGACACCTCCCACCAGACCAGGCTGCTCAGAGCTCCATCCAGCTTGGCCTTGAACACTTCCAGGGGTGGGGCAGCATCCTTGGAAACATTCAATATTTGGCTGCACAAAGCCCTGGGAAACTGCTCCAACTCTCAACCTGTTGCTCTTTGAACATGTGAGTTGGATGAAAAACCTTTGGTGGTCCTTCCCCGCAAAGTGCTCCATGATTGTAAGCTGCAAACAGCAAGATTTCTCTATTCAGCTCCCAGTTTGCCACAAATGTCCTGGGCATCGTGGGGCCAGTTTCAGCTCTTCCCCACAAGAATCTCTTCACACATCGCCATATCACTCATGCTTGGGAGAATCAGACAAACCCTGGGACTGGACAGTGCCATCAGTTTGCAATGTTTAATTTATTGTATCAGTGTCATTATGTAGCTCACAGTTGCTGTATGAGCAAGAGAGGGTTTGAGCCCTTTTTTCAGCTCAAATGACACATTCAGACATGCAGCTCTATGACAAGCCACTGTGCCACAGCTCCCTGCACCTTCTGAGTCTTTCTATCCCCCCAAATTTCACATTCCCCCTGCTGAAGCCAGGTGCATTAGGTCAGGGATAATTTAGATTTAAGGACAGGCACCAAAATACAAAAATGCTGATAAATCCCAGGAGCCTTGCAGATTTTGGCAGGAGTAAAATGATTCCATTGACATTTCAGATGGGAAAGGGTATCCTTTCTTTGTCACTTGCAAGATTTATGACTCGAAAACAATGCTGAACCCATCAAGAGGCAGGAACTACCCCGATGACTGAGCTGCTCAGGGTTGCACTATAAATAACACATGTGTGGAGCACAGCTTACAAAGGGACAAAAACCACAGGCACCCAGCTGAGGGCGAGCCTTTGGAGCCAACCCATCAGGCTGAGGCTCCTTGGCCTGAGCCCATGGCAAACAATGCTCCAGGCAGTGCTGCGTCACAGCTCCATCCTGCAGCCCCACAAAACTGGCTGCAAGACATCCCTCCCTCCTCTATCAAGATATAGTAATTTTTTTCCCCAGTTCCCATTAAGCCACCGTGCTCAGAGTCTCCAGTGTAAGAATTTTTCTTTTTTTAAAACTTTTTTTTTGGGTGGGAGACGAGGCAATGCCTTGATCTACAGATGTCCAAGGATTTGGTGATCTGACCCAGCCGCTTGCTCTGGCACACTTTTTCTGGGTAGCCAACATTGCTGGCAGCACCCTGTCAGCTGGCAGAGATGGAAAATGCCAGCATGAAATACGGTGAGGGGTTCTATGCATAAAAAGGTTCAGGAAAATTTCTAGGACTGAAATGCTTCCATTCCTCCAGTCCCAGGAACCATCCATTGTAAGTGCAGCAAGAAGTCCTTCACCCAAAGATGACCAAGCTTGTTCCAAGTTAGAAAAGGAAATTTAGGAGAGAGTTTATCACTCCACAGCTCCCTAAAAGGAGGCTGGAGCAGGTGGGGTTGGCCTCTTCTCCCAGGCAAACAGGGACAGGATGAGAGGACAAGGCCTCAGGCTGCACCAAGGGAGGTTCATGTTGGACATCATGAAGAATTATTTTACTGAAAAGGGTGGTCAGGCATTGAGATGGGCTGCACAGGGATGTGGTGGAGTCACCATCCCTGGAGGTGTTTAGGAAATGGCCTGATGTGGCACTCAGTGCCATGGAATTGACAAGGAGGTGACTGGTCAAAGGTTGGACCCAATGATCGCAGAGGCATTTCTCAACTTTAATGTGATTCTATAAAGTTCATGCTTTGATGAATAGAACAGAAAGTGTTGCTGCAGACCCATCTCTGCCCTTATGCCTTGTCATAAAAGGTTTATCATACAATTTGTGCCTTGGGTTTGCTCTCAGGTCTCCCATCCTGCTCAGGCTGGCAAAGGCACAGCCACAGGAGCATTGCAGGGAGTGCTGCTGGGGTGACCAGGCTGCACATGGGAACACACTTTGTCCATATCAATCAAATGGACACACACTAATGACCATTTCTTCCCTTCCAGTACGACCACCTGGATGCAGACTGGCTGGGGATGCCCCCCCTGCCCTCCCCTCGCTGCCTCTTTGGCCTGGGGGAGGCAGAAAACTCCATTTTTGTGGTTGGAGGGAAGGAGCTGAAGGAGGGAGAGAAGACCTTGGATTCAGTGCTGTGCTACGACCGCCTGTGAGTGTCCAGTGTGAGCATGGGGTGGAGGGGGATGGAGGGGAAATGGAGCAGCTGTCATGGGTCAAAATGTTTGGGAGAAGGGCTTGAACCCTGTATGAGGATGCTGGGAATGCCCTCAAGCTGTGCCCTGGGGCTCTGAGCTGTCTCCTTCCATCTGCTCCCTTTATTGAGCCTCCTGGAGAGGGAAGCCTTTATGGGGATATTTTGTTTTTCTGGGATTGGTATTAGTAGATGTTCACATGTACAGAGATGTTTTTTTCTTCTGCTACATTTCCTGCTCTTGCCCATTGATTAAAGGATCAGTGGCGTTCACTGTGATCTCACCAAAAGAGGTTTGAACAGAAAAGCTTGTTTTTAAATTTTTCAGATGTGTCACAGAACGGCTCATCCTGATTGATATCAGGCTTAATATCCAATTACTTTTGGACAATGGGCTCTGACCCATGCTAGCTCATGAGCTTTATTAAAAGGCACCATCCTGTTCTTCTCTCAGGAGACAGAAACTTCCAAAGAGACAGAGCAGCAGGCACCAACAAGCCTTTTCTTGGTCTATATTTAGATGTGTGTGCTTCCAAGTCAGTTTTATAGGCAGAGATTTGAAACCAGTTCCATTCCCACAGAGCAGGGCATTTTTCTGCCCCTGAAGACTCTGGGAAAGAATTTGTCTGCCCACACTCAGTGCTTGGGGGTGGTTTGAGTGTCAGTTTGAAGCTGGTAGAGATGTGATCAGCACCACTCTATCTCTGGTTTTATTTGGTTGACATTATTCTGATTGAACATGAGCCAGCCATGTGCCCAGGTGGCCAAGAGGGCAGGTGGATTGTATCCATCCATCCATCCATCCATCCATCCATCCATCCATCCATCCATCCAATCATCCATCCATCCATCCATCCATCCATCCAATCATCCATCCATCCATCCATCCCTCCATCATCCATCCATCCATCCATCCATCCATCATCCATCCATCCATCCATCCATCCATCCATCCATCATCCATCCATCCATCCATCCATCCATCCATCCATCCATCCATCCAATCATCCATCCATCCATCCATCCATCCATCCATCCATCCATCCATCCATCCATCTATCCATCCATCCACCCTGGATGGATCAGCAGGACCAGTAAAATGTTTATTCCTTTTGTGCTGGGAACTGTGAGGTTGCACCTCAAATCCTGCATCCAGTTTTGGACCTCTCATGACAAGAAGGACATTGAGGGGCTGGAGTGACCCCCAAGAAGGGAACAGAGCTGAGGAAGGGTCTGGAGCACCAGGAGCAGCTGAAAGAACTGAGGGGACTCAGCTTGGAGGAAAAGAGGTTCAAGGGGTCCTTATTGCTTCCTATCCCTACCTGAAGACCTCAAGAAAATAATGGATATTAGCATAAATAATGTTTATTTTATTATTTTACTGTCACCCTTTTTTAGGATCATAATTATTATTATTACTATTTTAGGGTCATTATTATTATTTTTAGGATCATTATTATTATTATTTTTAGGATCAGTTTTATTATTTTTAGGAGTATTAGGCATTTATTGTCTGAGCCTGTCCCATTGCAGACCTTGTGATTCTGAGACTGAGTCCAACCCTGTGCTCACCTCTAGGTCTGGGAAATGTCATATCCTATAGGTGCCATTCAGCAAGCTACAAATCCTTTTGCTTTCCCATCTTTTTCTGACCCATATTTTTCTTTCCCATCTTTTTCTTTCCCATCTTTTCCAGGTCCTTCAAGTGGGGTGAGGCTGATCCCCTTCCCTACTCAGTCTATGGCCACGCAGTGGTATCACACAAGGATCTTGTCTACGTCATTGGGGGCAAAGGAAGTGACAAGTAAGTCAAAAAGCAAGGGAGAATCAAGGAGGCAAACCCCCAAACCAGTGGGAGTGCAGAGCTGGTGCCTCCTCAGCCTGGTTCAACGAGGGCTGGATGGGATGGGAGATGTGGATCCTCCCCTCTCTGCTCATCTTTGTGCCTGCAGCCTTTTCCAAACCTTAGGAGGCCAGCAGGGACATCAGGAAGATGATGGCAATGTCCTTACAGGAGAGAGAATGCATTGCCCCATCCCTGGAAGCAGGCTGGAGGGGGCTTTGAGGGAAACTGGTCCTGTGGAAGGTAGCCCTGCCCATGAGGGTTGGAATGAGATGCTCTTTAAAGATCCTTCCAAATCAAACCACAAAAAAAAAACCCAAATGTCACTCAGATTGGGAGAGGCATTGAAGAGCAAGAAACCCCTTCACTTTTAGGGTGTCCTGTCGTGGGCTTGTGGAGCAGAGTGGTCACCATAGCCAAATCCAGACGTGTATTTGCAACAGGAGGGAAAAACCTGATCCACCCTAACCCCATCCCGCCCTCCTGCAGGAGATGAGCTCAGCAGGAAAAGCCTCTCTCAGGAGCATCACAGTGGCTGCCCTGCAGGGCACAGATGTGGCTGTTTGCACAGCAAACATCCCACAGTCCAGCAAGGATTGGTCCTGCTCAGGATGGGTTATGGTCTGAAAGGTGTGAACATCCCCACACTGCCCATCTGGCCACAGGAACATCTCTGAGGATATTTTACAGCATCACAGTGGATCAGGAGCAATAAATCAATGCCTTGGTGGCTGTGAGAGGTCCTGAGGGGCTGTCTGGACCTGTATCCAGGTGTGTGAGCACCAAGCTGAGCTCTCAGGACTCCTGTCCAAGGATACAGCAGGAGGGGATGTGTTGAACACACAGGCGGTGACTCCAGGCAGGGACATCCTTTGGTTCACACCCAACAAATGGGGTGTGTTCCTCCCCTCATGCCAATGTGAAGGAGCAAAATTCTCCCTAGGTGTTGGGATGTTTAGCTTGTCAGAGTGACCCCAAGAAAAGCTGGAAAGTCTCTTTTCCCAGCCCGGCGGTTGAAGAAGGAGTCAGAGCTCTTCATTTCTCGGTCTCAAGGTTGTTTATTGTTTCTTATCTATAAAATTCTTTCTCCTGCCCTGCCCAGGTCCATCCAGCAGGACAGTCAGAGACACTCTGCCTGCCCCCAGGGCAGTGTTATGTCTTTATACTAAAAACTCCGTGTACAATGTTTACAATTCCTTTCCAATACCTATCACCTATGTCAGACAGTGAGAAGTGCCACCATCACAGCAGAAGATGGAGGCCAAGAAGAAGAAGGAGAAAGGCTGGACATGCCCAGATCCCTCCATCTTGCCCCCTGAGCCCCCATACCAGAAACTCTAAAATCTACTTTTCCATCCCGTGATAACTTCACTATTATTCTACTTAAACTGTTGTGACTTGCTGATCTTCATATAAGGTTGGTAACTTGCTCCATGGGTCATAATCAAACCCACAGGAGCATTTTGGGCTCTGTGCCAGGGTCTCTGAGCCCCCTGGCAGGGTCTGGGCTGCTCAGGACAGCCAGAGGGATGTGCTGGCTCCTGACACCTAGAGGCCCCACCTTCTTCCCAGCAGACACCCTCAAACCCCTGCAGGGCAAAACCACCCCTTGGCAAGCAACCAATGCTCCTTTTCCCTCTCCTTTTTCTCCAGGAAGTGCCTGAAGAAGATGTGTGTCTACAACCCAGCCAAGTTTGAGTGGAAGGAAATGGCTCCCATGAAAACTGCCCGCTCCCTGTTCGGGGCCACCGTGCACAAGGACAAAATCTACGTGGCAGCTGGCGTCACCGACTCTGGTTTGACCAACTCTGTGGAGGTCTATGACATTGCCACCAACAAGTATGTCCTGAGTTGTGGTTACACCAGGAGTAGGTGCAGGTGTAGGCTCAGCAAGTTCCAACCATCCTGGAGTTTGTTTGTGGCTCCTGATGTCAGTTCCTCCAGTTTATACACCCATGGGAGGGGAGTTGGAGCTGGATAATCTTTAAGGTCTCTTCCAACCCAAGCCATTCTAGGGTTCTGTGGTTCCTCAGAGAGCTGGGCATCACCAAAGTCACAGTGGTTGGGCTGGGGATCATCTCAGGCTTGTCCTCAAAGTGGTTTCACCTACTGTGCCATCCTTGGGTTCCTTGGGGCTTCACCCAACACACACAATGAACCCTCTGAGTCTGGGTGGATACCTGGGCACAGGTCCTGGCAGCTGCTGCCCCAGCACTGGGACAAACTGGCCCATGCACCCAAAGCAAAACCAAGTTGAACAATGATGATGGGAACAATTTACCTAAAAACATCCAGGGTATGATCCCATCCCACCTAGACCTGCACAGCTGGATCTGTCCCTAGTGAGCTCAGCTGTTGAATCCTGATTTGAGGCCATCCTCAGCATGGGGGTGGCCGGGATGCTCTAACTTTGAGGAATGTTTGAAGGAGCTGGGGGTGCTCAGCCTGGAGAAGAGGAGGTTTAGAGGTGCCCTTATTGCTCCCTACACCTTCCTGAAGGGAGGCTGCAGACTGGTGGGGTTGGTCTCTGACAGAATCAGAGGATGCAGTCTCAGGCTATGGCAGGGAAGGTACAGGTTGGATGTTAGGAAAAAATTTTTCACCAAAAGAATAATAAAGTACTGGAATGCTCTTCCCAGGGAGGTGGTGGAATCACCATCTCTGGATGTGTTCAACAAGACTGGCCATGGCACTTGGTGCTATAGCCTAGTTGAGGTGTTAGGGCACAGGTTGGGCTCGATGATCTTGGAGGTCTCTTCCAACCTCATTGTTCTGTGATTCTGTGATTCTGAACCTGTCCCCTTTCTCCCGTGGCAGGTGGGACACGTTCCCTGAGTTCCCCCAGGAGCGCAGCTCTGCCAGCCTGGTCAGCCTCTCTGGGGTGCTCTACCTGCTCGGGGGCTTCGCCACGGTGGAGACCGAGTCGGGAGAGCTGGTGCCAACGGAGCTCAACGACGTCTGGAGGTGACAAACCTTCCCAGGGCTGTCCCAGGGAGCAGGGGAGGGATGTCAATGGTGAAATAGGTCATTTCTGTGTGAGATGGAGGTTGTCACCCCAGCACCAGGCTGCAGGCTCAGCACTCAGTGTCTGGGAATTTTGCCCTGTGCTGTGCTGGAGGGCACATTGGTGCTTCAGTGATCTCTCCCAGCCTCACACAGCAACAGACCAGGGAAAACTTGCTCCTTTGGCTTTGTTGTGCGGTGACATTTTGCCTGGAGCAGGTTCCAGACTCTCCTTTGGTGTGGAGCAGCATCTGTGCAATGCTTCCTCTCCCTGGAAACAGCCAGTGCTCAGGCTGGGAAGCAGAGTCTGCGTTATGAAGCAGAGAATCTGGGTTGGGAAGCAAAGTTTGGGCTGGGAAGCAGAGAATCTGGGTTAGGAAGCAGGGAGTCTGGGCTGGGAAGCAGAAAGTCTGGGCTGGGAAGCAGATAGTCTGGGTTAGGAATCAGAGTTTTAGTTAGGAAGCAGAAAATCTGGGTTGGGAAGCAGATAGTCCGGGCTGGGAAGCAGATAGTCTGGGTTGAGAAGGAGAGTCTGGGTTGAGAAGCAGAAAGTCTTAAATGCAAGAGGAGTGGACAGAAAACACTTTAGTGACAGCTGCTAGTGCAGCACTGGCTGCTCCTGCCCCTCAGTTCAGTGCTCTGGCACCCTCAGCAGGATCCTGCTGTCCTTCACCATGGATGTTTCACCTTGGTGCCATCAACCCAACTCCCAGAAGAAAAACATCCCCTCCCCTGCAGGACCACGTGGTGATATCCACGTCCCCCAAAGCAGGGCAGAAATTCACACGAATTCTTGTGGCCAAGTAACTCCTGTAGGCTGCCACCCCTATGGAGAGCAGCTGGAGGGAGGGAGAGGAGCCCTTTCCTCACCATTATCTGCCTGTCTGTCCCCAGGTACGACGAGGAGCAGAAGAAGTGGGAAGGGGTTCTGCGGGAGATCCAGTACGCCTCCGGCGCCACGTTCCTGCCCGTGCGCCTCAACGTCCTGCGCCTCACCAAGATGTGATCAGGAGAGATTGCTCCTCTTTCCACGGGCTGCTGGGGCAAGGAGGGGTGGGGAGGTGCTTCTCAGAGATGGGGCATCTAGACACTGCCCAGGACATTGCATCTGTGATTGGTAATTTTTTGGATAAGTGGGGAAGAGGGGAGAGTGTCTGGAAAACCTCCTGGGAAACCGAAGTGGCTCACAAGGTAATTAAAGAGGGGATCTGGAGCCTGCAAGGAGCTGGGGAAGGCTGAGAAGCACAGAAAAATTAGTTATTCCAGTCTCAGGAGACAGGACAAATAGATGATACATTTTTTAGCTTATTTCTTCATGTTTTTTCCCATCTTTTCAACTGCTTTTGGACCTCTCCAACAAACAGCAGATGCAGAAAGTGAGGACTAAGATTACACTCCCCAGGGAAAGGCATCCACAGAGTATTTCCCAGCCTAAGGTGTCTGTGAGCACAGTGTTCCTTGGAGAGGAGAAGGAAGGGTTAAAATCAAGTGGCACAGGAGAGACCTGTGAGTTCCTGAGTGAAGAGGGCTGCTGAGATGAGACAGTCAAAAGAAAAGAACATGTGAGCAGCAGAAGCACTTTGGAAGATGTGACAAAAAGCAAATAATCTCAGTTCTTTGCCTCCAGCTTGACTTTGGAGTGCTGAGAGGCCAGGAGCTGAGTGTCAGGAAAGGAGGAGTCATGGAAGTTGTAGGGTGGGAAGGGAGGAGGGATGGACAGAAGATGCCACGTGTGGTCACCTCCAGCCTTTTGGGCTCCTCATCTTCAATCACAGATCACAATGTCCTCACCTATGGACGGACAAATGCTGGTTTTTGGTTTTTAGGGAAAGGTTTTATATTTTTGTTGTTTTCTTATTTTTCATGTTCAGATTTTTTTTTAAAGAGTATTTTACTTTGCTAAGATCTCAGATGTGTTTGGCTCAAAGAGAGCTTCTGACTGAGGAAAAATGCGTATTTATTTAAAAGTTGTCAATAATGAAGTTTTGATAGAGACATAGCTGTACTGGCAGCAGGAAAAAAGATCTGTTAGGGCAAAAATCTCGCGATGCCCACACCATCTGACCAGTGGCTTATTTAAAAATAAATGAATAAATGAAATAAATAATTTCCAAAAGAAATCCCCTGTGTCTGCATGTTGATAAAGCTGAAACGGATTCTTCACAGCAACCAAAGACAAGGACTGACTACAAATTGTGATGGACACATGCAGCAAAACAGGCTCATGGAGAGCCCCATCTTTTCTTATTTTTCCCCATTTGAGAGCTGAAATTTTAGGATCTGTGTCCTTACAGCTCTTCCCTATGGATGTCACAACCAGGAGTTTAGCCAGGACTAGAAGGAATCTGGATGCCTGCACTGACAGGGTGAGAGGAAATCGCCTCAAGCTGTGCCAGGGGAGGTTTAGATTGGATATTAGGATGAGTTTTTTCATGGAAAGGATTGTAAAGCATTGGAAAAGGCTGGAGTTCCAGTGATGGAGTCACCATCCCTGGAAGTGTTCAAAAAAATGTGGATATGGCACTTAGGGACATGGTTTAGTGATGAACATGGTGGTGGTGCTGGGTTGGTGGTTGGACTCAATGAGATTAAAGGTCTTTTCCAACCCTTCAATTCTATGAATTGAATTCTTCCAACAATTCTATGATTCTTCCAACAAATCTATGATTCTGTGATGTCATAGTACCATTAACAGGGTTAATAATCAATAATAATTCAAAAAAAAGAAAAAAAAACCTTGAACAACAATTGCCTCAAAGTGGCATGAAAATTCTGGTATCACAAAATTAGGTCAAAATGCAGTTGTGGAGAAACTCAAATATGTTTGGAAGAAAAAAGAATTCAAGGGAAGCAAAGGAAGCAGAGTCTTGTCCTGGTTTCATTTGAAGGATTTAGGAAGTTACAGGATAAGCTCCTTAGAGGACAATCACATCAGAACAGTAATGAAATAGTTCAAAAGAAAAAGAAATCCAAGGTGACTGGCTGCCACAAAGTAGCTTAAAAAAAAAAAAAAAGAACAAAAATCTTTGAAACAATCAAATGTGTGAAAAAGGCACGGAAAAGAAATAAACACCTTCTGCCTAGTTCTGCAGAAATCCATGTAGACAATTCCCAAGCTAATTAAAGATGATTCTTCCAAATAGCTTCTGGCAGAAAAAAAGAGAAAAATTCAGAAAAAAAAGATTTAAAAAAAAATCCCTGCATAAAGTAACTATTTTAAAAAAGTCATTTATTGCAGTGTCAGGATTCCACCTCCTGCCTCCAGCAACACCAACCCTGGAACTGTTCAAGGAATGAGTGGAAGTTGCACTCAGTACTCTGGTCTGGCTGGCAAGGGGGTGATTGGTCAAAGGCTGACTCAGTGATCTTGAAGGTATTCGGAAAATACCTTAATGATTTTGTGATCCTGTGACCTTTGCTTCAGCTCTTCTTGCTGAATGCAGGCTGGGTAGTTGTTGATGATCCTGATAGAGGTTCAATCCCCACTCACCTCCTGCCACATTTCTTGGCTCTCCTGGAGGAGTTCTGGGTTTTGTGAAGCCAGCAGGAGAATGTTGCTGATTTTCCACGAGTTGTTGAGATGTGGCCCCTGATAAAGGCTCGAGATGTTTCAGATAAACTGGAGTTCAGTGCTCACATGTGGTTCACATCCATTATAGAGCTGTGGAGAAGCCACCACTGGCACAGGGCAGGAAACTATAAAAGGAAAAATGGTTGTTGTATAAAAATATCCAGAAGAACTTGAAATATCCCACTGCTTGAGCAACAAGAAAGCAAATCTCAGCACATGGTGGTCCAAGGAAGGAGGCAAAGTTGGACATCACCAAGTGAAGGTGTGGCCTGGGGATGTTCCTCCACATCTCCAAGAGGCTGTGTCAGCTTAAAGGCCATCACAGATAAGAAATGCCACCAGAGAGACATCACTCTTCCCTGCTGCCTGGTGTTTTCCTGGCTCAGATGCAACAGCTTCAGTGGCACAGGTTCCCCTACAGACAATGACAGTGGCAAAGACATCCAAAGGGTGAAGGAACACCATCTTCTTCCATTATCTTCCCAATACACATGCTGATCTTACTGGTGAGGTTCCCCCTGCTCCATTTTAAATTAATAAAGGCACTGGGTGCTTTTGGATGAGCTCCTTGGTTTCTCCTCTGCCAACAGAGATCAGAGAGCCCCTACTCAAGAGTTCACACCAACCTGATGGAGCCAGTAGGATTAGGTGCTCAGTCCTTACCCCAGGGCTGTAAGCACTGAATTCCTTCTTCCACTCATCACCCTTCCCTGAAAAGCTCTTTTTTTGTTGGCCTCACAACAGTCTCACACACATTCACACATCTCCCACCAAACCCAACACAGAGCCTGTACATGTGAAGCAGTGGCAGCAATCAACATTCCACAGGATTCCTCATCCTCCCCATCTCTGACTGCTCACACAGTTGCTTGAAAAAAAAAAAACCCTTTTAAAAGAAAAGTAAAAATAAAAGCAGGGGAAGAAAAAGATGAAGCAAAGTTAAGGTAACAAAAGAAAGTGGTGGAGCTTTCGGTTTTCTTTTATAAAAGACAAATCGTTTATTGATTCAGTCCTTCCACTTGCAACCTCTTTGGTAACAGTCGTAACATTTCCAGACTGGGAGAACGCAGTGGAAAGGCCCAGTTCTGACCTCTCACCAACTTCAGAGCTCAGGGAGCCCCAACGTGCCTTGGTGAGAGGCCAAAAGCAGATTTCAAAGCATGGCCAAGGACCTGGCCCCGAGGGACAACCCAAGCCAGCCTCCCTACCGTGACTTGTTGCGCTCGTGGGCAGCACAGGGAGCAGCCCCAGCACCCCCAGGCAGAAGATGGCTCGGGATGGGGATGTCTGACTGGGAGCTGTGCCCTGGGAGGTGGCTTTGAAGAACCTCTTGGGACCTCCTGGACATTGGGACCATCGAAGCAAGACTCGCCCGTTCCTGCGGTAGACAATGACTTGCCTCAGTTGGCCCCACGGGGATGGATCCAACCATCTCAGCCTCCCCCTCCTCACACCATCCCAAAGAGAGTAACTGCTGTACTTGGAGTTAAAGATAAACATATATTGATTACACATGGTCATAAAAAAAAAGGTAATAATAATAATAATACATTTCCTAGAACATCACTTAAGACGCTTCCGAAAAGCATCCAAGCTTCCCCTCCCCTCCCCGCCTTCCCTTAATCTATACAGAATAAAGTGCTTCGTTTAGTTTGTTCACACTTGTAGAGCCACCAATACACTCTTAACTTGGCATGTTTGGGCAACTGATACTGAATGCCGTAAAATAATTCAGAGCCAAACACCAGGCATGAGAAACTAGGTTTGAGGCAAGTGCTTGGGGGTTTCATTCATTTCCTTCAAGTTCCATGCTACAGAGGTTGTTCTTATTCCTATTTTTTTTAATCTCCTTTTTTTAAAATTTATTATTTTCTTCCTTTATAAGTCCAACCCAACTCCCGTTGTGGTTCCGTGTCTCTAGGCAGGGCTGCGCGTGGGGAAGCTCTGGCTGTCTGTGTGAACAAAGGGCGTCTGTCCGTCTGTCCTTCCCTCCTGACGTCGGGCAAACCAAGAGTCACCTCAGAGGAGTTGTCTAGCAGCGGATGCTCGTCTCTATTGCACTGTCACAGCCATTCCCACCCATCTGTCCATCCGTCCATCGCCTTCCCACCGCGCCAGGGTTATGGCTGTGGTCCGAAGGGCCAGCCGTGCCTCATGGATACGTGAGGCGAACTGGTCTGTGCTACCAGGCTCCTGGGATATATAAACCAAAAGTGACCCTCCCCAACATGATTCCCTCCCTCCCCAAAGTTCAAATGAAGGGTGGAAAAAAAAAAATTCCGACCCAGGCGGGTCTGGGGTTTGGGTGTGTGGGAAGAGCTGTCAGCTGAACGTTGCGTATTCAGGAACCGCGTAATGGAAATCGAGCCCCTCTCCACCCTCGCGGTCTGTCAAAGAAGGGATGTGAGAGATTAAGGTGCAAGAGTTAAAAAAAAAAAAAAAAGAATTAAAAAAAAAATTAAAGTAAAACATAAAAAGCTTGAAAACAACGGACCCAACTCTCCTGCCTGCAGCTCTGTCTAACCCCAAGGGTACAACAGCGGCGGCCGGGATGGGTCCGGGATGGACGAGGCACTGCGGGAGCGACTCGTCTGAGCTCTTAGTACACAAATGAAAACCAGACATGGAGACACACTGGGGCTGAGTCAGGGTGTAGACAAAAGGGCTTGGAGGCCTTGTAGGACTCCTGGGAACTACCCAGGCCTTGGAGAGGGGAGGGAGCAGCAGGGATCTGGTTCTCCAAAGTGCTGTGTGCATGGTCACATCTCGACGTCTCCAAGTGGCTCTAGGAGCAGGCTCTCGAAGGGGATCGGACGTGGCTGGGATCAGTCACTGGGCTTTCTGCTGGGCTTCCAGCCTCAAGGAAGGGCTCTCATCTCACAGAGATGTCCAAGGGGGGGCAGGTCCTCACTGGGAGAGGATGAACTGGGACAGGAACAGGGAAAGCCACCTCCAGGTGAGTGGAATAAGGGAGCACAATGTTGGCATGGGTGTTTACGTGGGGGGAAGCCTATCAGCTGATGGGCTCCATCACAAAAGATCATAAAATGAGCCCTTCTCAGGGCACAGCGCTCCCATCCTGTCTCAAGGCTGAACATGAGGGGAAAGAAGCACAAGGAAGCCCAAGGGGATGGGATCTGGGAGGCAGCAGAGGAGGAGACAGCATGGACCACTCCAGCAACTCCATGGGTTTCACTGAATGCTTCTCTAAAGCAAACATCTTCCAGTATGGGCCATGGTCCCTTCCTACAGCCAATGGCCCCAAGGATCCTCATCCCTCACAGGTGTGTCTGAGGCTTTGCACCATCCCAACGAGCCCCAGGGTCATGGAGGGAGGCAGCAGAGAAGCCTTTGGAACCCACCTGAGAAGGTCAGTGAGGTGAGGCAGCTCTGCCATAGCCACCTCCTCGTGCTCAGAGCAGATGGAGATGGGGGCTTGCTCACTGGTACTGAGAGCCATGCTGGGGATCCACAGGATCCCAGCCAACACGAAGATGAAAAGGGCTTTGTGGCTCCAAAATGCTAACATCAGTCAGCTTTCCCAAGCTGCCGGACACCAGTGGAGCAGCACTCAGCAGGACGTGACACCACACACCTCAAAGAGCACTCAGGACAACAGCAGATGCTCCCTGGTCCTGTCCCCATCAGGCTCCTGCATGTCCCCAGTCAGCAAAGCCCCTGAGCATGGATCCTCCCATCTCTGCAGATACAGCCCCAATGCTGCCCAAGTGCTTTGCTGATTTGGTCCAGGACACAAAGCACCAAGACTTTTCAGAGCCAGGTGTGGCTCCCTGTCCCCAGCACTCTGCTGTCACCCAGCACAAGCCGCATATGAGAAAAGGCTCCTGCAGCCCATTCAGTGACCTCTTTCCTTCTTACCTACCAACAATGCTTCCACCACCTCCTCCATGACCTGCCCCACACCAGCTTTAGAAGCACAGGATCAGCTGGAACATCCCCCACCTCTTGCCAGCCCTTCTCTGCCCATGCTGGGTGCTCTCTGACTCCAAAGGGGACACTTCCCCACAGCCATGGTCAGGACAATGCATGGCACCCTGGGGCAGAGCACAGCAGTGAGAGACCCTGCTGGGACCTCAGTGCCCAACAAAACATTGACAGCAAAGCCTTCCTCTTCTCCTCCTCCTCAGCATAAAGCCAGCCATATTATTTGTAAGTGAAACCAAAGACCAGCTTGACTTCAACATCTTCAACAAGCACTAAGCAACACCACAGGGCATCACCAAAACAACCACAACCCTCACTGGTCCCCTCTGGTCCCCCCAAACCAAGACAGGGCAACGGATGCCAGCACCACAAGAAGAAGTGAAGCTTGGGAGAGCAAAGCAGGCAACAAACTGGAGACTGGGACATGATCATCCCCAGGCTGAACATGGTCCTGCTTTAGCTCTGAACCTTGCAGTGGGACCGACCTGGAGCTCACCCATCCCTCAGGGGTTTGTTCAGATTGTTAAGGCACTATTCTGGGCCGATTCTGCCAAGAAACAGAAGCGTCCTGCTCCTCTGTCTCAGGCTCCCCTTCTGCTGGTCCCAAAGGTACCTGAGCTCTTCCAGGATCAGCTCCCAAGCTCCAGAGCATCCCCAGGAGCCCAGCTCCTGCTGGGATTAGCAAAAAGGGCACACCAGAACCCAGCTCCCTTAGGGCACCCCGGAACTGAACCGACAGCGAGTCGCAGATGCCCCGAGATGCAAGGTGGGTGTTTGTGCTTTTGTCTGTGGAGGAGGAAAACCTGCTGTAGGGAAGGAAGACGCGTTGTGGGCTGCTAACGAGGGCATGCTCATGGCTTTCCAATGGGTACCTGCTCGCTCGCCACAGGCCACTGGGGCTGGCAGTGGGGGGCTCCCCTGGGGTGCCCACCTTCCAACCCTGTGGGTGAAGAGCCTGACTTGAAAGACCAGCTTTACAGTACAGGGATTCAAGCACCACTAACTAGAATTCAGCTTTGAAATATTGATGCACCGGCCAGCAAGCTCAAGCCCGGATATCCTGCTCCTCCCAGCCTCACCAGCATCCCAGCAGGAAGGTGATGCCAGCATGTAGGAAGATGAAACTGAGAGTGACACCTTTTACCTACACCCTTACGGACGGACGGCGGATCCCCCCAACACCCACGTTCCTCAGGGGGATGCTTCCTCCTGCTCCCCCTCTCTGCAGAGAATGACGGGTGAGAAAAAGGAATAAAAACCCAAAACAACCCCAAAACGAGGAGGAAGGGGGGGTAGAGAGCAAGCAAAGCCTTGGCTCCCCGGGGGAAAGGCGTTCCCGAAGGGCAGAGCAGTCCGTGCAGGCGCATGGCCGGGGGGGTGAGGGGAGGGCACCTAATTGTTGTTGGAATTTATCCTCCCCGCGGGAAACAGGGGAGGGGGTGGCGGTAGGTGAGGAGGAGGGAGGGTCTGTGGCAGAGGATGGAGCAGCGGCAGGGGCAGGGGGGAGACGCCGGGGCCGGGGGGCAGCGGAGCCGGGCTGGTGGCGGGCTGGGGGACGGCCGTGTCCGAAGCCAGGGGGTTGGTGACGCGGAAACATTTCTCCTTGTGGGCCTTGAGCATGTTGGAGAAGCGGAAGCGCTGGCCGCAGACGTCGCACGGGTACGGCTTCTCCCCGGTGTGGGTCCGGCGGTGCCGCTTCATGTTGGGGCGGCTGGTGAAGCTCTTCCCGCAGATCTCGCAGATGTAAGGCTTCTCCCCTGAGGGTGGGAGCAGAGGGACAGAAGGTGCTGGTTAGGTTGGGTGTCAGAGACAGAGGAGATTTGATGTCTCGAGGTATTTTGGGATGCATGTGTGTGCCTTGCTCTGGTCAGGCAGTGAATGCCCCATATCCCAGCCCTAGGGCCTGTATCCCAGCCTGGCAGCGTCTGTCAGCCATGGCACACAGGGAGGCAATGCCCCATTCTCCCCTAATCCAATTCCTGAGGGCAAAATGACCAGAAGTCCCATGTGGGAGAAAGGGGAGGATCAAATACCCCTTGAGGACCAAGGGCTATTTAAAGTCAAACACCAGGCCATCATGTTCACCTAAACCCTACCTACATCTTCAAAGTCCTGTCTGAACCCAGGAGTCGGTAACCTGTGCTACCAACTACTTATATGTGCTACCTATATGTGCTTTTCTGTCTTTCTCTCTTTCTTCTTCTTCTAATTCCCTCTCCTTGAAATATTTTGAGTACCTCAACATCAAATATGTTTAAAGTTTGCTAAGTTGAAAGGGCCAAGTTTAATGCTGAAGTTATAAGTTTAGTGAGAAGTGTTTTATGTTGGTTGAATGCTGTACTAAACCTTTTGCCAAAGCTCCCTGATTTTTCTCAAGTTTGCCAGCAAAGCTTTGCGCTGTTCTGACTTTTTGAGAAGATCTTGTTGGTATTCCTCCCGTGTGTCCAGCTCAGAGATCATGAACCATTGTAAGCCCTTCCAAAAGTCTTGTTGAACAAGTTGACTGGGGCGTTATCAGTGCTTCCCAAAACCCCATCCTGCCACCCACCCAAAGATGTCACCCCCATCCCATCACTCCTTCCAGGGAGAGCCTGCCTGCAGGGATCTGGGACCAGGCAAGGGGCGGGTCTCACCCGTGTGTGTCTTCATGTGCTCATCAAAGTACTGCTTCATGTTGAAGTCCTTGCCACACCACTGGCACATGAACTGCTTGTGGCCGATGTGGATGCTCATGTGGGAGCGCAGCTGGTACTTGTACTGGAAGCGCTCGTTGCAGTTCTGTGGGGGTGAGGAGTTGTTATGAGCACCCAAAATATGCCCACATTCCCTTCAAATCACCAGCAGCAAGGAAATTCTGTTTTTTCCCCCCAAAACAGGCTTTTTGGGACATACCCAGCCAGGCTTGCAGGCTGGGTGGGTGCAAAGTCCAGGCAATCTACTGGGGACAGATCCTGGCTTTGGACAAGTTTCATCATAAAGTTGGTGGGATTCTCAAACCAGGAGGTGATGCAAAATTTGGAAAAGTGTGGGATCATCCCTACAGCTGCACTGTCACACAGCACAGTGGAAGCCCCAGGGAGCGGAAGATCTCTCCCCAGATCAGTGTTTCTGCCTTACCTCACATTTGAAAGGCTTTTCCCCGGAGTGCTGGAGCGAGTGGACCTTGAGGGACATGCTGCGCTTGAAGGACTTCCCGCAGGTCTCACAGGTGAAGGGCATGTCCTTGGTGTGTGCTGGTGGCGACAGGGGCGGGTCAGCAGCCTCCACACACCTCCACCACCCACCTCCCCACACCTCAGCTCTGGCTCCCAGTGTCCAACCCCAGCAAACCCAAAGCACCTCTGGAAGATAAATGGCAACGACGTTTCAAGCATTTCCCTTCCAAACCGCCATTCTTTTGGATCTCTTTGGCGGTTCCAAGACCCAGGGACCCAACCACTGTTGTCACATGCAATTTGCTTTTCAAAGCCCAGCACTGATGTGGTCTGATCCTTTTACACTTCAAACCTTCCTCTGATCACTTCTGATCAATAAAATAAATGGGATTCCCCAGCACGACGTCCAAACCCAGCACTGAGCAGACATTGATTCAGCATTGAGTATCAGACCAAATTTGAAGATGAGGATGTGAGAAAGCTCACCCAAGAGTAAACCAACATGACAGCAACAGAAAACACCTTTCATTGCTGAACTGATGGGCCAACATCTCCAGCAAGATCTCCCCGTGGTGCCTCCCACACTCACCAACCATGTGTTTGCGCACGTGGGCCATGGTGTAGAACTTCTTCTCGCAGATCTCGCAGGAGAACTTCTTCTCTGCATAGCCATGGACAATCTTGTTGTGCTCATGGAGAGACCAGAGCTTCTTGAACCCCTTCCCACACGTCACACACTGCAAGGACACAGGAGACAGTCAGGGAAGCAGGGGAAGTTGCTTCATCCATGGAAAGGGAACATCATGGTGAAAAATACAGCTGATATCAAAAACCACATCTACCAGATTATAGACCTTGTCACTTCAAAACCTCCAAATTTCATATTTCTATGAAAATGAGCAAGGGGCAATGACCTTCCAGGGAAGGATGTAGAATTTTCATCAATGGCTGCATCAGGATTTGGATAAACAACAGCTCATGCCCTATTCCCAGCTGGGAATTTTATTCCTAAATGAAGATGTTACATAAAATAATCCCAACCCTCTGTGCATTGGAAATTTGCAAAAAATATGAAAAGAAGAATAATCCCTATCCAGGGCAGCACAACTTCAGTCTTCAGCAGATATAATGGATACTTCACCACTAAATTGGTTTTCCAAACAGATCTATGATTCCATGATATCCAAAAGGACCAAAATGGGCCCAAACCACCAGTCCATCAGCACAAGGAGAACGTGACACGCAAAGTCTTCCCCAAAAAGTTAAGGTAGAGAATCATTTCAGCTCCAATAAGTTCAATGTTCCTCTGGAAGTTCCCAGGAAAAGCTCCAGCTTCTGTGTGAAACCTCTTGGAGGCCTGTGAGACCAGTTCAGTGCTCAGGAAAACACAGGAGAGAAATATCCACCAAGGAAACCACACCAGGAGCCAAGGGTCAGCTCCTTCCCCTTCACCTGTCCACGGCTCACATTCCTCTTGGTCAACAGGGATAAAACCATCCCTTCTCTCCTTGCAGATTTGTTGAGAAAATAATTCATGCCTTGAAGGCATCTTGCAATAACGTGGCTGAATTGTACCAGTAAACCTGGGGAAGGATTCCTCCACTTCTCCTCCTTCCCAGAGGAACAGAGGCTCCTTGATGGGCTTCAACCAAATTTTGCTGTGATACCATTGAAAACACACCATTATGTTGTGAAGTCGCTGTATTTTTCCATATATATTTATATTTAGGTGCCCCAAAGGGAAAATTTGGGTCACAGAGCCATTCCCAAGCCTCCTCATCTTCATCTTGCCACGCTCAAATGTCAACATGAGCAGTCCTCCAAGTCCTGCTGTTCCAAAGTACGTATTTCCATGGATCAGAACAGATTTATCTCTGTCTTAAGGGATATTTCAGGGCAAATTCAGGACCAGAGCCTGATATCAAAGACACATCAATATCCATTTTCTCCACTTAAAATGAAAGAGGCAGGGGAATTTCAAAATTAAAGGTAGAGAGAAAAACAGCAGCAGTAGAAAACCCCCCAGGGCTGAGACCAAACACTCTGGAGGACTGAGCTCTGTGTCCTTACTTACTGCTGAAAATCATCACTCAAAATATATGGAAATAATGTCCAAATGAGAGGGGAAAATGGGGATATAAATTCTTGCAGGTTAAAAGGAAAACCATCCTGAAGCTGGCAATAAAAAGAGTTTGAGGGACAACTCAATAAAGCAAAGGATGAATCACTTTTCAGGTGGTAGAGGTAGGATGCACATTATGGAGATGGGGCATGAACACAGGGAGCAGGATGGTTCTTAAATCCTAAAGCTTTATGGATGAAATTTGAGTACAAAACAGGGAAAGAAAGCAGCAGATCAAATTGAGAAAAGGTAGACAGTCCCTCCATAGATCTGATTAAAACACAAGAAATAAAAACTATTATAGGCAGAGTGCTGAAAAAATTCCTTTTCCACCCAGACATAATTCCATGGGATGTTGATAAAGTTATTAAATATCATAAGAGCAAATGGAGTGGATTTGGCTATTTGTAAAATTAAAAATGCTTAATTAAGTGGGAGACAATGATCCCTTTTTGTGCAGAAGGAGGTCACTATACAGGCAGTTCTGGTTCATTCTATTCCAAAATCATTTAGAAAAGGGATAAAAAGGAGGGGGCAAAACAAAAAACAAGCAATGAGGTGACAGCCCCATGTTATCCAGCTGGAAAGCATATGAAGCTGAACAAACATTCTGGTGAAATTCCTTTTTAACTTTTTTTTTGTTAGGCCCTGAAATAGCCACCACCATGCAGGTATTGGAAATACACTCATCCATTCTGGAAAAAAGCATCCAAAAAAGGCAACTTCAGAGCTGTGAATCTGTCAGGAAGATGCACCAAAGGGTCAGTGACTGCTTCACCCATGAACCAAGACTGTTCCTGCTTCCATGTTCCCTGCTTGCCAAGATCTGCCTCATTCCCTGTTTTATTTGGGATTCATCAGTGAAGGGCTCCAGCAGCTCTTGGGTTGTGTTACCTCCATCAAGGAGAGCTGTGAGATCATTCAAAATCTGGCCACTGGTGGGAAGGGTGATGCAAAAAGCTCTCAATATATTGTAATATATAATATTTGTATTTTGATATAATATTTTTATTTGTATATTATATAATATTTGTAATTATTAGCAGCAGCATCCTGTAAAACAGCTCATCAGGAATTAAGAGATGGGAATTTGGAGGGATCTTCAGGAACACACGTGTTTGCTGCTCTGATTGGGTGCCTCCCTATCCCCCCAAAACTGCACTGATTTAACAAAGTCAATTTGTTACACAGGATCTCATTAGCACAGGGGAAGGCCACACCAAGCCCGAGCCATGCGTGGATGTCAAACGCACTCAGAAATTTGCTAATGCACACAAAAAAAGCACAAAAGGCAGATTAAAACCATTTTAACTCCTGTCAGCAAATCTTCAAATTAAGCTAAAATGGGTTCAGCCTGGGTGGGAATGCTGGAGTGTGTCTCCATCAAGGGCTCGCAGTGTTTTATCCAGATTAACTGAATAAACTCAAAAGAAAAATTACTCCTCAAATATTAACTCTGTGCTTCCACCCAGGCAGTCAAAGGGAAGCCACAGCCCTGTGGCACAAATCCTCTGATTCCAGGCCACTGTGGGATCCTCCTGAGTCTGAATACAAGTCATGGGTGAAGGAAGGTTCCCTCCCAGCTGCCATGCTGTGCTGGTTTTGCATATAGAAGAAAAATCTCACATCTTAAATTCTCAAAATCTCAAATTAACAACCAAAACCACTACACATGTGCCAACTGCAACACCAATATTATCTGAGCACAAGTCCATCCCATGGTGTAGCTGGTTGGGATGACCTCCACGGTGTTTGGGATGCTCTTCCCTGACTGGGATGTCCCACAGTGGTGGGATGCTCCTCCTTTGGTGGGATGTCCCCACTTCGATGGCACATCCATCCACTTTAGAGGGGTATTCCCCCCTTGGTGGGACATCCATCTCTAGTGGGATGCTCCACCTTGGGGTAAGGCATTTCCCCTTGGTGGGACACTCACCCTGGTGGGATCCACGCCCTGGATGGATCCCTGCTCACCTGGATGTTCTTCTCACAGTCGGTCTGGTGGTGCAGCAGGAGCTCGCTCTCCAGCAGGAAGCGCTTCCCGCACTTGTCGCAGATCTGCATCCGGCTGTGCGTGACGTTCATGTGCTTCTCCAGGTACCAGCGGTTGTTGAAGATCCGCGGACACTTCTTGCATGGATAATGCTGCTTCTCCTCCAGCTTCACCTTCTGGCCCAAGCCATCTTGTTCTTTCTTTCTCTTCCTCCCCCTCTGGCCTTCTTCTTCCTCCTCCTCCTCCTCTTCCACCTTGGCCATCTCCTGGGACCTGGTTGCCATGGCAGGTTTAGTGGCTTTGGATGCCCGGCTGCCCCTGCGAGGCTGCCCGCTCTTTTCCCTTTTCATCTCTGAGGCATCCTCATCGTCATCATCCTCTTCTTCCGTCGTCTCCTCCAGATCTTCCTCCTCGCTGCGCTCCTCCTCCTCCTCCTCCCCCACCTCCGCATCCTCCTCCTCTTCCTCCTCCTCCTCCCCTTCCTCATTCTCCTCCTCCCCGTCCTCCTCCGTGTCGCGCCCATCCCCGTCCGGCCGTCCCATCACGGCCGCCTCGCTGGCGGCCGCCTTCCCCTCCATGCCCTTGGAGACATTGAGGGTCTGGTTGTTGAGGTTCACCTCCACGATGATCTGCTCCCTGTTGTAGGAGCCCTGGCTGTCCAGGTCCTCCTCAGACTCCTCACCCTCCATCTTACAGACAGCACCAGCACCTCCATCCTTCTCCTCCTTGTAGTACTGCTTGGCCGGGCCGGGGGGGAGCGTCCCGCTGCCCGTCCCGTCCTCCACCCGCACCGAGAAGGGGTCGTTGCCCTCCCGGGCGTAGATTTTGGGGTGGGGGGCGTCCACCTCCTGCTTGATCTCGCAGTAGTAGGGCGGGGCTCCGGCGCAGCCCTCGGCGGGCAGGGCCATGTCGGTGGCCAGGCTGAGCGAGCGCGTGTCCAGCAGGTCCTGGCAGGAGGACGCGATGTTGTTCATCTGCAGCACGGCGGCCGCGTTCAGCACGTCCTGCACATTGCAGGAGTTGACGAGCAGCTTGGAGGTGTAGATGAAGTTGAGGATCTGCTGGAGGCCCTGCGAGGTGAGGGCCTCCAGAGAGAGCTCCACGCGCTGCAGCTGCTTGTTCTGGGTGAAGAGGGAGTGGAAGAACTGGCTGTAGGCTGCCAGGACCCCCTTGTGCGCCGGGAAGATGCTCTTGTGCTGCACCAGCACGATGTCCACGTCGCACAGGTCCGGCTGAAAGAGGCGCTGCTCGTTCAGTCTGTCCATCAAACACGTGAAGTGGAGGGCTACATCCTCCACCAGGGAGTACTCAGCCGAAGGGTAGTCAGTCGTTTTTTCGACTATCAGCTGTGGGGAGGAAAGAAATAAAATCATTCAGGGCTCTTACTACCCCCAAAAACGCCCTTCTGGCCATGCCATCCATCCCTGTCCATGCACACCCCAGTCAGAGATGTCACCTGAGAAGTTCTACTGCCAGCACTAGCTTGGAGGTGCCAACCAAAACATTCTGTCACCTACCCCAGCTTGGAGACACTAACCATGAAGTTCTACCACCAGCCCCAGTTTGGAGATACCAACCAAAACACTCCATCACTAACCTCAGTATGGAGATATTAACTAAAACACTCCATCACCAACCAAAACACTCCATCACCAACCTCAGTTTGGAGATACCAACCAAAACACTCCATCACCAACCCCAGTTTGGAGATACCAACCAAAACACTCTATCACCAGCCCCAGTTTGGAGATAGCAACAAAAATACTCCATCACCAACCTCAGTTTGGAGATACCAAACAAAACATTCCATCACCAACTCCAGTATGGAGATATCAGCCAAGAAATTCCATCACCAACCCCAGTCTGGAGATACTAGCCAAGGAACTCCATCACCAACCCTAGTTTGGAGATAGCAGCCAAGAAAATCCATCACCAACCCCAGCTTGGACATGTCAACCAAAATGCTTCACTACCAGCCCCAGCTTTGGAACACCAAGAAGCTCCACCACCAGGCCCAGCTTGAAGACACCAACCAAGAAGCTCCATCACCTGCTTGAGTCCAGAAGACTCAACCAAGGAGGAGAAGCCCCAGTGAAAGGGCAGCTCAGGGCCACACAGCATTCACTGGTAACCCTTCAAGGTCTGTAGGAAGCACCATGGCCACCCAGGAGGTCCTAAGGCAGGCTCAGGTGTCCACACTCACTCAGAGATGTCACACAGGACAGGGGATGCCTTGACCTCTTGAACCAGATGGAGATTCAGGTGGGTATTTGCTCCAATCAGGAAGCCAATTTAAGGCACCTGCTGAGATGCAACCCCATAAATAAAAGGAAATGAGGATTTTATAGCTCCCTGTTTCTGCAGACAATAACACAAAGCCCAATATCCTCTGATATTTCTGAATTACGCCGCGTGCTCTCGCTCACGACAGCAGCTCACTCACAGCTGGATCCATTGGCATGATTTATGCACTTCTTAATGCTCATTTTCCATTGCCTGGGGAAAGGCACTACCTGGAAAAATTCAAGTGAGGGAGCAGCACCCCCACGCTGGGAAATGCTGCCCTGCCAACCTTCCCCAGGCTGAGTTTTCTGGGTATTTAATCCAACTCTCACGTATTTCACAAGGTCCAGACCATCCCTGGTGTTCATCCCCTCTCCTGGTCATACCTGAGCCCCAGGATGAGTCTGCCTGCTCCATCCCAAATCCAAGGGATATCCCACACCCTAAATCCTGTGTCCTGCATTAAAAGAAGGTGGGACACACCCAGACCCCAGAACACCCTTTTTCCTGACCTTTGGAGGATGTGACCAAGGACATGGTGCAGAACAGTGGCAGAGAGGGAGGGTTCAACCTGCCAGGTTTATCCTGCATCTCCTGCTCCAAAAAGAGATTTTCAACTCCTATTTTTTCTGGAACAAATGGCAGCTCTTGATCAACACACAAATTCCAGCAAGACACGTTCTGTTTGTCTTTTTTTTTTTTTTCTGGTGAGCCAAAGGCAAAAGGACACACAGACAAAAATGTTTAAATAATAAAAAAGGGTGTTTTCTTCTCTGTTTTCCCAACAAGCAAAAAAATTCTTTCCCCTCTCTGCCAAATTTTTTCATTTTCATTGGATTTTTGCTCCACAACCAACCCATCCAACCAATACGGATCTCAAGTTTTGCATGGTCCTGATAGCCCTGGGGAATTCCAGCAAGTGCTGGCACCCAGGGAAAACATGGAAAAACCAGTTCTGCTCCAAATTCTTGGCTCTGCAGCCAGGAGCAGGGCAAAGAGGTAGTAAAAGGGTTGGGTGTTTACATATTTTTATATACTTTTTATAATTTCTATATATATATGTTTAATATTTTCAATATTTTATACATCCATGCTTATATATAGTTAAACTACTTATATATAAAAAATAGATAAATATATAAATACATGAACATTCATTATATATGTACTTGCTACAGAATCCATCCCAGCTGGAACATCCATCCACCTTCACCATTTCCCAAGCCTCTCGTGACTGCCAAGAACATTTTGATGAGATCTTGGATGGCGCAGCCCTCCCCCCTCCAAGACATGCAGAAAATAATTAAGGATATAATAAATATCAGAAAAACTGAAGAGACAGCAGGAATTCAGCAGAGCAGTTTGCTGTTTGCCAGGTTGAAAAAAAGAACCTAAATTCAGTTTTTATCTCCGGGGATCCATCTCATTTAGGATACCCCAGCTTGGGGTACAGCGGCAAAGGAATGGGTGCAAAATAGAGGAAAATGGGTTTGTGGGGCGGCATTGCCCAGCCTGGAAAACAAAAGGCTGCTTTTTTTGCCCTGTGGATGGAGGATTTTTGGCAGAGGGGGCTGATCCCTCACCCAGCGGCGCTCCTTGCCAGGCGGCTCTAATCAGTCCCAGCAGCGGCGAGGACAATGCGTGTCTTGGCCGCGTCCCGCCGGTGACTTCAGCCCGGGCTTGTCAGCGGGAGCCTTTTGCTCTTTATTGCTCTCAGATGCTTTTCGTGAGCTTGCCCCGCAGCCAGAGCCCCGGCCGAGACGAGAGGCGCCTGCTGGGGTGAGATCCCCAAAAAGACCCCGGCTTGCCCCAAAATGCCCCTCTGGCAGCTGCCACCCCTGCGGCTCCAGCGGAGCGGAGCAGCCTGGCTAATGGGGATTAATGGCAGGGTTAAATCCGGGGCTCTTCCTCTGGGAAAACGCAAATATTTGAAATATAGATCCCTTTTAATATTTCTTATATTAAAATACATATTAAAGGAAAAAAAAAAAGGAAAAGAATCACGAGTTTTGCTTTTTTCCACCACTCTGCCCCTCTGGCTCTGCCCATCGCATCACCATCCCCTGCTGCACACCTGGGCAGCTCACTGGATGCACTAAACCAGGGGGAACGCTCAAACTGGCCCCACCACACACTGCCAACCTCGAAGCAAGGTTCTGGCATCATCAGTGCAGAAAAACACCCCTAAAATTATTAGAAAGCAGCGTGGCCGTGAGTTCCTCACCCCGAGGGGCCGGCGGTGCCTCCAGCCAGCCCTCCCCGCCCTGACGCAGCCCTCCAGCTCTATTTTAAGAGAGTTTTCACGTGGTGCTGCCAAAGTCCCGTCCCAAAACAGCCTCTGGGGCAAGAGGACGGCCAGAGGATGGGGAGGATGCTCGGGGTGAGGGATGGGGGGTGGAGGAGCCCCGAAGGCAGGGGATGGAAGGAAAGGATGAGTGAGGAATGGTGGTGGAAGGAGATGCTGATGGTCACAGGGGCAGGGCAGCATCTCTCCAGCCAAACCACCAAAAATCCCAACCTGCACCCCACCATGTGCCTCAGTTTCCCTAAACAGCCCCACCAACACCTGCCCTGAAAGGTGTTTGCTGCTGGATTTAAATCAGTGCACTATGACAAAAGCACTTTCTCTCAGCAGCTATTGAGAATGAGATCCCTAAATGTTCCTGCAGCTCTAAACCTCCCCAAAGGACCAGAAGGCTGGGCCACTCTGGATATATTTAAATACTCAAATCCTCAGTCCCCCAAGAAGATCATCTCTGACCTTCACCAGCCTCTTCTTTATTTAATTAATTATTTGTTCATTTCTAGCGCCCTCATCACCACAGCATCGAGGACCATGAGTAATTCTTTCCCACATAAGCACAAGGACAAATGGTCTTAGGGCATAAAATTCACATTTAAGTGGTGACAAGACCAGCTGCCTGTGAACCACTTTCCATTCAGCACAAAATTTGGGGATTTCTTTAAATTTTTCACCCTCAAGATGTACCAAAAAAAAAAAAAGCAATCTGCTTTTCTGTATCATTTCCAACCACCAAAGCATTCATAGTTGACCTTCAGTATTAAATTGCATTAAAGAAAAGTGCTTTAATAAGGAGCTAAATACAATGTCAGCACTTGCTCCTCAAAAAAAAAAAAGTCCCCCATGCCCTCTTCTCAATTTGGACATTGCTGCACTTCAGGACAAAAGAATGGGCTGGAACTATTTAATGTCAAAGCTTGACTTTTGCTGAAGTAAGAAATAACATTAAACCCCCATTTTTACAGATTAAAAATCTGAAAAAATCTCGGATGACACAAAGGGGTACAGTTACAAACCCCAAACCTCGCGCTTTCGGTTTTAATCCTTGGCCTCTCACAACCTGCCCTCTGCCTTCCAGACCCTGGCATGAAACCTTCAGCCTTTTCCCTCTAGTTTTGAGGTCATCAGGAGATATTTTTTCAAAAAAAAAGCTCCCCAAACCAGGATGCACCAGCTCAGAATGAGCAACGCTTCCTGGACCGTGCACATCCCATTGCCCAACCACCCATTTCTGGAACACAGCCATGCCTGGGGCAGAGGGATAAACCACATCCCAAAGCTCCTGTCCCTCTCCTGCAACCAAACCCCTGCATGAAACCTTCAGCCTTTTCTCCCTAGTTTTGAGGCCATTACAAGATTTTTTTTTCAAAATTACACCAGCCCAGAACGAGCAGCTCTGCCTGGACCGTGCACATCCCAATTCCCAACCACTCATTCCTGGGGCATGGTGACAGAGGGATAAACCACATTCCAAAGCTCCTGTCCCTCTCCTGTTGCCAGACTCTTGCATGAAACCTTCAGCCTTTTCTCCCTAGTTCTGAGGCCATTAGAAGATTTTTTTTTGAAATTATGTGTTTTCCTACAGCTCCCCAAACCAGGATACACCAACCCAGAACGAGCAGCACTGCCTGGACCGTGCACATCCCAATTCCCAACCACCCATTCCTGGGGCATGGTGGCAGAAGAATAAACCACATCCCAAAGCTCCTGTCCCTCTCCTGTCACCAGACCCCTGCATGAAACCTTCAGCCTTTTCTCCCT